TGCAATTACACTTTTCCACAAGTTATGTAATCCAACAGGTTATATTCCATTTTCCAATAAATGCATTTCACTGTAACAACGAGTCTCTTTATTCACTCCACCGATCACTAGAAATAAGACACAGTTCAAACAACCTGTCTTAATATACTAACTCGTATGGAACTCTTAACAATGGAAATGATTAAATAACCTGCATAATATACAAACCTTTATGGAATTCCAAGCGTGGTATACCGTACGAGTTAGTTTATTAAGACAGGTTACCCTCTACTTACCCCACCCCCCAAACCCCCCTCCCCTCGGGGGTGCATTTTGCGCCGGGGATTTCGGGGCGATTGCCGGCCGCTGCACCAGCTTTTCCGGGTCGGTGCGCCGCTTTCCCGACGCTTTTCCTGCACCAGCGCACTGCACCTGAACCTAACCTAACCTAACCTAACCTAACCTAACCTAACCTAACCTAACCTAACCTAACCTAACCTAACCTAACCTAACCTAACCTAACCTAACCTAACCTAACCTAACCTAACCTAACCTAACCTAACCTAACCTAACCTAACCTAACCTAACCTAACCTAACCTAACCTAACCTAACCTAACCTAACCTAACCTAACCTAACCTAACCTAACCTAACCTAACCTAACCTAACCTAACCTAACCTAACCTAACCTAACCTAACCTAACCTAACCTAACCTAACCTAACCTAACCTAACCTAACCTAACCTAACCTAACCTAACCTAACCTAACCTAACCTAACCTAACCTAACCTAACCTAACCTAACCTAACCTAACCTAACCTAACCTAACCTAACCTAACCTAACCTAACCTAACCTAACCTAACCTAACCTAACCTAACCTAACCTAACCTAACCTAACCTAACCTAACCTAACCTAACCTAACCTAACCTAACCTAACCTAACCTAACCTAACCTAACCTAACCTAACCTAACCTAACCTAACCTAACCTAACCTAACCTAACCTAACCTAACCTAACCTAACCTAACCTAACCTAACCTAACCTAACCTAACCTAACCTAACCTAACCTAACCTAACCTAACCTAACCTAACCTAACCTAACCTAACCTAACCTAACCTAACCTAACCTAACCTAACCTAACCTAACCTAACCTAACCTAACCTAACCTAACCTAACCTAACCTAACCTAACCTAACCTAACCTAACCTAACCTAACCTAACCTAACCTAACCTAACCTAACCTAACCTAACCTAACCTAACCTAACCTAACCTAACCTAACCTAACCTAACCTAACCTAACCTAACCTAACCTAACCTAACCTAACCTAACCTAACCTAACCTAACCTAACCTAACCTAACCTAACCTAACCTAACCTAACCTAACCTAACCTAACCTAACCTAACCTAACCTAACCTAACCTAACCTAACCTAACCTAACCTAACCTAACCTAACCTAACCTAACCTAACCTAACCTAACCTAACCTAACCTAACCTAACCTAACCTAACCTAACCTAACCTAACCTAACCTAACCTAACCTAACCTAACCTAACCTAACCTAACCTAACCTAACCTAACCTAACCTAACCTAACCTAACCTAACCTAACCTAACCTAACCTAACCTAACCTAACCTAACCTAACCTAACCTAACCTAACCTAACCTAACCTAACCTAACCTAACCTAACCTAACCTAACCTAACCTAACCTAACCTAACCTAACCTAACCTAACCTAACAAACTTCGGGAGTTGGTTAGGTGTATATTAAATAAGCTTAAGGTGATCTAACCTTCCGGATAAAGCTTAATGTGACCTAACCTTTGGAGAGATACCTTAATGTACTCTAACATGTTAGGTACCCTAACCTTGTTATATTGTATACAAGTACTCACCATGTGCTGCTATTCCAGAAGGTCAGGTAATCCAATGCAATTGCACTCACTATTCCACTATACACTGCTCCACTAGGTCAGGTATCCAGTAGGTTGCACTCACTATTCCACTCTCACTACTCCACTAGGTTAGGTATCCAATAGGTTGCACTCACTATTCCACTACTATTCCACTCTCACTACTCCACTAGGTTAGGTATCCAATAGGTTGTATTAACTATTGCACTCTCACTATTCCACTAGGTTATATGATCCAGTCGGTTATATTCACTATTGCACTTACACTTTTTTTCCACAGGTTATGTAATCCAACAGGTTTTAACCATTTTTCCAATAAATGCATTTCACTGTAACGACGAGTCTCTTTATTCACTGCACCGATCACTAGAAATACGACACAGTTCAAACAACCTGTCTTAATATACTAACTCGTCTTTTAATATACTAACTCGTATGGAATCGGGGAGAATGGAAGTAATCAAATAACCTGTATAATATACAAACCTTTACGGAATTCCAAGCGTGGTACACCGTACGAGTTAGTTTATTAAGACAGGTTACCCTCTACTAACCCCACCCCCCAAACCCCCCTCCCCTCGGGGGTGCATTTTGCGCCGGGGATTTCGGGGCGATTGCCGGCCGCTGCACCAGCTTTTCCGGGTCGGTGCGCCGCTTTCCCGACGCTTTTCCTGCACCAGCGCACTGCACCTGACCCACTGCACTCCCAGGCACTCCACGGCACTTTCACGCCACGATTTTCGCTGCATTTCGACCGATTTCACCGCTTTTCCTAGGTTCCACTGCACCCGCCACGTGGCACGCACTGCACCCGCGCACAAAACGCACTTTTCACGGCACCCACTGCACGCACGGCACTCACAGACACTCCACGGCACTCCCACAACACTTTCACGGCACTGCACGGCACAATTTCACCGAATTTTGCACGTTTTTCACGATTTTTGCACCACCACCGGCACGTGCGTCATAGCGTCGGTCCGCCATCTTGGAAAAGGCCGATTCACGCTACCGCATCCCGGATTTCGGTTGGCACCACTTACCTGCTGCGCACTTCCGGTTCGGGGATTAGGTTGGCAGTCCTTCACTAACGTGTTATACATTAAGTTGGCACTTCTGCAGATTCTGACGCACGATCATCTTGGTTTCCGTTGCTCAATGACTGATTATTCTTCGCAAGATTACATTCATTTACACTTTTCGACTCGCTTTTCTACACCTACAGCCGTCTCGCTTCGCGTTGCTGCGTCACTCATAACTGTTGCGAATATTCCACTGCCTCGGCCAAGCGCCTTTTAGGTTGGCAGTTATGAACCGTTGTCGAGGACCGCTTTTTCAGGTTGGCAGTCCTTCTCTACCGCTGTAGCCGTCATGTTGGCAGTGCTGCGGTTACTGATGAACGACCATCTACATCACATTTCCTCCGTGACTCTACGGCGTTGGCACCATTGCATCAGTGCTAAGCGACGTTCGGATTGGCAGTGCTGAAGTAGCATTCACATCTGGTCCACTAATAATGTTGGCAATCCTTCACTGCCTCGATGCCCATCGTGGTGACAATTTTCCCGACCATCTCGCTTCCCGCTGCTCAGTGACTGACTCATTAAAATTTTCAAATGCTGCCGATCGTCGCACCACGCTTATATTGGCAATCCTTCGCTCCCACAATTTCAAACAGGTTGGCGCTCTTGAATTGCTGCTTGCTGGCGCACAGCCGTCTAGATCGCCGATATTCTGTGCCTCAATGTGTTTGGCAGTACTTAGGTGGCGATTTCTTTCTGTTCGCCAATATCGTTGGCAGTCTTTCCTTGTCGCAATTTGCATACAGTTGGTATTTCTGCAATGAGGCTCGTTGACCATCTTCGTTCCAGGTGCTCTCGGACTCACTGTTGTTGGCTATTCTGAATCGCGGCAATGTATCTTTCAGGTTGGCAGTTTTCGTTACCTTTACTCTTTGATGTTGGCACCACCGAAACACCCGTTCACGCCGTTGCGGCCAAAGCGCGGACCATGGAGAGCCGCCGAGGATTCATTCACATTGGTGCCTTTACCCGTTCACATTGATGTGTATACCTATTCACAATGACACCTATACCAGTTCACATTAGTGCCTCTACCTATTCACAACGATTCCTCTGTCCCGTTCACATTGATATCTATACCGATTCACATTTCCTTCGTTTCGTTAAAATACCGCTAAATCGATTTCTCTTTTTCCTTTTTAGCGCTTTTTATTAATTTTCTTTGACTTTCCGAGGCTTTTCGAAATTTTCTTGGCTCTTCAAGGTGTTTTCGAATTTTCTTTTTCTTGTTTTAGAAGGTGGCTATTCCGAAACGCGGCAGAGTATCTCGCAGGTTGGCAGTTTCGAATTCGTTCGCTCTTCGAGGTTGGCACTGCAGCGTTAATGCTTCATGACCATGTTGATTCTTGCTGCTCTATGACTAATTCGTGTTGGCACTATTGCAATTCTTTAAATTTTGATGTTGGCATTCTTACACCGCGACCGATCTAGGTTCAATGTAATCTATGTCTCATTACGGTTGGCTATTCTGTATCGCGGCAATGTGTCTTTTAGGTAGGCAGTACTGAATTATTTCACTTTAGCAATTTTCACGTTGATACTCCTACCCCTCAACCTATCTTGACTTAATACAATCTATGCCTCACTAGTGTTGCACATTCTGATTTCTGGCTTTCAGGTTGACAGAATTGTATTGCCCCTGCGACCGTTTTTTCGTTGGCACTTCTGCCGTGCGACCCATCTTGGCACATGTTGGTCTGTGACTGACTACAGTTGGCGATGCTGAACCGCAGGACTTTCGCGTCTTACGACTCTCGCGTGTCGTGCTCGATGGTCCAACGTAAAAGATGAATACCGGACGAGATCTAAGTTCGTTTGTGTTTGTTGCTTTTTGTTCGTTTAATTTGCACTAAACTGTGTTACGAATCGTCTAATGTTTAGCCGTCTAACCGTAAATGGTTACTATTCTTTGCGTTTTTGTATATACAAAACTTCAGGGCCAATACGATGCCACTGGCCAGGTTAGATCGGTCCTTTCTGAATAATATTCGTACGGGGCGGGACAGGAAATAATAAATGTAGGTTTTATAATCGGGGAATGATTACTCCCATACTTTACTTCTTTCTGCGTCGTTTTAACTATATCGTGGCTACAGATTAGTCCTTCTGAATAAGAATGTATTACGGTACATGATTCGATAATAATCGCTTGTCGATGACATATTGTGGGAAAGTTGTTCCGCTTTCGAAAATAATGGCAATGATAACGATGATGTTAATGACAATATTAATACTAAGAATAATTATAGTAGTGACAATAATAATAATAATAATTATAGCAATAACATGCTAATCAACGCGTAGCTTGATCTAACGCGTGTCTTCCACGCATAAATATAACCGACGATTAAAATTCATGCGTCGTTCCAGTCGTGTCGTTGTCGAACAATGTCTCGCATTGCTTTCGCACGTGATAATATCACGGTGGAAATCTACAGCAGTCGTGGGTTAAAACGACCCATGTGAAGTATCAGTCCTGTCGGATTATGTCGTACAAAGTAGAGGAACGGTTGATCCAACTTCAGTCTCGGCTTGTCTTTCGAGTTTTCACCGTTTATCGTACTTGTAGATTCACTCGATACCGTACGATCGTTTCTCCAAGAGACTTGCTGCTGCCTCCGCACCGTTTCCCAATCCGCAGGTACCGTAGGTTGCTGCTCGTTCGACGATCGTTCGTCTTCGACGTTTCGTAAGGATGGACTCGCTGGATAAATTTCCACGTGATGTCGTCCGTTCGCGATGTTTTCGTCGCCGCACGTACCGAACAGATTCATCTGAAACGAAAAGAGAAAACGAGTAAAAATATAGAAAGAATAAAAGAATAGGAGGAAAGCAAAAAAAAAAAAAAATGACATATATATTACATACCTGTAAAACGTCGGACAAGAAGAGACGATTTCCAATTCCGTTGATACCTTTAAAATCGGCATGACTCGAGAACAATTGATCCAGTGCCATTCTTTTTAAGGCGGCAGTAGCGTTAACCACCGATCGATGCGTGAATTTCGGGATTTGCAATTCGAGACCGGTCCTCGGTATGAGAACTTTCAGGAGCTTCTTCCAAGTACCGTCTCGAAAAGCTCCTTTCGTCAGCCTTTCTTCCAGACGATCCAACGTATCCCCCGGAGCGACGTGACCTTGTTGACCGGGCAAAAGGAATATCGTCGAAACGATTTGACCAATACCGCCGATCGCGATCGCGGTGGCATCCAAATTCGGTTCGTAACCGGCCAATACGTTCGATCGCCATACGGTGGCCGGCACTGGAATTAATTTTCTTAATCTGTGTATCGACGACGACGGCGACGACGAGGACGATACTGCGAAATATAGTTCTCCGTCCCGACCAGTTGCGCTCACCAGACTGCTATTGCAATCCGTTTGGAACACGTTGGCCGATATCGCGGCAAGAGGGGATCGTAATGGAATCGCGTTATTTTTTACGAAATCCTTTATTCGCCCACCGGTTTGCTTTCTAATCAGCAAATTAGTTCGTCGACGTGCGAGATCACTGATGGTAGCGAAGTTAACTTCGGCTACTAATCCTTCGTAAAACTGTTGCGCTTGTTCTTTGTAGAACGGCAACAACTTCCTAACTTTCGCTTTGTCCGCGAACAATTCTCGAACGAACGCCGCGTTCGCGATACCCTGATTTCGTGCTAAACTCACCGTATCCGTAACGTTTTGAAATATTAAATGGGGATTAAACGTGGCCACGTTATCCAATCCGAGTACTTCGTTCATTTGGTCGGACGTTGATCCCCGGGCACCGAGAAATATCATTGCTAATAAACTGATCATACCGAATGGAGATACGACCAAAGATCTACCGGTGCTTAATCCTTCGTTCGCGGCTGTCCAAAATTTAAACGCCAATTCGTTGCAAAGTCTCGAGAAGTTGACGATATCGGCACTCGCGTTTTTCGTACTTCCATCCAATCCACCGACGATCTTCGATGCGTTCAACGCCACCGTCGATGCTGTTGTTCCTGACACTTTGTATTTCGACGATTCCGTCTCTGGTTTCTTCGTTGTTGCACTCCGATCTTTCGTCGATGAGGAAGTCGAAGGAAGAGGAAGAGGAGAAGAAGAATGAGAAGATGAAGCGAAAGAAGAAGAAATTGGAGTTGTCTGATGTAACGATATTAGTTGCCACATGTGCTCGGAATCGATGCCGGTGCTTTTGTTAGAGTTACTCGAAAGCCAATTGTCCGAATGAATCTTGTCGTTTGTTTCTTGCGATTTTTCGGTATCGTTCAATGATTGCGTGCCCACTGAATCCTTCGAAACGATCTCCATCGATTCGTTCGATTCTTTCGTTTCTCCCTTTGTACCGTTCGATTTCATCGAATCGGACGCGTTAATTGCGGCAATGATCGACAATTCGTTGTGATCGGACTGTTCGATGATCGTATCTGCACTATGAGAACTGTAATCGTCTTCGTGTTTCGCCGCGTTCGACGAACCGATCGTTGTCGTCGGTTTCCTGACAACGTCGTGTATCGATTTCGTGCTGTTCGTAACGACTGTCATCGCGTCGATGACGTTCGAATTTTCACCGACGATGGTCGTTTCGTTCTTAAGCCGGTCCGACGTCTCTTTCGACAGTAAATCTGTGGAAATTGCGTTACTCTTTAAACTGGACTGCGAGATCGAGTCTACCTGTCGTTCCGTTGTCGGTTCTACATGTAACGGCCGTTCTTTCGTATCGAAGGAAAGACTACTTTCGTTAGAGTTCGTTTCCACGATTTCATCTGTAGGTTTGCTCGACGTTTTCAATGGTTCCGAAAATGTCGTTTCGGCACCTACAATTATTGTCGAGGCGGTGGTTTCGATCTGATCTGTTTTAAGAATGTTTTGCAAACTTGACGTCGACGAATCGAACGAGTCGATCGCGGTAACGACGTTTACCGTATTCAAACTGATCGAATTGGTTAGCAACGTGTCCGTTTCGCCGCTGGAAGTAATCAACGGAGGGTACTCTTGCCGCCTATTTATCGCCGCGGAAACTTCGTTTTCGTCGGTACCGACACTTTTTGTACTGATCTCGATGATTGCCGCATTAATCCTTGTGTTCGCCGACGAATCCACCGGCAACTCGGTTTCCTTTACCGCGTATTCGATGGTAGTCGCGTATTTCTCCGTTGTTTCAGCCGCTGCATCCGATGAAGTTTCTGCACTCGGCATAATAGAATATACGTTCAAATTCAATGGAGAATTGGTCGTAAGCGTTATCGTGTTCGAATCGTGTGATTCGAAACCGGCGATCAGTCCGCTTGCTAAAGTGTTTATGGATGAATTTTTCGGTAAAATGTTCGGTAACGTTATCGTTTCGGTAACGGGTGTGTTTACCTCGGTTGAAAGAGTTGCCAGTATATCGTCGATGATGGCTGTTGGTTTCGATCGGTTGATGTTCGCATTTGAGTCTTCAAACTTGATCATTGACCAGTAATCTAAGCTAGTTTTTGATGAATCGAGAGAACTCGTGGTTACCGTTTCTTCGATATTTTCTTCGACGGTAACGTTCGACGGATAATTTCGATCCGAAGTTACCGTGGAACCCATAAAGTAGTTTATACTGCTGTTTACTATTTCGTCCACACCGATCGTGGTCGCTTTCGTCGTTGAATCCAATTCGAACCGAGTATCATTCGATTCCGTTAACGTATCGAGGTGATTGGTCTCCTTCGTGAGATTGACAGTGTTCGATGATAACGATGCTGAAGGTGTAGTTGAGAAAGTCTGTTCTTCGCTCGATCGTATCGTTGTCTGCATCGTTGAAAATTTACCGCTATCGTTTGTCGGAGCTGTATGCGTGAACACTTTTGTAATATTGGTAGGATTCTTCTCGTTTTCGTTGGTTCCGTCGTCGTCGTCGTATTGAGAATTGACCGCCGAATCGAATCCAGAAGAAATAGGTAAAACAGGAGAAAGGGTTTCGGAAACCTGATTGATCATGCTAGATAACGAATTCGCTAATTCCATTGATAACGGTTTTGGTGGTTGAGTCGAATCTAAATAACCTGTTGGGTTTGTCGAGGGCGGCGGCAAGTCACGTATACTCGTTACCGATTCCGTTGGTAAAGGTGTGACCAGTCTGTTAATAGTCGTGGTAATCGACGCGAGAGGATAGGAAAGTAAGGTTGTCAACGGTTTGTCGGTAACAACAGTTTCGACTTTGGTCGATTCCGGTAACGGTATTAATGGTAAATTAGTTTTTAAATCATCGTCGAGAGTCGGTCGAACTTTGGTTCTGGTCGTCGTCGTCGTCGTCGTCGTCGTCGCTATGTCCGCAAGGGGTTTTATTTTCGATACTATCGTTAGCGGATCGTTCCAAGATACGTTCTTCGAATCCATCGATAAACTCGTTGCAAGATCCACGACGTTGTCGGTACCGTCTTTCGATGCCGAGTCTAATGAGGAAGGAGACGCGTCGGTCGTCGTGATCGTTATCGACGTCGACATCGTCGTATTTTCGCGTGTCATCGTCGCCGCCGCGTGACGATCGTTTTCTTTGTAATCGTAATTCTCGTCCAACATATTTTCCAACGGCACCACAGCGATTTCCGTGATCTTTTGAAAAACAGGACTTTGAGTGATTCGTTGGCCCATTTGAGCGTGTTGTTCTGCCGTGATAACCGCCACAGGAATCATTAACTTTTCCGTGGATGAAACTGTGGCAGTTTGCGATGCGATCGTTGAGAAAATTGCCGGTGTTGGTTCTTTACCGGTTTGTCCGATCGTCGTTTCGTTTCGCACCGCAAACTCGACGCTACTCTCCGACGGAACGGTCTCGATTCTCGGCGTGTTTGACTCGTCCGATTCCGAAAGGGAATTCAGATCGTGAACAGTCGCGACCGTAGACGTCAACGTCGTTATCGGCGTCCATGTCGGGTTCGGCTTTGGTTTCGGTTTCGGCTTTGGTTTTCGCGTTGATTCGTCGACGTAATGACTCTCATCGGGCTTGTCTCCGTATTTGTCACCGGCTAATATAGCGGGTAAAATATTGCTCCACTCGACGTTCGCTTTTTCTGGAACTGTCGGGAATGAACCCGTTAACGCGGCTACGGGCTTATCCATCGCACTTTTCAGTACGCTTTGCACCTTTTCTACAACGTCCATTACCTACCGTAGAAAAGTATTTGAAAATCATGTCTCGTTCGATGTTTTATCGATGGTAGGTAATTCTTTCCACCAACCTTCTTTCCTCCAGTCAGGATGTCTTCGACCTTTTGGGGTTCTTGAACTTCGGCGTTCGAATGATCTGGACCACCTCCCGCGATTAACGCCTGAATTTCCTGCATAGTCATCTGTTTCGTGATCATGTCGCCTTTCTCGTTGTACGTGTAGAATTGAAATCTATCTGGTTTCAACAGATTAGCCGGAGAAGGAGGCAATCGATGCGCGTTAACTCCGAACGGACTCGACGATTCCTTGTCGTCGGCGCCGTGGCGAACGATTTCATTTTTCCGATCGTTGGATTTTTTAGCGATCGAATCCGGTGTAACCATGCTACGAACAAAATATTCATCGATACGTTACGATATTTTCGAAATGATGCGAACGTTCGACACACAAGTTTATTTAATTCTCTAGAGAATTCTATCGTACGAATTCATCGAAAAAAGAAAAACAAAATAACACCGAGTACTTGGTACTTGACCGGCAAAAAGACAAGAGACGTTCCATTTCTGTGATTATTATCGGTATACCGCGACATGAAAATTCATCGGACAGGATGTTATATCGTGATATTGTGCTTTGATCTTTTCGTTCTTTTATTTACGAAGGTTGAAAGAGCACGCGTTTTATGCGCGAAACGAAATACTGACCTAGATTGAAGAAATTTCATTGGCATTGGAGTAGCGGTTGTGTTTTCCGAGAGTGGCCAGCCCGTACCAAAACCTATACACACCCATAACACGAGCGTCGTTAAAGTTGTGGAAAAGCGTGTCGATGACATGCTTTTGAAGTTTCTTTCGGTGTTCGATTATCTGAAAAAGATAAACATCGCGTTCAACTAGTGATCGTAGCATCGATATTCGTTCGAGAATAATTAATCGCGGCGATGAGATCGATAGAATATGCAAAGTAAAGGTGTGCGTGTTGAAGAAAATAGATTGAAAGGAAGAAACGAGAGACGAGCTGCGAGTTGTTCTTTTCGGTGAACGACCCTTCTCGTTCGGTTGCTTGTTACTCCCTTACGGACCGAGACCCATTGCCTTAACGTGACGACCGGTTTTCCGTCGCGTTCTAAATCGCTCGGTAAACCCGGAATGTACGTGAATTCGAACGCGGATTACCAACAAATTTTCTCGAGATCGAGTTCTGTTTGCTGCGGAACGAGTCTATGATGTTGATCGATTGTTAAACCGTGAATCGGTGTCGATGAAAAATTTTTCAATCAGAACGAAAATCGCGTTAACGGTTAATAGGATCGTTGAACGAAACCGGACGGATTAAAAAATAAAATTTGTCCGTGATCGAACAAGAAATGCTTCTCGTTCGTATCGTCGATGAATTAAACGATAGGGATTCGTTTCGACGATACGTACCTTTCGATCTTCGAATGCATCGATGGAAAAGAAGAAACGCGCGTCTATTCCCCGAAATTAACGTTATTTATGCTGACACGCGTACTCGTATTTTCTTCTCGCCACTCTTGTATTCCCTGATTGCCGTTTCCTTTCGCTAACGTTTATTCTGTTTGCTAATTCTCGCTGACACCATCGAATTATCTATAGTACTAAATAAGTGCTACCGATACTTTGCTGCTTTTTCCAACGATGTATGATGTATTCTTTTCGCTTTCTTCCTTCCGTTGCTATCTTTGCCTCTATCTCTCCTCTCTCTTTCTCTCTATCTCTGTCTTCTTACGTTTTCTTTCTTTGATTTTTTATGTTTTTTTCGTATTTTCTGATAGCGCGCGCCGATCGGTAGTTCTTCTCGTGCCACCTGTCGCTTCTACTGTCTCCCGAAGCTCGAACGAGCGCGTACTGCCTCTTCCACTGTTCTCGAATCCTTGCGCTAGGGACGAGTGCATCGGACTAAGAAAGAACAGCGTTACGAAAGAGAGAGGGGGTACGTGTTCTTTGAACGAAAAGGCGAAGAAATAATGAAGTTGGAAAGCCGCAATATCGATGGGTCGGCGCACTTTATTCCGTATACTTAATACTCTTTTAACTACATCTGTTTATTAATAATATATTAATATTTGGTAATTATATTTATAACCGTGCGCGTATTTCTATGGATCTGTATACAAGTGCGCACGAATGACACGAAGAAAGGTGAAAAGGGAATGAATGATACAAGGTTCGAGAACCAGTGTAAATCGTAAATTACATGGATAAACGTGGGTAAATAAAATACGAATCAGAGAAGAATATTAGATAGCCGGTTGAAACGGTGAGGCACGAAAGGAACCGTTATACGGAGCAAAATTTTCATGAACCGAATTAATCGATATAGCATCGAGTAATAGCATCGCATTTTTTAAACGTTCGTCAGACTTGAACGATAATACGGATTATTTATGACGATTAACTGTAACGCACTTACATGTATATGTTTTACCGTTTCAAAACGTTGCAATCTGTTTTTAACCGTTTCGGCTAAAATTTTATTTAAATTAGTAGTTCAGTGTCCGTTCAGAGTCGTTTGGCTGAAAAAATATGTCGATTATTCATCGTGATGTTCATATAAATACGAAAACGCGGCCTTAACACGGTATCGGGTGCGACAGTGACAACACCGATATATATACATAATAATAAAATAATTATTCACCTTTACAAAATACGCATTCGCGTGTTTGTGTATCTTATTTCTATCCACGATGAGCAACGCCGACGAGAAACGCTTAACGGTATTCGTTTATTCAGCTTCCCTTTCCATTCTGTATACCGAACGTTTTCAGAAATATTTCGGCGGCCTATCTTGGCGAGCGGTGTACCGGAAAAAAATACGCCGGTTTTTCTTTCGTGAAAACTAAGATTTTTCGCTTGGGAAGAGTTAGGAACCTAGTTAGATGATTGTTAAATTTCCGAAGACATCTTTTAATCGATTTTACGAGAGTCAAAAGCGTAACGATCGATGCATCGATGTTTCGACGTATTTCGCGTTATTGAAATTCAATGTTATCGAAACAAGTAAATGCAGGACAAACGTATGGCGCACGAGTTAATGGAAGTCGAGTAAAAATTCAGCAAATTCAAGTACGAATTTAAGTATCGACGTAACCGTCATGGATGTTCCTTGGCAACGTTCCGAAGAAGATGTACGTTTCATCGACGATAGCGAATACAAGGGCACCTGGAATGCGCTGGGCATGGAAGGAATCGGCAAATACGTTTTGCCACGTCGTTAGTATAATTTAGCACAAAAAAAAAAAGCGCCATGGAAGAATCTAAAATATTAGTTTCTTTGCATCTGTTTAACGAACGCTAGATCCTAGAAACCGGCGAAAAAGAATAAGAAAAAGAAAGCGAAACGAGTCAAAATTCAGGGGTATCTATCGATGTATCATGGGACGGAATTATAGTGTAAAGAAAAAGCGGGAACGAGTGGTATACGCAATTCGAATGTCGACTGCGCTTTCCAAGGCTTGGAATTAAGTTCTATAAGTACCGATGGTTAAAACCAGGTCGACGACGCGTATATACGAATACCAATAATCGTGTCTACCGAGTACGTACAATACGTGTATGTGCTCGTTTTAAGCGCGTAAGTCGTCGCGTACCGTTACGCGACCATTTCGGTTGCTTCGTGTTCCAGAGTTTATGCGCGTCTTTCGTTTACCGATAGCTCAACGCTCCCGTGTTCTACTAGAAGTTTACCACGTTCGTCGCGCGAATCTCTTCAAATTCATGATATCGTTCTCTTACCGTATCTTTCTCCTTCTCCTTCAGCCCTCCTCTCACTCTATCGCCTTTTCCTCCTCCTCCTCCTCCTTCTCCTCCTTCTCCTCCTTCTCCTCCTTCTCCTTCTCCTGTTTGCGCCTTCTTATTCACCTCCTCGTTCTTCTTTCTCACCCTCGTTTCTTCGAACATATGTACTACACGATTTCGTTTGGCCATGGCAGATGCCGTGTTCGAAGGGGAGCTTCGTGATGGTACTTTTCACGGTCACGGTACTATGTCTTGGCTCCATGGACAAAGAATGGATGGTGTTTGGTACCACGGCGAATGTAACAAAAACCGATATACGTTTAACGATGGATTGACATTTTATAAAAAGGACTGGAAATACTGCAAATTTCCCGACAGGCGGTTGGTAGCTTATCCTTTTGTTTCTCCTTTTATTTTTGTCTCCTTTTCTTAAGAATTCGAATAAGTATGTAAAACGTTTTAAGAAAAACTAACGGATAAACTAGAAAATTATTTGTTTTTATTGTAACAACTTCAGATATTACGAGTGTATAAAGCATGGCTTAAAACCTGCTGGTGCAACTTTACGTACAAATAATCGAACCGAATTTGTCGTTCCTCCTTACTGTTACGACGCTGGTATCGGAATTTTTAACCCACGTACAAATTGTATCGTATCATATCGAGATCCAGACAAGGTACTTAAATATATATATACATATATATATATATATATATACATATATACCTATTTCGTCTGCGAGCGTTGTACGACTCTCGGTGTAGAAAATGTTTCTCACCTCTTTGATACAAGATTCTACTACCGGAAGGTTGGCCGCTTATATTAATGCTACTATATATTACATTACAAAGGTACTTCTAATACCGAACACTGCATTTATTCGATGGATAAAAAGCAATTGTCGCAAGGCATGGTCTGAACCGACCGGTCATCGAGAACACCTTTATGAAAATTGGTATTCTTCGAATTTCGATGCGGCTACTCTTTCGAAATTATTACCTTTCTCGAATAATTCCTCTGACTTTTGGTGGAAAAGGTACGGACGAAGTAACGTTAATCGTCTTTAATTCTTAATTCTCTTTTTATTTTTCTTCGTCAGGTTATCCAACTTTGAAAGAGATCGTGATCTAAATGAAGAAAAATTGAAAAATAATTGTTTATGTATCAAAATCAATCAAGTTCTGAATAGTGTTTAAATTGCATTGCAATTAGCTTCAACGGAAATATTTTAAGAAAGGCACATATAATAACATTTGAATGAATAATAATTTTATAAATATACCTTTTTATTTGAATTTATATGTACATATATATATATACATAAACATGTATATTTATGCACGCGCGCGCGTGTTTGTGTGCGTGTGTGTAACTATTTAATCAGTAACTGCTTTTGTTCTGTTACCATATTAGGAAAATTTTCTTTCCGATGAACGCGATAGATTATCGACACTCTTTTTGGTATACACTCGGTGCTTCTGCAAGCGATTATGTTCAAAGTTACGTGTACTTTATGTGTTTCGTTTCCTTCTGAAACTCTGATCGATATCGGACGCGAAAGCTCTCCGTTTGTCGATGTGGCAGTCCACGCGGTAGCCGATAAACTCACAATCCATATCTGTGGCGCATCCGGATTTAACTTTAAATCAGGTTCGAGGAAAACTACGTCGAACCTTAGTATTAATTCACCGCCTTTGTCACTAATTGTCGTGTCAAAGACAAAAGTGTTGTTAAAATCATTGTCCATTTCATTTACGGCCACTTTTATAGATAACTGTAACGTAACGACAAGCATGTTAAAACTGCTTCGAATCCAAATAAAACGCAGTTGATTAGTTTCGTCAGTACGCATTTAGTCGCAGACGTTTGTTAAATGAAATATATTTTTTACCGTAGTAATATTTTGCCTGTTCAAATCGATCACTTTTATCGCATGATTGTTTGTATCCGCAATGTATAAATTATTCCCGCTAGAATCAATTGTGATACCACTAGGTTCGTTGAACTGTGATAAAAAATGACAAAAGTTTCTATTAGGAAAACACTACCCATATCTGTAAATATGTATATAAGTGATCGAGTATTTCGAAATATATCGTACAAAAAATGTCTCGTTAGGTTTTCCATCACCGTATATAGTTTTGCAGGAACCAACAGTCGCATCGATTCTTTTAATTTTGTGGTTGTACGTGTCGGCTACGTAGATAACGTTCTCCTTCGAATGCCACGTTATTCCCAAAGGATGTTGAAGCTTTACCGTATACCGTGTGCCGTCCGAATCACCAAAATCATGTAGATCCTACGATAAATGATAGGATCATTGTAACGAATTAAAACGATACCGCGATATTACTTGATCTTTACCAACGATTCGTCATTTTTGAATAGCCGTTACCATTACGAGAAATCGCAAACTGTTTCGAAATCCGTTTATACGTTTAAACTAACCGCTGGATCTCTGTTTGCACCGCAAACTGCAGAAACGCGCCCATTCTGCAAATCTATACATCTGATTGCGCTGCTTTCGCTGTCTGCGAAATAAGCAATTTTATTTTTATGATCGATGGTCAATCCGGATGGTTGCGCTAAACCCGCTGCATGAGGATAAGCGTTGTTACGATTTTCCTCTTTACCACTTCCTACTATCGCGACGCACGAATCGGCCTTATACTCTCTATAATTATTTCGTAAATTAAAAAACGATCAATTTGCCAGGTATCAAAAAGAAACTACAATGTCTTACCTGTTTTTCCACCACACAGTATTTTCCAAGAAAAGAGCCCAAATCTGATGTATGCCCGCGATAGCGATCAATAGCACCGGTACTATCTTGTTACCGTTCTGATGATTAAAAACAGCTACATCCCATGGAGACGACAAAACCTGATCTTTACCCGTTTTACCTCCGATACGATCGAAACCTTGAATACCAGTACCAGCAACGGTGGTAACAATTTTTTTCGTCAGGTCTATCTAAAAATAAACTTCAATTCAGCGTGTTTGAAAAATACGAAATAACGAAATAATTCAAACTTTGAACGAACGATCGACCGTGTACCTTTCTAACCGCATGATTCTCGTTATCAGCTACGAAGATCGAATCACCTAATACGCACACACCTTGAGGTGCATTAAATCTGGCATTTTCAAAGTTGCCATCTCTGAAATCTGGATTCATACCACCGATAACATATTCCACCGTACCCACCATATCTGTCACTAAAATTCTATTGTTGCCGGTGTCTGATATAATCAATCTTTCCCCTTGTTCGCTCTGAAAGCTTTCTAACTTACTGGGGAATAAAAGTGTTTCCTTACTACCGATAGGCAATAAATGCCGTGCTAATTGCAAAGGAAGATCATGTTTAGATATTTTATTCAACGACTCGAAATATGTTAATGCTACGTTTGTGTATAGGTTTAATTCCTCTTTATGACCTTCTCCTACGAAAACTGCAAGTAATTCGCCTGCAGGACCTACGTAAGGCGTCAAAATATATTATTTGATAATGTTTGAATCCGAAATGCATTCGAAATATAGATTTTTCACCTATCATTATTAGAGTTGGCCAGCAAGAAATTCCTAAATCACGCCACATTGATAGCGTTGCGTCGTTTACGACTGGATGCGTTATGTCGTATCTTTGTATAGCTGATAATAGTCCCCTCGAATCGCGTTCGTTTGTAAATTTCGCACTGTGTACTCCAACCTGCGAATAAATGAAGGATACTGACGTTCGTAACCTTCTCGAAGTTATGTCAAAAATTACTCCGAGTATACTAACCACGACGAGACCATCCGTGATCGTGAATTGTTTCTCAAGGGCATGTAAATCCGGTAATATGTGCATACAGTTGATGCAACAATATGTAAAAAAATCCAGAATAATTATCTTCCCAACCAGATGTCGATACACGGATAGCCCCTCTGCGACGTTGAACCATTCTAAACCTGAAGTGTTTAAAATAAGGATTTCTTTGTAAATTTCATTATATTTACGATATCAAAAATTATAATGGCAAAACAATGGTTGTAGAAATTGGATAATATGGAACACGATACAATTAAAGAATTATGATAATTAAGGGATGGGCACAAAAAAAAGTATGCACAAGAGCATAATACAAAATTTAATCTTCTCCCGTGGATAAATCGTATCGCTGATATAAACTCCTAACTGTAGTTCCATTTGACATGGCTATTGCGCCTATAACCGTTTGAGTTACATCTTTTATATCATTGTATTCATGTAATAAATCCATAGTTCTTTCGGTAGAACTAAATTCTTTTTCCTGTATCATTAAACTGGATAATTCTTCGTCGAGAAGTTTTTCCGCTTCTAAGAGTTGAAAGTATTCGCGTGTTTCAGCTTCGTTAAGAGGAACATGTTCTTTAAGTCTTGTCTGTACATTGTTCACCCCCCTGCTATCTTTTAAATTTCTTTGCTCCTTGAATGTCTCATGTTCTTCTCTGCGGGACATGATTAATATGACACAGTATGTTTGTTACCTAATAAAAATCAAAATTGTCGTTAATGATGTCTTGTCTCTTAATCCTCCTTGTGTATGGATTTTGATAAACGAAATTTTTATTCAAAACAGCAAAGTGCATACATTTGCTAAATAATAAACTGTTGTTACTTAAAAAAATCTAACATTAGAACACATAATGATATACAAGATCAAAATGAAATCCAACCTTTCTGAAAATCGGTGACCCGTAATCCCCTTAACGAAAACTCTTCGATATGATTTAATATCAATTTTTCCCGTTCTTTTCTGTCAAACGACGATTCCAAATTTTGACGTATTTCTATACAAGTTCGTGTCAATTCTTCCACAGTGTCTCGTACGTTCATATTTTACTTGCTCTATTAAAAATTGTACGTAAAGAAAAATAAAAATTATGACCTACAAATTCAGCTTAACACACTTCTCAAAATGAAGAAAAAAAATAGAATTAATTATTACGATCATTTTCTCAAAATGATAAGTTAGCGTTTCAATAATATTTCAACTGCTTAGAACTTTTGATTTTCTCGAAAGATGGCACTTTAGAACTATCGCCATTTTCATTGGCTGTTGCCTTCAACGCATATATGTATATATATATATATATATATGTATATATATATATATATATATGTATATATATATATATATATATGTATATATATATATATATATATGTATATATATATATATATATATGTATATATATATATATATATATGTATATATATATATATATATATGTATATATATATATATATATATGTATATATATATATATATATATGTATATATATATATATATATATGTATATATATATATATATATATGTATATATATATATATATATATGTATATATATATATATATATATGTATATATATATATATATATATGTATATATATATATATATATATGTATATATATATATATATATATGTATATATATATATATATATATGTATATATATATATATATATATGTATATATATATATATATATATGTATATATATATATATATATATGTATATATATATATATATATATGTATATATATATATATATATATGTATATATATATATATATATATGTATATATATATATATATATATGTATATATATATATATATATATGTATATATATATATATATATATGTATATATATATATATATATATGTATATATATATATATATATATGTATATATATATATATATATATGTATATATATATATATATATATGTATATATATATATATATATATGTATATATATATATATATATATGTATATATATATATATATATATGTATATATATATATATATATATGTATATATATATATATATATATGTATATATATATATATATATATGTATATATATATATATATATATGTATATATATATATATATATATGTATATATATATATATATATATGTATATATATATATATATATATGTATATATATATATATATATATGTATATATATATATATATATATGTATATATATATATATATATATGTATATATATATATATATATATGTATATATATATATATATATATGTATATATATATATATATATATGTATATATATATATATATATATGTATATATATATATATGTCCACCGAAAGAAAGAACAAGATTTAACTATAGAAAATCGTATGTTCATGATTGCACTGTGTCACGTTTGTGGTTCGTTTGTAACGAATACAGTGTTAATTTTGTAAAATTCTATAAATTCTATGTTACTAATGCAGCAACATTTTTCTTTCTGATAACAATGGAAAATTTAACGAAAAATCGTCTTGATTTGGGTAAAGTTCGTGTATGATTACTACTATTTGTCCATGTACAATCTTAATATATAATATGCGAATATGTCTCAAGATACATCAAACAATTCGAAAGAAATGGACCAATTTGATTGGATTAAAGTTTTCGACGAAGAATTCAAAACTGAATCGTTTCTAGACAAATTAATACGCAAAACAAGTCAAAACCCTGCAGTACCTATAGGTACTTATAACCTTTCTGTCTCTATGTCTTGTCGGCACACAAACATGTATATACAATTATTTCATCATGTGGTACTTCTTTATCATTCCAGGTACTATAGCAACTACAGCTGCTCTCTCTTATGGTCTTTGGAACTTCCATAAAGGAAATAAAATAATGTCTCAATACATGATGCGTGCACGAGTGGGGGCACAGGCTTTTACCATTTTGTCCGTAGCTATTGGATGTATTTACCTATCGAATAAACCAAATAAGTAGTATATTTATCTATAGTAGTTTGTTAGATGGTGAATTTATTTCATTGTTTAATTTATCAAGTCGTTTCAACAAAACATTCTATATCCGTACAACTTTGGTTCGGAAAAGAAATAAATTTTATTTTTAAGTGTAAGCGAAAAGGTTCATATAATATTTTATAAAAAATAATGCTGCGTGAAACTGATGTAATAAAATTTATATGTTGTCCATGGAATAAATAGATTTCGTGCGACACGAGTATTCTTATTGATTCCTGTTAAATTTGTTTATTGTATTGGTGTAAATTTCCAAGACACAGAATTGCAAAAGACAAATTCCATATAAAATATACAATCCTTATTAAAGGGCAATAATATTTATGGTTCTTATAATAGTTCTTGCAGTATCCGTAATTAATAATAATAATAATAATAATAGGATAAGTGTTTGGTAAATTACACAATGTATATATTTAAAATTAATCGGAATAGTAAAATATCCTGTCGTTTATCGAAAAAGTCGTTGCATTTGTTTAAAAGTATTATCTATTGACATTGTGTTGTCGTAGATTGATCCTCGCATTTTGTCGTCAACGAAGCAGTTTCTTGTGTTTGCGTGCTTGTTCGAATTCTCTGAACATGGAATTTGTTGTAAGCTTATCGCCGCATGCTTCCACTTAGAATGCTCCATGATACGCGTTGTCAATTGTTCGAACCATCGTTGTAAATCCTCCTTTGAATCTAATTCCATAAGATCGTGCTTTTCAACGCCGTCTATCTGGTTGGTTATCCGTAACCGATTGTTTATCGATTTTGACCGCTGAACAAGAGTTTCCTAAACAACGGAACTGACTGATTACTAAAGATCATACGGATTGTAATCTAATAATAGCATTTAAGTTTACCCGATTCACGCAGATCGTATACGTTGGTTTTTCTAATTTCTCCGCTAGTTTCTTCGATTTCCAAGCTTCGATCTGGAAATTTCGCAATTGTGTCCAATAACGTTGATTATTTATTATTACAAATTCTGCAGAAATTTGTTTATCGATAAAATTTGGTTTAACGGCTAAACGGCAACAAAAGTGTCCGAAAAGCGGTAAAGCATGAGCTTTGTTATCTGAAAAATAAAATTACGATTGAATGCGAGTAATGAAATATTAGTGTGAAGCATAGATAGTAGACGACTACGATTGGTTCAAATAAAGTAGAATCTTTGAATATAAAGTGGCAGAAGAAAGGTGAAACATGTAAACGGATCCTTACCAAAACTGTTCAACGTTAAATCGTGTGAACGTACATTGTTATCAGTATCGTCGAGAGTCATCTTTGCATACGCGAGTAGATCGAATTTCGGTCTACGAAACAAATTTTACATTAAAACAGAATGTGTGCAATGACGAACATGTAGTAACTTACGTTTTAGTAGCATCGTTTTGGTCGCGTAAAGACGCCCCCAGTTTTCTGCCTACGGTTTTCGATATCGAAGAATGAATAGACTTTCTTATTTTCCTCGGAGTACTGGCAATGCTTAGATCTTCTTGAAGTACGTGACTATATATTTCCAGAGTCAACTCGAATTCGGCCGATACATTATTACTGTATACATATAGAAATCGAGTAAAAAGTTGAAAGGCATAGTTAACGGATTCAAAAAAAACGGAACGAAATGCAACGTCAGAAGACGATTAAAGTACTTACAATAATAAAGTGTCAGGGAAGCTTATATCTGTTTGTTCTCTGTCAATGGGATACAATAAACTGGTATCTTGAACTTCTGCGCCTACGCGAGCCAAACAGAAAACGGCGAATCTTCGATAATCGCCGCGATTTTTAAAATGATCGGAATCTCTCCACATCAGCGGAAATCTAAAATCTGAAATGGATAGTTTTCCGTTGCTCTCGGAAATGCTGAAATACATACGTGTACATGCAGATGAACTAGATTAAATAATGTCTGATAAATTTTCAGTCATTCTTACCGTAATTTTTTCGAATAAATAAATAAATAAATACTTCGTTTTGAACGATGCATTTTCTCCACGATGCTGTAATTCGGTCATGTAGGTAGACATTCTTTCATTCGAGGTAAATAATGCGCGTGCTGCTTCCAAACTTTGAGCAGGATGCTGCGCTGCAGCCAATAGCCTTGCGGACCCTTCTTTTATCTTAATTTCTAATTCAATTTTTCGCTCTAAATCATACTGCTAAAAAGGATACAAGGAAATACTTACATGTATACATACAGTTTAGTTCAGTTAATTTTTGTTTGAATTATTTGTGCCAACTTTAAGCAAATGAGAAGAAAGAACCGTTGGCATAACGATAGAAAATATGAGAAAGAGAGATAGAAGAAAAAAATTTTCGAAATATCTTCGTGGATAACACAAATACCAATAATTAATCATTCGAATATTTTTCGAGACTGAATTCATGATGAATCATGAATAGTTTCAATTGATCGTTTTTGTAACGCGACGCGATACGACAATTCGTTGTTGAATATAACCTAATCATTCATAATGACAATTCCTGACGGAAAAAAATGTTTTACGAACATCGATCTACCTAAATAGTCGGAGGTATGTTTATTACGTATCTATAGGATTCCAAAATAATAATATGATCGGCTAAAAGTTATATTATATAAAACGTTGAAAATGAATAAAATTATATTAGTCACTGAGAACTTACCGCTACATTTTTATAATTTCTGATACTTTCTCGTCTTCGAACTCGTGCTTGATAATCACTTAAAGAACGTAAATAATTATTTTCCTTATCTAAAGTACTATTTGATGATCTTTGCAGTGCTTTGATACTTTTCCTGTGTGGCGCCATTTTGCAACTCAACGTTCTTGTGGAATTGCTTTGGATGCACTGCTTGTGCACATAAGTAACGATAGCCGTTGGAAGAAGATGGTCATTATGAAAAACGTATCAAATCGAAACGTCAGTAGGAGGAAATAGAGAAAATGAAGAAAAATAATTGTATTTGATAAAATGATTTTATAAATTCGTAGTTTGAAAGGATACAACTTAAATAAAAAACGGAAAATTGCGTGTAGGTTTGAAAAATCTGAAACGCGTATATTTTCGTTTACAGATATTCTCGAAACAGTAATTAACAGTAAAGAAGTATATCGAATCAGCGTAAATTTTTCATTTCTTTTCCGTATCTTTCTCCGGATCCTTTTCCTTCTCTTTGTCTTTGTCCTTTTCTTTTTCTTTATCCTGTTGAAGAGATCCCACGGCTTGACGAACGGCTTCAGAATGAGGATCAACACCTGGCAAATTTTCCAATACCGATTGCAGAAATGCTGGATCCGACATAACAGCAGCGTAGTCCTCTTCAACTTCCATTGCTTCTTCCTTTAGAGACTCGAGTTCTTCTACAAATTAATATAAACGATAATGAAAAGTATGCACGCGTATACGTGTATGTTAGAATGCAATATGCCACAAAAATACTCGTCGTACGTTGATCTTGCATGGACATTTGCATGGCAAACGCAATTTGCTCTTCCTCCGTCATACGAGCAACATCGGGTACATTTATTACGTTTGCGGGAGCAACGCTATCGTTCGTCGATGACGAATTTTCTGTATCTTCGAGCGACATGGCAAGCGCGCGTTTTAACATTGCCTCTTCGTTGGGTACTTCCTTGATTGTTTCCGGTTGTTTATTTGTAGCAGTTTCATTCGCTTGCGCGCGCCGGGCTTCATCCTCTTGACGTTGTCGTTGTTCTTCCATAGAAACACGCAATGCCTAATGGAACAAATCGTACAAAAAAAATTAGTTACAAGTTATGAAACGAAATCGGTAGTAATAAAAGATAGAAAGGGCCGCAAGTACAAACCAACGCTAACTCTGGGTCCTCGTTTGGATCGACACCAAATTCGAATGCGGCACCTCCCATTCCTGTACCACCCATTCCATCTTCTCCTTGAATAATGGGAGATGAGATAAGCGCATCACTTAAATGTGGTCCAGGTGGAACGGTAACCAAATGGCTACCAGTTCCATCCTTTCCATTGAGAGCATTAATAAAGGCTGTCAATACTTCGTTATTGATACTTTCTTCGCCAAAGCTAATCATATCCACATTGACTTTTTCCTTTTTTAACCTTTTCGCTAATTTTACTAGTTCTTTCTCGTCAATCTCTATTGGGCTACCGATAAAGGCCACAATGCGCATTTTATGATTTTTACCTTGACGATGTTTTAACGCCAACTATGGATTAACAATTTCAGTTATAGTCAGCTTGTTTGTTGTTTTAATAAGACACAACATACATTTGCAAATTGTTAATATACTTACGTGTGCAATTCGTATTCCAGTAATTAGACTTAAATTACCATTTGGTTGAACTTGATGGAGCTTGGAGAGAATTCTACCAACGTCGCTAGTAAGAGTAGCCAATACCTCGACACTATGATAAATCATAAAATGATTATACGAAGAATACATAAATGTTTGTTATATAGAAGATTGGCACAACGTACTTTGCTAGAGTTATGAGACCCACATTATTTTCAGGATTCGAGCGAGTTTTCGAGTGGCAAACTAAATTAACAGCGTCTTGCTGAGCTTGAAGTCGTGTTGGTAAAAAATCTCCGTTTCTCATATAATCGCTGTTGTCGACACTACAAACATTTGGAAAGATATCAATAATTAAAACGACAATTGTCCCCCCTTCATATAAGTACTTATAATGTATCGATATCGCATAACCTCTATATAAATAATAAATAATCTTTATCCATAGTTTATTTATTAAAATGAATATTTTGAAGTTAATTGCTCGGTAAGAATATTATTTCTAATTCTAATTCGAATTGGACATCGTATCCGATGAGTTTTACTCTCGAAAGACAATTCATCATAATTACTGTTTCAGATATTTCAACTTTGCAATGTCACTCAACTAAAATGTTCACGATGTATCAAGGTAGTGAACATTTAAAAGAACAACTAAAAAATTTTAGTGTACGAAAATAGATTAGGAATATAGATATCGGAAAATATCAAAGTTTTCGTAAATTTCATATAAGATAATGAAACTTTACCATATCATCGTACTTTCCAGTACCATCTTGATGCGAATTACAGTCACAACAGGCTTGAACTCACATTAGGACTAGACTACTATATTCCAATTCCGTTTCCCTTGAGTCAGCTAATCCGTTTCGCTGTTCCATTTCATTCCGTTTCTCGTTCCTTCGTTACTCACACACCACACTCATATTCATATACATATATGTATATATGTGCGTATAGTGCATATGTATTTAAAAAATATGAATGTGCGTGCAAAATTGAATTTTTTATTCGATATTATTTATCAGAATATAAATGTACATATATATGATTGAGCGAGCGAGCCGAAGGCGAGCGAAGCTCTTATACTTGACTTTGCAACTTCTTTGTCCGCGTTTTTCTTTTGCACCACTCAACCAATTCTCGTATTTTGCCACTCAACCAATTCTCGTCAAATTTTGCATGCACATGCGTATGTACATCCAGATGGACATACAAAAAAAAAAATTTTAATCGGACTTGCCACGAACGAATAATCACCGAAGAAACTGATCCCAAAAAGTGAGGGTCTGAATACGCAAATAAGGAAAATAAAAAAATGAATATTTCGGCACTTTGTCGACATAGTATGGTTCCTGAGGCATTTAGAAACAAATTTCCATTAGGGTTTGATGCGTTTTGATGCCTAATAAAGCCAGAAAATCAATTTTTGTAGAATTCGGTCGAAAACGGTACAGGTGGCGCCATCTAGCGGCGAGCGACGGAACTACGAAAAACTAAAATCTCGATTTTCTCGAAAACTAACGAATTTTAAGTACTTCTGAGGGTCAGAAATTGTTTCGTGATCTCTCTACAACCTGTATATTGCCACAAGAACCTCCTAAAAGCGCTAGAAAAGAAAATTTAAAAAATGGTCAAAACATGGACTAAAAAATTGGCGTCCATCTAGTGGTGAAAGTTGGAACTACAAAAACATAAAAATGTGCTTTTCTCGAAAATTAGCGAACTTTGAGTACTTCCGAGGCTCAGAAAGTGCTACGTGATCGCATTAGAAGCTAAATAATGCAAGAAAAGTTTCCTAAAGTCTTTAATAAAGAAAATAAAAAAAATGTCATTTTATGGTGAAAATTTGTGGCGCCATCTAGCGGCGAAACTGCGAACTAAACCGAAAAACCGTATGTCCGAATACGCTTTGAGGGGTCAAATAAAAATTGATTTTCTGGGCTTAATAGGCAAAAAAATGAATAACTTATTAAACAAAAGTTGCTTTAAAATGTCTAAAGAAGCATACTACGTCGTCAATGTTGCCAAATATTACTTTTTATATTTTTCCTTAACGCGTGAACGAGCATACGGTTTTACAGTTTAGTTCGCAGTTTCGTCGCTAGATGGCGTCACAATTTTTTTTCCATAAAATGACATTTTTTTCATTTTCTTTATTAAAGCTTTCAGGAAACTTTTATTGCTTTATTTTGCTTCGAATGCGATTTCATAACACTTTCCGAGCCTCAGAAGTACTCAGAGTTCGCTAATTTTTGTGAAAATCGCATTTTTATTTTTTTGTAGTTCCAACTTCCACCGCTAGATGGACGCCAATTTTTTAGTCCATGAAATGGGCTATTTTTCTATTTTCTTTAATAATGGTCCGAGCAGGCTATAATTACATTCGTTCGATTCCGTAGGCGACAAGGAACAATTTGTATATCTCAGAATTTCGGAAAAGTCGCTATATTTCGAGAAAAATCGAGATTTTAGTTTTTCGTAGTTCCGTCGCTCGCCGCTAGATGGCGCCACCTGTACCGTTTTGGACCGAATTCTACAAAAATTGATTTTCTGGCTTTATTAGGCATCAAAACGCATCAAACCCTAATGGAAATTTGTTTCTAAATGCCTCAGGAACCATACTACGTCGTCAAAGTGCCGAAATATTGCATTTTGCATATGCAGTAGAATTGACATAGGCGGCTCATGTACGTATCGCAATGCTGAAACAAAATAATTAATTACTCATTACCCGAACATTATTTACGAACTTTTATGATCGAACCACGTAAATAATGCATTGCTGACCATTCTTTAATCATAAAAGTTCATAAACTGTGCTCAAAAAGTGAGTAATTAACGATTTTGCATACTCATTGTTGTGTATATTCCTCCTACGCGCCGCCCGCGCATGCCACGGAGGAATAAGTACCGAAAAACCATATCCTCGTAGACTTTAATGCAAAATTGGATTTGCTCGCGCTTATGTACTTGACTTTTCAACCTTTTTATCCACGCTTTTCTCTTGCACCACTCAACCAATTCAACCGGATGACGCGGTTGACTATTTTTGCTTTAGCGTGAAATTTACTCGCTCGCTGAACATTGTTAGGTTAGACGCGGAGCGCCTAATCAAACAGACCTAGTATTTTTTATTTATCTTTAGTGAAAAGGGGAAAAAATATGGAAAATAATATTCTATACTTGTATAGGTACATATAAATATGCGTAACGTTCGGTCGAATTTTGGTGTATTTAAAAAAAATAGTGATCAATTTCACTCATGATTGAATATTTGTTTCGCTAATAAGAATGACAAAAATAATAAATAGGCTGAGAAGTGAGAAATATACAAATGTAAACGATTTAATAAAAATATAGAATGATCGTGTGAAGAACATCGACGGAAAGAAAGATGAAAGAAATGAAAGATGGAACAAATAAAGGAGAAAGAGGAGGAAAGTATGACAAGGACTAGAGCGAAGAAGATTCAAGGATCATGTTTAGTTGGAGCGTGGAATATCTTGGTGCTTGATCCATCAAAGTTGCTTCTTCGTAAGTAGGGGGTTGATCGTTGCGATTCCACTTTTTATGCGCCATTTCTCTGGTTCGTCTGCGATTGCCAAGAGCACGAATAATGACTATGAAAGGTCCTAGAAGCAGCATAATTATTCCAATTGCGAGCATGATTATCGCTATGGCTGCTCCAATTCGATTGACAGGGGAACGGCGTGGCTTCGTTTCATTTTTACTATTTCCTATTTTAGTTTCGTACGATATTATATCATCAGCTCGATGTTCCAAGGAATTTCTCTCGTTTGATGTAGCAGCGTTAGCGGAGCCAATGCGTTTAAGTTCGAACGAAACGCTTGGCGTCGTATTATTTATTATCTTTTCCGAAATATAAGAACCTTCGTCGGAAGCAAGCGAAACAATAACGTTCTTTTCATAATTTATAATCTTTGGCTCGTTGTTTTTATTCGAAGGAACTATCAAAGTTTGAGTGGCACGTGGGCCTCTAGTATCGTGTTCTTGACGAACTCCTATTGTTGTTTTTTTCGAAGTTTCTTGGCCGATGTGATGTGTTCGACGAGAGGAATGCAATTTACGTGGTAAACGTTCATTCGACGACGTAACATCGTCTAGGTTATCGGCAACGGCGTTTGTCCGACGGACACCGATTCGGTTGACTTTCGTTACGTGTCGTCGGTTTTCAGTAACGTTCGTTGATTTTCTGATCGATTCTTTCTCCTCCCATCTTTCCAGCTTTTCCTGCGAAAATAACATTTGTTCGTTCAAACTCATTCTTCTTCCCATGCTAAAGAAACGTACGTAGCGCGAAAAGTGGAAGAACAGTAGTTTTACGAACATGATTTTTAACGGTTTTCTCTTTCTACTAGTGACAACATTCGTTAGAATAACGAAGAATGTAACATCTGAACGAACATACGAGATACGCTACGATGAAACGCCTTGTACGTAAACGAACATGTTCCTCCGTAACGCTATACCGCACATTCAATTACATTGTACGTATGTATGTACGTTTGTGGATATCGTCGAATAAAGTTCGCGGAAAATCGTGTAAGTCGGTCGTTGAACGTATCGTTATCGTTTGTTGCGCGTGTATTGTATTTTCTTAATCGATTAAAATGTCGAACCTGTACGTCAGCAGTATCATTTCGCGACTTCATTTTGTCACGTAGAGAGATTGCACCTTTTTGAAGCAGTATAATCCCAACGACACACCAAATAGTCAGCTGAAAGACTATTATCAATTTTGGAGTCCATTTGTTTGTTTCTAATTGTAAAGACATCTTTCTAAAAAATAAAAGAAGAAAAGAAAAGAAAGGGACAACAGAGAAGAGGAGAAATAAAAGGAAAATAAAAAAAGGAATCTAGCAAAAATATAAAGTATAACGTATCTACATAATATCCGAATGACGATCGAATAAAAATATTAGCAATAATTTTGCGATTGTACTGTCAGAAAAAATGAAAAAATGACTAGTTGATCGTCGTCGACTTACTTCGATGCGTGCACGAACCGTCGTCACCCTTTCTTTTCCGAAAGGGGTCACGAACGAACGCACGAGCTTTTCGTCTTGTTTAAAATCAATTCGTCGATTCTGAAAGAGTAGAATATCGTCTTAGAATTGACGGATTTTTAACGGAATTAAGTAGATTAATTCTTAAATAAATAATTCTATCGTAAATAAATCGAAAATGAGGGAAGAATCACGAATGAGCGAATGACAAGGAGCGTTGTAGAAAAATCAAAATTACAGAGGTCCTCGTATCGCAACGCATTGACACCATTTCCGACGATTGCATTTCTACTTACTTTCGTTTCTAGGCAAATCTAACAACGCCTAGATCATTCATTTTCTCGGTTTCTTTTTTTTCATGCACATATTTGCATAAGCCAATGCGACGACGAATTGGCTGGTTCTTTTACCTTCGGATGTCACGTTTTCTCCTTTTCCTCCTCCTCCTCCTCTTCTTTTTCTTTTTTCTTCTTTTGCTTCTTCTGTTTTTCCTCTTTCCTTCTTTCGATTCGTTTGTATAATAATGTACTGTGTATTAAAAGATTGTTGATCAAAATCGATTGGCACGTACACATTACCGTGATCTCGTTACGTACATATGACCGTGGTGATCTACACCGATCGATCGTAACTGTTCCTCCACGCTCGTTTCGCTGTTCGCACGACCATTCTTCGATCGGTTAATCGTTTGGTCAGTTTGTCGACGAATAACGCATACGTCATCCGCAATATGTATGTACTTCGGTGCGGTCACGTCTCGTGGATCGTGCCGCGGGTCTTTTCGATCTTTCATTATTTGGTTCTTACATTCCAACTCTGTCAGTTCATGCGCCGAAGTACTTACATACGTGCTTTTCCCTCCTCATTCCGTATACCTTGGTAAACAGAAATTTTACTCTGTATCTGTACAATATTGTACGAGATTTACGCAATCATTGTTTTCTCTCTTTCAAACGATTATTCGCGCGTACTTGACACCTGCACGATCGATGCAAAAGTTTGTCCGATCCAACGTTACTAATTATATTTAATAGCTGAATTGCTTTTAGTTTGGAATTTTTACCTAATATAATAACTATTATATGTATATACATATGTGCTTATGTAATTGTATGATCGATGCTATAAGGTCAAGTTGAAAGAAAATAATTACTTACTTTATGGAAATAAGAAAAAATGATATATAATATGCACGTAAAACCAGTTTATTACATGACGAAATGGATGCGCATGTACTGCGTTAATTTTACCAAAATACTTCCACGATTTATACTTTTCGCGCCAATGACGATAATTAAATAGATTGTACGATGGATTCTTGACGATACATGCGATTCTTTCCAACGATATCTATGTAAGATATTGTTCCTTTCGATTCATTTTCTGTTTATATATGTCTGTGCACATATACATACGTACATGCATATCTTAAAAACTTTATCGTTATTTCAACTAAATTATTGTCTACGTATAGAACGTCCGTGCGTGACGATTTTATGATAAAGTTAAATCTTCGTTCAACGTATTTATTATGAACAATTATTCGTTTCATAGATATTCGCTCAGTGCCGAATATGACTATTTGCAGTTTATTTGTTTATCATTCATTGACCAGTGATATGGTTGACCACTGAAGATACTCGAATCTTAGTCATGAAGTAGCGGTAACGATTTTGATTGGTGCCGCCATTTTTTCAACAAAGCCCATACTGCGAATTTAATTTGTAAATAATGATATATTTTAACATTAAGAATGGTTGCCTTAATAATAATAAGTATTAATGATAATATATTGTTTCATGTCCATGAATTAGTGTTCAATTTATTTTTATATACGAAGTATATATACTGGGTGTCTCGTTTAATGTAAGTAGCTTAAACGTAAGATTTCATGAAAAAAAACTACAGAGAGCAAATAAAATATTTTAATAATAAATCAACGGCAATCTATAATATATAGAAAATAAATAATGTTTTATTACTAATGCAATTTGTTTTTGCAAATGTTAATGCGATTCTTTACAAATGAAATTTCGTACCGTGAATTTTATTGAAGAATGGCGTAACTGACCTAACCTTGATAAGTATTTCAGGACTCGAATTAGAAGATTTCCAGTTGTCCACGGTATAACATTGCCATCTAGCGAGCATCCTTGAATTCTGCACGCACAAATCTCATGGTACGAGCCATACCTTGTATGTTAAGGTTTAAGGTTCTAAATTTTAAAACGTAGACTATATAAATGTATGTGGTTTAAAGTGACCAATTGCATTGGTCAAAATTGAAGCAGCTGTAAAGCCATTGAATTTGTACATACTTCGGTTACACGAATAAAAATTACCTATTCGAGGTGACAAAAAGTTGTAAGTACGATATGGGCAGATGTGCGCATGCCATGACACGGTGCGTGTATCTATGAAAGTATGGCCAGCGTAGAAAGCACGTACGGATGCATCTAATATTATCTTGGATTCTGAACTTTTTAAACGCGATTATTCCGTGCATTGGGTGCTGCGTGTCAATGAATTTTATCGAGAGGTATGTAAATATTTCACGCGAACGATAAGGAATTCCATGTCTCTTAACGTCGATTAACGTCAAAGGTTAAGGATGAAAGTAATCGAATAACCTAGAGTGAACGCGTAAAGGCAAAATCATAGACGCGATGCGATCGGACGATATTCCAAATGCAAGATAACGAAGAGTTCAAACTTGTAGTTCGTCGAAAGAAACGCGCGTCTCTCGTACGAAAATGTTCCGATTCAAAAGTTCCTTTAGCCGATGACGGAAATAACGATAGTGATTTCGATATCGATTACGAAACACTTTTTAGGTAAGGCAATGTGCGTGTTTTTCGAAGATTTAGACAAATACCATCGAACTCCTGAGAGAATATTAACAGATTAGCTAACATCGAATAACAAACTTATGCACGATTCGCGCATCTCGACGTTTCATCGGATTAACGAGTTCTATAATGGAAGATGATTTGCATTCGCCTTCACGATGTACGTGATGTATCCATGATCTCTTAATTCGGTTTAATTATTTTTGTAGGAGAGCTTTACGAACTCGTTAGAGCTACGTTAAGTGTTAATATTCTCTCGTGTCTCGAAATGTCGGTAAGCGAAAATTTTCTTCGATGATTTTATATAAGGATAATTTTCAGAACGATTCTCGAAGCAGAAGTCGAACTGAGAAATTCGGTGTTCGCTGACGATGTTTTTTACCGTTTGGAAGATTCGTTGAATGCCTTAAGGCTCGACGGTGTTTCTGAGATATTGTGTTACGGTTTGGGACATTTCTCTCGTCGCCGAGCTTCGAAATATCAATTGGCATTGCTTCTATTGTTAAGAAAATATTATAATTCTAGAGTTCACGTGTACGACCCTGTCTTTTATTTACGCGAGATTCAAATTCTCAAGCGGTTCAACTGCAACGTAATAGAAATCAACGAGGAAGGCAAACGAATCGTACAGGATGGCGTAACATTGATATACATGCCGCACTGTTCCATTTATTTGACTAATAATTTTCTTTACACAAATTGGAGCAAAAACTTAAGCAAGTGTATTCTGTTGACTAATAGCTTTTCCATCGTGACGGATAATCTGATAAAGGCGAATAGATCCGTTTCCCTCGATTACGTGTTGCGTATTCGACCGTATGTTACAGAAATTCCTTTGAGAAATAATTTTACTTATAAAGACGTGTTTAGCGACCTAAATATTCATATATTTCTCGAAGAAAACATTAACGCGATACCTCAGAGTTTTTGGAATAAAAGAGACGAACCGTGTTATCAAGGTACAGAGATTCATTACTTGACTGCTGCTCAAACGGAACGTATGGACCTTACGAATCGTAATTATCTGCTCGTTTACGCTTAACTTTATATAAATACATAATAAAGTCGCAACGTTTGCCAACATCGAAATACGATACAATCTCTTATTAAATGTTTATTCGATTTTAACTAGCAATTAATTTTGTTCTAGGTTGTACGAAAGATGAAACCTAACGCAAAATTAGCTCGCTCCCTAATACGAGAAATACGACGAGTATCCTCCGAACAAAACACGAAGAACGATACGATGGCACAATATATTTTAGAACAAGCGCGATCTCATCGAGAAACCTCTCAAGTTTTATGCAAAGCGCGGGAAGAGTTGAAAAATTTAGCGGAGACATATTTGTGCTATTTGACCTCGCAGAGAATGTGTAAAGAAATCCAAGCACGATACACTGGTAAAGGTGAACGAAGTATCAGAGAAACTGCCGATCTTGTTGGATTTAAACTACCTCACGATCCAAAATAATTCCGTTTCGAGATGATAATCGAGTCACGAGAGAGATTTATTAATAGTGTCGAGACTTCGTGAAAAGGGAGAAGAAGAAGTAGAAAAAAATAGGATTATTATTCAAACAAAAACAGAAATAAAAAAAAAAACAGAGAGAAAAAAACATTTGAACCGTTAAAAGACGAACGTATTTTGATGATAACGATATATTCAGGAATATTCTTTGCGAATGCATTTTGCTATGGTCGATAACTGCATGTTACTGGTCCCTTCGTAGATTGTGCCGATTTTGGAATCTCTAAAATACTTTTCTTGCGGAAAGTCGGTCGTAAATCCCACTCCACCCATAAAGTCGATGCATTTTGCAGTGACGCGTAAAGCAGTTTCTTCGTGAGAAACAGAAAAAAATAAAAATAAATAAATAAAACAAAATGACATTAAATTTTGTATTGTTTCGTATATAACAAGTATATATGAAAAATGAAAAATAAATTCATGCTAGTTCCAATAAAATTAATAAGTGAATACATAATACTTACCCGAAGCTACAAGTTTTGCCATAGCTGCCTCCTTCATTACATCTTTTTCAGCATCGACTAATCTGGCTGCATTGTAAACCAATAATCTAGCGCACTCGAGCTCGGTAACCACTTGGGCAATTTGGTGTTGCATCGACTGACGGAAAAAGAAAACGTTATCTTCTGCGTCTATTCTGTATCGTTTAATATTCATAGATATTAATTGTTGTTTCCTTCTTATACTTGAAACGAAAATATATCCTTTCCAAATTGCTTTCTTTCCAGTGTATAGGGTATAGTAGCATCCAAGCAACCTTGTGCTATACCGATCATTTGAGCTCCGATACCGATTCGACCTTCGTTCAAGAATCCGGCGGCATATTTGTATCCATGACCAAACTGTCCTAAAATATTATCTTCGGGAATCTAAGCATAGGAGCAACGAAAAGAAACTGTATTAATAACCGGTAGAATTTTCGGCAAGTCCGACGGAAAATAGTGTTCAGCTTTAATTAATCGTTTCAGTTACCTTAACGTTCTCGAAGTGAATCATACACGTGCCCGATGCTTTTATTCCTAATTTATCCTCAGGTTTAGCTACCGTTAATCCTGGTGTATCTCGTTCTACGAAAAATGTCGTAATGCCACGATATCCCTAATAAAAAAAATACGAATATATTATCGCTTCTCGTTACGATACATGTACTCTTTCGACTCTTGAATGTCTAGAAATTAATTTCTTAAACTTACAGCAGAAGGATTTGCATTTGCAAAAACTAAAAACAATCCTGCGATGTCGGAATTCGAAATCCACATTTTGGTACCATTTATCACATAGTGAGATCCTTCTTTTTTAGCTTCAGTCTTTAGAGAAAAAGCGTCTGATCCGGAACCGGGTTCCGTGAGACAAAAACTACCTGCCTAAGATGTGTCGATGGGACGGGACAATTGGGAAAGGAAGAAAACAGAAAAATTCGATTAGAATTATGTGACTTATTGTTGCGTATTACCAATTTCGTTGCTTACATAATCTTGAGCCAATTTAGGCAAATATTTTTCTTTCTGTTCTTCGGTAGCGACTTTCTTGATTAACGAGTTTACCAAAGTGTTATGAATGTCGACCAAAGCTGATACGGCTCCATCAACTTTTGCCACTTCTTCGACCGTCAAAATCGTTGTCATGAAATTGCATCCCGAACCGCCGTATTTTTCTGGTATTTCGATGCCCATCAACTGATCGATTGATCGGTTGATCGAAGACGTGTTTGAATGTACATGCCAGTACGTGGCATATAGTCGTGCAAGTTGAAAATCAAGAAAAATTTATCGAGGAAAAGAACGCCTATAATACTTGATGGTCTACTTACACCATTTTCGAAAAGCTTTCGTAGCAAACCTTCGTCTATTTTTCCTTCTTTTTCCATTTTTCGTACGAGTGGAGCAATCTCCTCTTTCGCCAATTTACTAACTAGAAAATTAATCATTTTTTCTTTCGTAATATTAAAATTCTATATTTGTATGGATAATTAAACGATTATAAAAAACGATTATATGAATTGTAATAGATACGCGTAAACAACAATGGTATAATTACCACTTTCTTTCATTAAAAGTTCTTCGTCTGTAAATTCGGACAAAGGACCAGGAGTACGGTCGAGTCGCGGACCACACGTGCTCAGTTTCCTTTCGACGCATATGTTTTTCGGTATCTGAAAAATCGACCGTTACCATTATGGAAAATATGTAACGTCATAATTGATGGATATGGCTGAAATCGAAAAAGATCTAAAATGGAGGCGATAGTTTTCCTTTGTTTGTTGGGAACGTTTAAAAAAAGAAATGAAGAAAAAAAGAAGAAACAGAAAACGTCAGTTAATCGATGACGATTTAAGTGACTAACCGGCTTCTATGAAAAATGTATAGCGTTAAATGAAACAAAAATGTGAACACCGTTTCCAAAATGCACTTTCCACAAAACCGATCGTTTCGATATTATAAACTGTTTCATAATTATAGCGAATTCGCGAAAAATATTCGTGATTATAATCGCGTTGCTTTCGAATCAAATTTTCGTTGTTTTCGATATCGTAACGTTTGTTTCTTCCGTTCTGGAACGAGAAAGTTTTTCGTTAACATGTCTTCAGTGTTGAATTCAGCATTAAATTGTTTGGACGATCAAAAATCGATGTGTGCAGTCACGTACCTGTCGCATCAATGGTTTGAGCAGATTCGCACTGAGTTTGAGATTCATATTGAAACGTACCAACAAAGTGATTCCGACAACACGGTAATAGAAATAGTAATAGAAACTGCAACTAATAACGCGCGAAGCGCTGACGAAACGTAGAACTTTGATAAGACAACAAAGAAACGAGAGATATCGACCTCGTTTCGTCGTGGACTGATTAAATACTGACTACTTTATAATATCTCATACATCAAAGTTCTCGCTTGAAGCTTCGTTCGCGTTCGATTATATAAAGTATCAAACAGGTTCTTACGCAATAAAAGCAAGAATTAAAAGTAAAGCAGAAAAACAAGTCCCAATTCGTCAAAATAGTTTTGACGACTTATTGATTTACATATTACGGTTTTGATCATATTATCGACTGTTCTAATCGAATGTCACGACTCGCGAGATTGCTGAGTGTAGTCAAAGCGTACGATTTGATTACATACATATATTATATGTATGTACATATATTCGTTAACCGTCTTATCTTACGAGAGGAATTCACCCGTGATCCGACATATGTATATATTTCTAATCACGATTATCTAAAAACAACAATGTTCTTTATAAAGAGCACTTAACGAAATATTGTTCTCTACAATTTATTATGATTATTTAAAAAATAATTAAATTAGTTTCGCATAGAAACTTCAAGACAGAAAAGACGTTGTCTCAGGGAGCTATGCTAGATCGAACCACGTGTTTTTTCGGCGATACGGATTGCTTCAGTATTTTAATAGAAATCGTTTTCCTGAAAGTCGCAGTTAATTAAATTGAACACGTAAGAAAAGTACGTATTTATAAATACGTATATGTACATATACATACTTTCTCCAATTGAAAGGGCCAACTGGAATACGTTTGCCATAAATATATTTTGCTACATTAAAAACGCGCGTTTACGTGTTATAAGTAAGTGCGTAGATAATTAATAGTGTATGTCAGAATTAATAAGTGTCTAATGGGTTTATTCGTTAAACGTTCACGAATTATTTCTTTTTCGTTGACTCATAATGAACGTTTAAACTACTTAGTAACTTCGCGTCACTTTCAATTGATCCGATAACATAGATTTTCAACGACTACCAACGCTTAGAGTATATACCCCTAAACTGTGGTGCATAGTTTCATAGTATCCTGTACTTTGTATACGTGTGTACCAGGCATTACGATCATAATATTGAAGTTTTTGATTGGTTAGGTAGTTAAGCGATAGCCAATAGGAGAACACGATTCAGACGAGGAACGATCTCTCGTTTGATCGCTCGAAAAATGTAGCGAATCGGTTGCGCCATAATGTGCAATCATCATTCCCATTCACCCGTGCTGTTAGTATTACGATACATATACATATGTGTTCTATAGTTTAATAAAAGAAGAAACTGGTCAAGATTTTAGGAAAGAGAAGAAACGAAAAGACGTTACAAGAACCGGAAGCGAGATCATGGAATTCTAAAGTTGTCGCGTAATGTTGTCTTTGTTTTTTATGAAGAAAGAGCAAGTACGAGAACCGTGAGTACGGGAAATAACGTTGAAAATCATCGTAACGGTATATAGGTTAAAAACCACGAGTGTACGAAGTGAACGATTACGGTAAAGGAAGAGGGAAGAAGGAAGAAGGAAGGTACATTATAGCATAGTTGAATATAGTAGCGAAGAATACAAGTGGAAGTGGAAGTGGAAGCGTTGACGGTAGTGAGGGTAGTGGCAGTGTGGGAGAACGAAGAGGCGGAGAAGGCTCTGGTTCGGGGAAGGCTCGGGGCTCGGGGAAGGTTTACTAGCCGGCGCGGCGCGGCGGAAGAGCATCGACGGTGACGGCGACGGCGACGGGGGCGGGGAAGCTGTCCACCGAACGGAACGACCGCTCGCTGATACGAACGCGACGAGTCGAACGATTCTTCGTACAACTGCGGATATATAACGAGTTTCAACGATAGCTACCGATTTTGTGGCAGGTAAGTTGTTACGAGTCGAGTCAAAAATACCTAACGGGACGTACAGTTTCGAATTTTACGATACTACTGAAACGCGAAAGGATCGTAGTCTTCGGATTAATTGACAGGAATGACGTAGCGTTCAGGGGTGTGTCGTCGATTAGGCGGCAATCTTTGATGCTTTCGTACGCGTCACTGCCTTTGGATAATACGTGAACCTTGATCGCTATCGACATCATTTTCGTTAATCTTTCAATGTCCGACTAAGGTATTTCGATAGTCGGTATTAAAATACTGCTTGTAATCGCGCCATTAAAAACCATTACTCTCTGCCGCTGTATCGCCATTTGCATCGTTAAATCATTGACCTTCTTTTCTTTCCGTTTGTACGTTTATCTATTTGTCAGTAGGGGGATCAGTTTTTCTACGATTGGGTAAAATATGACAGTTCAGGTGTAGACGCGAAAAGAAATTACACGATCGTAGAGTTTTAGCGTCATCGTGATATTTCGCAGAGCGTGCATGTACATATGTACACCGACGAATGAATCGAGTCGTTGCAACGAAAGTAAAGATTCCGTTAGTCGCTTTGAACTTTCACGTTAAAGAAATATCGTACAGTTTCGTGTTTACGCGCGAGTAGTATATACACATCTAGTGACGAGAGATATCCTCGTCACTAGTAACAATGAGTATCAGTTTTTTCAATGCGTATAAGTTTAATCGATTTGTTAAGGCATCGGACGGTATCGTATTAACGAAGCTCGTCAAAGCACGACTAAAATAAAAGTTGAATCTGTTTCGTAATGTTAAATTTGACTCTTGGTATTTGTATTTGTATTTGTATTAATGGTACTGGTATTACAAGTGCCATTGCTAGGTTATTGTCGATGTCGGTGTTCTATTTTGCTCGTATTTGCGTTTCGCTGATACGAACGCGACGAGTCGAACGATTCTTCGTACAACTGCGGATATATAACGAGTTTCAACGATAGCTACCGATTTTGTGGCAGGTAAGTTGTTACGAGTCGAGTCAAAAATACCTAACGGGACGTACAGTTTCGAATTTTACGATACTACTGAAACGCGAAAGGATCGTAGTCTTCGGATTAATTGACAGGAATGACGTAGCGTTCAGGGGTGTGTCGTCGATTAGGCGGCAATCTTTGATGCTTTCGTACGCGTCACTGCCTTTGGATAATACGTGAACCTTGATCGCTATCGACATCATTTTCGTTAATCTTTCAATGTCCGACTAAGGTATTTCGATAGTCGGTATTAAAATACTGCTTGTAATCGCGCCATTAAAAACCATTACTCTCTGCCGCTGTATCGCCATTTGCATCGTTAAATCATTGACCTTCTTTTCTTTCCGTTTGTACGTTTATCTATTTGTCAGTAGGGGGATCAGTTTTTCTACGATTGGGTAAAATATGACAGTTCAGGTGTAGACGCGAAAAGAAATTACACGATCGTAGAGTTTTAGCGTCATCGTGATATTTCGCAGAGCGTGCATGTACATATGTACACCGACGAATGAATCGAGTCGTTGCAACGAAAGTAAAGATTCCGTTAGTCGCTTTGAACTTTCACGTTAAAGAAATATCGTACAGTTTCGTGTTTACGCGCGAGTAGTATATACACATCTAGTGACGAGAGATATCCTCGTCACTAGTAACAATGAGTATCAGTTTTTTCAATGCGTATAAGTTTAATCGATTTGTTAAGGCATCGGACGGTATCGTATTAACGAAGCTCGTCAAAGCACGACTAAAATAAAAGTTGAATCTGTTTCGTAATGTTAAATTTGACTCTTGGTATTTGTATTTGTATTTGTATTAATGGTACTGGTATTACAAGTGCCATTGCTAGGTTATTGTCGATGTCGGTGTTCTATTTTGCTCGTATTTGCGTTAGATGAGTGTGCGCACGTATGTCGATACGTGTGCGTGTTAAATGCATTCATATAAAGCACTTTTAATAAATAGTATCTAATAAATCGATACGTTTTAAAGTGATCATTTGGACGTATTCGGACGAATAACGTTATACCGAGTTCGTATCAACGTCCTTATGATCGTTCCTTGTCATGATATGGTTTCATAGACCGAATGAAATTTGTAACATGTACGATTATATTGCATGTTCGAAGTAAAACACGGTACTAGTTGACGTTACCGTGTACTCTTGCGGTAGACAAAGTTTCAATGTTACGAATGTAGTGCAAAGTTGATGTATATTTCGAAATCACGAGGAACATGTCTTCTTTTTCTTGTCGGGTGTCAGAACCGCCCGCGCGCAATCTATCGTCGCTTGGAAATAAACTGGTTGCTCTCGGGTTTCCACTCTATAGAAGGCATGCTCACCTGTACGTTCTTTATCTTTCGATTTTTTTCATCGTTTATCGATTATCGAACACTTTACTATTCGTTATTCGTTTTATTAGTCGACTTTTGGGTGTCATATTTCGACTTATCCGAAGATCACGAGCTTTATTAAAGCTTTTTCAGCTTATTGTAGTGACGTGTGTACAAAAAACGTTGTGTGGCCGATAAGCGTGTCCAAGCACTACATAAAAACGAAAGTTTTCTGCCAAAGGAAAAGTTTTATTAGCCGATGCGTACTCTTTTAGTAAATAGGATAAATAAATAGGATAAGATATGATCGACTTGTATTAACGACGAGCATGGTACCGCCCAACGAACCAACGGACGATTGTGAGCTTTACGGTTTAAGTTATGACATCATCGTGTCGAGAATCAACGGACGCACCGCGTTAAGTGTCTCGCGCGCAGTGTACACAAGTACGTACAGTTCTTTCATTATCTTGCCGATTCGATACATCGACCGTTCAATTGTATTTATATGTAATAAATTACGTAAATGTACGTGTATATATACATATATGACGGATGTGGGATAGAAACGAGTGCAAACAGAAGTGATCCTATCCTAATAAGATGGATCCTATGGTTCGAGAAAATCGATACAGCGGACGATAACGAGTAACGAGAAAACTGAGTAGCATAAGATCGCGATATACTTACACACTGTAATTAATATACTAATATAGTGGTTTTGAGCGATCAGGAGATAACTGATGAAATCGATTATCTGAGCTTTGACCTGTTTCAATTCAGAATTCACGGAAGTTATGAATTCGGGTTAAGCACACGCTTCCGAATTAAGAGCCGTTAAGCAAGGTTATCACCGTCGCGCCAGCATCGAACATTTCACGGGAATCACTGTCTTGCGATACACGTACATTTTTTTCATTTACCTCCGTTTAACTCCTTGTGTTCTTCGTGTACGGTACAATACGTACAACAAGATAGACGATAGTACGTGTCAGTGTTTTCGCGTGAAATATGATAAACATCTTCGTCGATAGATAGAATGATCGTCTTTGTAGAAATACGTAAAAAATATATATAGATAATACAGAACGAAAGGATGGAGAAGACAGGAGCATGAATGTAGTAAAAGCATAGGGTAAAATGAGAGAGCATGGTATAAATAAGCGTAGGAAGAATTTGAAAAAAGGCAAGTACGATTTCCGTCGCTCTACGGATTCTTGTTGCTCGCATACGTACCCTTGCTATATAACGCGATCGACGTGCGTTACGCTCCTCTGTTGCTCGCGACGTTATCGATCGTATGCCGACTTCCCTTAATTTTTCTTTTTTTTTTCTACTATGCTTTTTAACTTTCGCGTTTAAAATTGGGCGCTGATAATTGGAAATTGTTTACTGAATAAGCGGTCGATGGTGCGTAATTAAATATTTTGTATAATATCAACGAAAAGATTCTTTTTTACATATATAACTTACGGATAAGCTTTGTAACGTTATGATTGATGTAAAACTATTTGTTTCAGCCGGCGTTTAACGTTGTGGTCAGGAGAGAAGAGTGGTGAAGGAGGCGGCGGCGGTGGTGGTGGTGGTGGTGGTGGTGGTGGTGTTGGTACTTCAGCCAGCACCGCGGAGAGGCCTAACTAACGTTCGAGCCACCCTTCGAAATTCACCCTCGTAGGGTTCGCTCGCACGGGCTGTATACCTCCAAGGAAACACACGTCAGAGTATTAACGAAATTTTAACCAATCAATGAGAAGTTCATTAGCCCGTACCGCGAGTACCTCACCCCTCTTCCGCCGGCCCGGACCTACCACCCCCTAACGAGTAGTATCGCGAGAGATCGCGTGGCGATGATAAAATTCAACAAACCACCGACTCGCCCAAAGCTATTTGCCCAAGAACGTGAAATCGACTTTTCAATCTGCGGTGATTGAAAAAGGTGAAAAGATATTTTTCGAGGTTTATTCCGACGGACAGCCACGATATTCAAAGTGTAACTGATCAGGGAGAAAGCCGTGTCAAGAGGGTTGCTTTTTTGCTGCGTCATTTGTCTCCAATATCTCCAGTCACCCTCGGCGCTAACGTGGACAACGGGGTGAACCACCACGGAAGAGAAAAAGATTCAACGATATGTTACATTAACTCAAATTGATCAGAATTTTTAAGAAGATTGTAACAATTTTTATATGGTTGAAATATTCTACACTGTTTGAATGATCTACAGAATTGATTAATGTGACAAGGGTGTAATCTATTTCTTGAGATTACGTTACATTAATATTATCTTGAACATCTTGCCTTTAAAACCGCTTTTAATCTTCTTGGCACAGAATGCAACTTCGTGATAAAATTTGATGCAATTTTTTGCTATTCTTCTTCTAAAGTACTTTTAAAACCTTCTTTATTTATTACATCGCATTGTCTCATATTTCTTTCTAAATAATCCGAACATGCTATGTAGAACCTGAGTCTAGAGATGGAAGAAACTGTTTAAGAACGTTGTATATTATACTTCATACGTCGATAAATTATATTACGTATGTATATTATCACTATTCCTCAAATTTGTTTTAGTTTCATTTAATTTCTGCAGCAAACTACTAAATTTAAATTTACTTTTCTAAATCTAGGTTACAATTAATCAGAATTTAGAATTAAAGACAGTTGACCAATAAAATTTCCAAGAAAATACATATGCGAGTATTTCACCCTCTACTTAGGTCCAAATGGTCATCAGGTGGTGTCTGCTAATTCAGACTTGCAATATAAGGTTATATCTATAAGTCAATAGAAATAGACCCCAAGACTAAAAGAATCTGTGGAAGATTATGAAAACTACCCCTAGTTTACGTCAAACTAACAAGACTTCACATTTGGGTGATAGTGCCGATGGTTGTGGCGTTAGTAGTGTAGTGATAGTGGTCGCGCGTTGAAAGTGTTAGAAAGAAGGGAAATTCGAGGAAAAGAGGATAAGAAAAAAGTATATAACAAAATAGGGGAGAATCTAGTAGAGTGAAAAAAAAATTATAGAACTGTAAGATCGGGTGTCAAAGATGGCAGATACGAGTCCACAACCAGCGTTGTCAGAACCACATACGAATGGAGTAATGGACGGTTTAACAGAGGAGGAGAAAAGTAAGATGCGACCAGCCGACATCGACGCGGTAAGATACGAATAAAAGAGAGAGAGAAAAAAAAGAAATAAGAAACAAATATCGTCGTGTTTACTTTACTAATAATTAACCATGTTGCACATTATTGTTAAATATATTTGTTTTAACAATTGTATAGGATATGAGAGAAATGGAGAGGAGGAAAAGGGTCGAAATGATGATGAATTCGCGACTGTTTCGAGAGGAGTTGGAGCGAATAATTGAGACGCAAATGAAAGATGGTGCTGGACCATCGGGTCTGCTGCAGCAAATCTCTGACATGATGGGTGCGCAAGGTGCTCGGTTTAGTGGAAATGTGTTTAAAAGTAAGTCGATCTAATGTCAATCTTATGGACGTATTTTATCAAACGATTCTCCAAATGATATTTTCTCGTAGATTCAAACTGCGTGTTACCGATCAATGATATACGCGGCGTCGAAAGTATGGGCTATGCGAAAGGAGAGAAATTATTACGTTGCAAATTGGCAGCCGTATTTAGATTATTGGATCTGTACGGTTGGACCCAGGGTGCCGGCGGACAAATAACTGCGCGTTTAAATCAAGATCAGGAACACTTTTTAGTTAATCCTTATGGCTTGCTCTATCACGAAATCACTGCCTCCAGTTTGATCAAAGTCGACATGCAAGGGTCGATCGTCGAACAGGGAACGACCAATTTCGGCGTTCACGTAGCAGGATTCCAATTGCATTCGACGATTCACGCGGCGAGACCCGATATCAAATGTATCGTTCATATTACTACTCCGTCCGTTACCGCCGTAAGTAGTAAAACGGTATCCTTACTTTTTTTTCTCCCCTCTATTTTCTTCGTCCTTTCTCTTCGTTTTCACTTTCTTCTTTCGAACAAGAAAGAAAAAGAACAGTTTTTCTTTACGCGAACAGATATTTCTTTTATAATTTCCCGTGTGTAGATCTCGTCGTTAAAGTGTGGATTACTACCGATCGGACAAGAGAGTATAGTAATAGGGGACGTGAGCACGCATCAGTACATTGGTGGATCTTTTGAACCCGAGGAAAAGGAAAAGATTGCAAGAAACCTTGGCCCGATAAACAAAGTGATGATGTTAACGAATCGTGGTGCTCTCTGTTGCGGAGAAACCGTCGAGGAAGCGTTTTTTAACGTTTATAACATGGTTTTAGCTTGCGAGACTCAGTTAAAGCTAATGCCCGCCGGTTTGGATAATTTAAATCTTATTTCGGAAGAATCGAAAAAAGCCATATTCGAGGCTTCGAGAAAACCACCGACACCGCAACAAACGACCGTACCGATTTCCGACAGCGCTGTTCTTGCCGAAAAACTTGATAAGCGCTGGCGAATCGGTGGAACTGAATTCGAGGCACTCATGCGAATGCTCGATAACGCGGTAAGCGTCCAGATATTTTCTTTTACTTTACTTTCCCTTTATTTTATCCTTTATCTCAGAACGTATCTTGTATTCGGTATTTTATATTGTATCGTTTCGGTTCCATTCGATGACATCGTTCCATTTCGTTTTGTTCTTAGGGCTTTCGTACCGGTTATATCTATAGAAATCCTTTGGTGAAAGGAGAACCTCCGCGACCACGAAACGACGTCGAAGTGCCTCCGGCGGTCTCCTCGCTGGGGTATTTGCTCGAGGAAGAGGAACTCTATAAACAAGGGTGAGTAGACGCGTTGTACGAGCAAAAGGTATACGCGGTGTTTAGAGATTTAATTTAATTTCGTGTTTTCCGTTCGTTTCGCAGACTCTGGAAAGGCGGACGCAAAGGCACGGATAGATCGCGTTGGTTAAATTCGCCTAACGTGTATCAGAAGGTCGAAATACTGGAAACAGGAACTCCTGATCCGAAAAAAATTACAAAGGTAGAAGTCATCACTTTTGAGAACAAAAATGAATAGTAAATATAAAAGAGTGTTCCTAAAAAATAGAAAATTTAAAGAAACTAAGACGAAGAAATACGAATAATATATTATCGATAAATATATATATATATATATATATTTTTTTCTTTTCGAAAATTAATATCGATATTTGTAGGCACTTTGTTCGCGCGTTGTTGCATTTTCGAATTTCTAAAGAAGTTATTTCGGTAGACACAATGTTCAATTATTATCGTATACGTGCGACAACGGAAAAAAAAGTCACGTGATCAATCAGTCGCGAACATTGTTCGGCTCGTGACTGCATAACACTGTCTGTAATATCTTCAGATATATCGCTTTTCGTATATTTTTACGTTTACTAGAGAAAATTTAATATAAACAGCATTAGTATTCTTTCGTGCAGCTTGATTTCGCCAACATTCGATTATATTACTTTTTCATTTATTTCTTTTTTGCTATTGGCATAATAATAGCATCATGTTTTTCGTACATTCCAATTTATGTTAATGTATTAGAGAAATAGGTATGAAGTAGATACGAGGGGGGTAGGAAAAAAGGGGAACCGTAAATAAACAGCTGGTTCTTTAAGAAAGCAAAAGTAACAGTAGTATTGACAAACAAACGGAAGAAAATGAAGAAGAAGAAGAAGAAAACGAAGAAGATGAAAGAAAATGATTAACAGACCGACATTTAAGGAAGCTTAAATAGTCAGTTTGTAAATTAACTTGAAACGCAACCCCAACTAAATGTCGTAATTATATTCGCGTGTGTTTTGGTCGATATTAAACTTACGTATAAATTTAAATGCATCTCTCTCTTGTAGCTCATTAATATATAAATAAATATATGCCTACTGTTCATCGTGTATAGGTAATTTTGCGAGAACGAAATAACCCTTTTGTTCACGATAAAACGATTTGTAGATCTGTACGATTTCTTTCATCGATTTGGAAATCAGCGGAATCGATGTACGTTCGATCGCGTTTAATCAAACCTAAAACGGATCAACGTTATTATCCCTTTAACGTAGAATCAATGACGAATTGTACGATATCCTCGGGCATATCGTTATTCTTTTGATCGGCTTATACTTATCGGAGCTGTGTATGAATGTGTGCCTGTTAACCGTCTCATCGTCCAAGCGACGTATATTCTTGCTACCCACTGCATTTACAAAACCAGATCGATCGACCCCGGTAGTAACAGAGATAGATAACAGAATCGAATAAAAAGATAAAGATGTAATATAAGGAGTACAGAAGAAATATAAGGAGAGAGAGAGAGAATGAGAGGGGGTGAGTGGGAGAGAAAGAGAGAGAGAGAGAGAGAGACGAAGACAAAATACATCGTTTTTAAAAAGTATGTGCGATCGATGGTAGATGTAAAAATGTGAAATTATTTATTCGAAACAGAATAAAATTTTGCTCGAGAATAAAAAGTTTAATCAGCCAAAAGATATGTTGGTAACGATAGTAAGAATATTGTACAAGGTCGCCAGCAAAGCAGGCACACATGGCATACGCAGATGATTTAACGAACTTTCAATTTTACGATGCTTTGTCAAACGTCGCGAATGTTCAATGCCGAGTGTGTCGAACGTCGAATGATAGATAGGGGTCGACTAACGTTCTGGTTTTGTGCGCAGTGGGTGTCAGATGGATCTCCGACCCATACCAGTACACCGGTGAAGATCGATGGTGCCCTGCAATTCGTACCGAAAAATACCAATCCAAAGGAGTTTAAGCAAATACAACAACAGGTAAGTGAAAATGAATATTTATTACCGCGATACGTGACCATCGTTTCAAGTACTTCAACTTCCTGAGCTGACATTGATGATTCGAAGGATGGTTCGAGCTATGTTTTCTTCTTCGTTTTAGATAAAAGATTACCGTAGAGCGGATAAAATATCGGCTGGACCACAATCCCATATATTGGAAGGAGTTACTTGGGAAGAAGCTAAGAAGATGCAGGTAAAAATATTTCACTTTCTCTTTTCGAAGCAATCGTTTCATACACTAAAGGAACTATTCGATTAAACGTATCGAATAGGATGCAACTATCAGTGGAACAGGGGAACAAGTGGTGTTAGTAGGAGCAGCCAGTAAAGGTATCATTCAAAGAGGCTTCCAGCACAATGCGATGGTTTACAAAACTCCGTATGCAAAAAATCCTTTCGATGCGGTTACCGATCAAGAGCTGGACCAATACAAAAAGGAAATCGAACGAAAACAAAAAGGAGATATTTGTAAGTGTGTCGAAATAAGAAAAAATAGTTGGTAAAGTAAAGAGGAAATTTCAAGATTTTATTCGATAACGCGTTATATCTCTTTAAAGACGACGAATCGCAATCGGAGTCGGAAGCGTTGTCATCGTTTAATGTTAGCCGTGCGACCCACGAATCTAGCACTGCCAAAAGTCCAATTCAGTCACCGGTATCGGTAACTTCGGAAACGGAAGAAGAAAGCAGAGACGGTAAACCATATAGACAATGATTTCGCGTTGTCAATTTGAACGAAAAAGTTAGCGAAGAAAAATATTGTTCCGATCGTTTTCAGAACCTCGAGTATTGCGAATAGAGACGAAACAAGTGCCTGCACCGAGTCAACCGGAAGTTGTGTTGAGCGATGGTAAGTTATACTGCCGCGATATATAATTCGCGGTATCACCTTTGGGCTTGAATCGTAAATTTATCTCGGAAAGATAAATGCATTATAGGGCCGAGGACGAGCGTCAGAGTAAAATTAGGATACGCATGTTCGATTTAATGTAAATGAAATTTTTGTCGATTAACGAACGCTGCCGTGAAAATGTTACGATTCACCCGCCAATAAGTTTCTTCCGATTTATCCTATCGTTATCTTACTTCTCTATCCATTTATGATCACTAACGCTTGCACCTTGCCACATGCACTACCCGCACATTCACGTATCCGCATGTTCGTGAAAAGTTAATGCATGATCTCGTTTACCGCTGAACTTCCAAGCATCATTTCTGCGAATATTGTTACTTTTTTTCTTTCGCTTTTGTTGTCTCGATTTTTTTGATTTTTTCATGTTTTCAATTGCTTTACGTTTCGTGTACGCGTGTCGCGACAGTTGGCCTTTCTTCGATTGTTGGAACAGACGTATCGAGAAAGTATAGTATATCGTACAACAGGAAAAAAGATTTCAGATACGTGGATGTAAGCATCCGTGATCATAAGGAGTATCTTCTGTCTCCACGAGAAAAAGGTGGAGGAGAGGAAAGAATAAGCGTTGAAATACATTTGTGGTGTATTTGGGACAAAATGTGGTTGCAGATGGTGATTGGTCGAGCAGGTACTGCGGTCAAAGCGATAGCGAGAATGAGCACGAGAATGAAAATGAAAATGAAAATGAGAACGAAAATAACGAGTACATTGTTAATGATCGTGGTAGTAAGCGTTGGAATTTATGGGAAGTAGATGATCAAGAACCACGTTTAGAAGTAGCTCGAAGTGGAGTTATCGCGGAACGATTGACAACTATGTTGATCGCTTGTCCTTCGTCGAAAGGTAACTCTGCGATCGAGACGAACGGCAAACTCGTCGATAATAGTTCGAATTTGTTTGTTCATTCGATAGAAGAGAAACGATTGGAAAAAGTATCGTTACGGGAAACAGAAAAAAAAGGAGAACGAAGATTAGAAGCGGAAAGTAATGAAAATTCGACGAAAATAGTTGACCGCGAAAAGGCTATTTCCGATTCGTCGGTATTCCTTTACGAACGAAAAGGCGAAAGTACAATGATAAATAATTGTTCGATGGGAGAAATCGTCGAAACGATGGAAGATAATGCTAATGGTTTAAACGCTGTTACTTGGTTAGAAACTAATACGAAAAGAAAAAAAGATGTTTTAGCCTGTTCCAGTGAAATCTCGACAAAGTATAGTTTGGATTCCACCGATATGAGCTTGATATACAGTTTAACGCCGTTACTAGACCCGGAATATCAGGAACACGTCAACGACGTACAGACATTGAGAAAATCGTTATCTTCGTTGTCGTTGCCTTTGTCGTCGGTATCGGTATCGGTATCGATATCGGCTGATCATACGGTTAACTTGGATTTAGCGGACGAAAAACAAAGTTTCGAGCACGAACGCCGATCGAACGAGAAAAGTTATCATTGCGTATCGTTCGACAAAACTTTTACAGAAATCGCGAACGACGCTTCCTTGGATATACGTGGCGACACGATTTTTCAGTTACTCGATACCAACGACGAATCGTTTCGAAATGACATAAGTGACAGTGCTAACGAAATTATCGCCGAATTAGACGCGAACGTATCTTGTTCGTTAAATGAGACTTTTCGAAGACCGTACAATACTTTTTCTAGCAATTGCAATTGCTATTGCTGCTGCTGCTGCTGCTGTTGTTGTTTCAGTTGTTGCAGCTGCGGCGGCGGTGTTCGATCGTGTATCTGCCGCCAATGCGAATCATCGTTAGTTTTTGGTTCACCTACTGGTCTTTCTCGGTTTTCCGATTCGCCTCCATCTTCGATTCTGACGAAGGACGAAAAGCTTGTCGAATTAGTTGAGCGTGAATCTGCTTGGTCAAGAAATGTGCCGAGTCGAAAGAATTCATCGACGGATCATCTCGAAGAAAATTCGTCCGTTACCGTCGTAAGCGAGATAGTACATCACTTGATAGATGCTCGCGCCGAGTCTCGGCAAAAACGATCAAACGTATCGGAAGAAACGATGAAATACTCGGTGAAGAGAACGGAGGACAGCGTGAACGTGGAACCAAGTGTTTGCGTTGCGAATGGCGAATCGAATTCTTCCGAAATCGAGCATCGTTTCGAACAAAAGGATTTTGTCATTACCGGTCTACCATCAACAGAGACTCCGGTCGATCGTGTTACATCGTGCCTATCTCTTGAGGGTCCGAAGGAAACTAGAAGTAAATCTTCAGTCGCGGCAGTTTTCGAATTTTGTACGGTAGCGTCGAATGTTGACGATACGTCGTTTCGATTGAACTTTAGAGTGGAGAAGAGTCATAGCGCTGAAGGTGTCGGCGACAATGACGAAGCAGTATCATCGAATAGTAGCTATCTTAAAACTATTGGGAATCTTGTTGAAAATGAAGATTGTTCCTCGTCGAGTTTAGAAAGCACCGTCTCTTACCGAGATACGAACACGAGTACGATCAGTTCCGAAAGCGGAGATACGTTAACGGAATTATTCGGAGAGTCCGAAACGACGGAATCGGTAATGACAAATGACTCGTTCATGAAATGTACCCGATGCTCCGAATATTGTCCGTCGAATCACGATCGACGGAACTGTTTCTGTTTATCGCCTATAAACGAAGAGGTTGACGAGACGATAACGAGTTCGAAGAATATAACGGAACAAACGAGTTATCGGAAGAATTCGGTTGGCAAAACGAGCGACGATTTAAAGATCGAAGAATCTCGGTATATTACTTACACCTGTTTCGATACCGAGAACATCGAAAACGACCAATAATCATTAACGCGAAGCGTTGATTTAAAGAGACCGTCGTAATGTTATACTTTTCTTTTACGGTGCTAACAGACGCGAAATATTCGACAAGTTTTTAGATTTTCTCGGCATTGCCAATTATTTTCGAACGCTTAGTACATTTTTCTTTTCATTTTTCTTACTCATTTTGTTATTCTATCGAAAAGGTTGTATTTATTTTGCATTATAAATGTTTTTCTGCCTTCCTTTTTCGTTCCATGGAATATACGGACCTATCGAGTTCCGCCGATTCGTTAATTACTTCGAGATTGAGATTTTTATTTTGTATGTGCGTGTCCGTTGAACGCTCGTTAACGCACTGAATCGTACTAATCCTATATGTTTTAAAAATCGTAACTTACGCTCTCGTGTTTATCGTTTGCATTTTGTACTCGATACTTGTGTTGCACGCAAAGCATATTTTGTACGTATAAAATAAATCGTTTTTTTTTTCCAACGTCTTGATTTGCACAGAAATGAATTTGCAGTTTGGTGAAACGCTTTGAAATTTCGATACTACCAAGAAGGAAGTTGAATCGCTTCGCGCTTAGCGTTTAACATCGAAGATCGATTGCGCTTCAGGAATTGACGCTTCGCGATAACCTCCACGTGGGACAGTGGCTGTAAATTATTAATCGCGATCTTCTGAACGTGGCACGTAACGCTTTTGATATTTTTTATGTTTCAGGAGAAAATACCGTGAACGGCGATCACTCCGATGCGCATCACAGTACATTTTCTCAAAGTAGTAAAGAGGTTTGTTACTCGTATTCTTTTTAAATATTTGTGTGCATTTCGTTGTCCTCGAGCTTGATTCTAATCGTTCGATCTCGAATGTACGTATAAGATGTTTTTTCTTCGACACAAGCGAACAACTGTTTGTTTCCGCTGTAATTCTTCTAACTTAATGTAACTAATTGAAATTGAACGCGGCTCGAAGAGTCGACGAACGATAGAGCTCGAGGACCTTTGCTGCGTATCGTCGATTAAACGAGTATGCAAACTGGGATGTTTGGTATAACGATCGAAATAAACGTTTCGCTTTCGAGTTGTTAGTAAACGGAAGTAGTTTACAACAACGTTAGCGATCGTTACCGAATAGATTTCAATCGGAAACCGAAGAAAATCCGCTGCTTTCGTTAACCGCGACATAACGCTTCATCGAGCTAGTGTGCCAATAGTGTTCGCTCGCATGAAACCAAGGATTTTTCATAATACGAAGCGAAAGACGCTAAAGGGATGGGAAGAATTTGCTGCCGTGTGCCTGTGTACGTACGATGCGTGAATGCTTTGATCAACCGGGAGATCGAAATAACGGGATGTACGAGAAGGGAGAGAAAGAGAGAGAGAGAGAGAGAGAGAGAGAGAATGATCTATTTGCATGTGCATGCAAAAAGGTTCATGGTTACGGTTGGGACCTTCCGTGTTAAGGGTTCCGTGTCGCAGGATGTCAGCGTTAGCGAAGAATCGCCGAAGAAGGAAAAGAAGAAGAAAAAAGGCCTTAGGACACCATCCTTTTTGAAGAAGAAGAAGGAAAAGAAGAAGCCAGTCGAGGCGTAGGTAGTTCTAACTTTGGTACGTATGCATATTCATATTTATATTCGAACAATCGAATCGGATGAGACACGCTTCGTTTCTTCTTATTATTTGTTATTATTATGTTATTATTATATTATTATATTATTATATTCGATATATATACATATATACAAAGATATATAGCCGTATAGGTATCAAGTATAGGATATAACGAAACGTTAACAATACGACGGTATTTTCTTTTCTTTTATTTCCTTCGACTTTTTACTTGGAAATATCTCTAATTACTCGATCGGTACATTATATATCGACCGGATACATATTCTGTGGAAATACTACCTAGTAGATGGGGCACGGTCGAAGAATAAAAAGGTAGGCCAAAGGTTCGAGGACTAAGCTACTGTTTCTCTTCTTCCCTTAGAATAGTAGATTTCGGCTGGCGCTACCGTAATTCGCATAGACGCAGCAAACTTAGATTTCATATAGGTATACGTGGGCTGTTGTTAGTCGCCAGTTAGATGATCGTGATCGTACATCCGCGTAGCTGCCAGCAGTGCAATCGAAACTCGTATCGAAGACGGGCTGTACGCGAATAGTGTCGACCGATCTGAGAAAAATTATACAGCGTTGGTTGGAGACGGTCGCGTAGATAGGGAGAAACTTTTTCTAAAAATTTCTTCTCTATTTCCAGACACTGCCACGTGCGAAAGCTCGTCGCAAATAAAAGAAGAACGTTCACCGAATAAAAGAAAAGATTGAAAACGCGAGCAGAAGAGGAGTCGAGGATTTCGCGCAATGCGACATTAAAAAATTCATATACCGCGGAGACGAATGATAATAGAAGATAGAAAATAGTACATAGGAAATTGAGAACCGAAATAATCATGCAACAATCACGCGCAGCATCTTTCCAGGACTCTCAAGACTGCCATCGCATTACGTCTACGATAAGAAACTATATTGTACCGTTAATGTTTTTACGTTTTTAATTTGTTAAAGCGTCGCGCTAAACTATTTAATCCGCTATTTAATTTTGCCTCCCCAGCCCCGTTTGTGTAATGCAATAAAACGAAAGAATTACGTCTACGATTTACGAGAAACGAACGAAAACGTTATTCGTGTACGCATTTTGTCGTTTCCTTTTCCATTTTCTTTCCGTCGTTGCCAGCGTTACGTTATCTCGTTACGTTCTCTCCGTCTAATCTAGATCCGAGATTATACGTATATTAGAGCAACGTTGAAGCAACTGGAAGTGTAAAGGGGAAGAGTAGCAGGATAAATAGTAGAGTCAGTATTCGTCGGTAGCGTCCGCTTCTACCTCGTTCGAATCTAATCCGACTTCTTCGTAGTCTTTCTCGAGAGCCGCGAGATCCTCACGGGCTTCGGAGAACTCGCCCTCTTCCATACCCTCGCCGACGTACCAATGGACGAAAGCTCTTTTCGCGTACATCAGATCAAACTTGTGGTCAAGACGGGCCCAAGCTTCGGCGATGGCCGTCGTGTTCGACAACATGCAAACGGCTCGTTGTACTTTAGCCAAATCGCCACCAGGCACGACCGTGGGTGGCTGATAATTAATACCGACTTTGAATCCCGTCGGACACCAATCCACGAACTGTATCGTTCGTTTCGTTTTAATAGCAGCGATCGCGGCATTCACGTCCTTCGGAACAACGTCGCCTCTGTAAAGCAGACAACACGCCATGTACTTGCCGTTCCTAGGGTCACATTTCACCATCTGATTGGCAGGTTCGAAACACGCGTTCGTGATTTCGCTAACCGATAGCTGTTCGTGGTAAGCCTTTTCCACCGATATTATCGGCGCGTAAGTGACCAAAGGAAAATGGATCCTCGGGTAAGGAACCAAATTGGTCTGAAACTCGGTTAAATCGACGTTCAAAGCACCGTCGAACCTCAACGAGGCCGTTATGGATGAAACGATCTGTCCGATCAGTCGATTAAGATTGGTGTAAGTTGGCCGTTCGATGTCTAAGTTGCGTCGACAAATATCGTAAATCGCTTCGTTGTCGACCATGAACGCGCAATCGGAATGCTCGAGAGTGGTGTGAGTGGTTAAAATGGAATTATACGGTTCGACCACTGCCGTGGAGATACGCGGCGCTGGATAGATAGCGAATTCCAATTTAGATTTTTTCCCGTAATCGACGGAAAGGCGTTCCATCAACAACGATGCGAAACCCGATCCCGTACCACCGCCGAACGAGTGGAAAATCAAAAATCCTTGCAATCCGGTGCATTGATCGGCCAGTTTTCGAATCCTGTCGATCACCGTGTCCACTATTTCTCTGCCAACCGTGTAGTGACCGCGAGCGTAATTATTCGCTGCATCTTCTTTGCCGGTGATCAGTTGTTCCGGATGAAAAAGTCCTCGATACTTTCCGTTTCGTACTTCGTCTGCGAACGCGATCGAAACGACATGAAATTCTCCGTTTACCAACTTATTTCGAAATATCGCTTGATCTTACCGACGACCGTTGGTTCCAGGTCGACGAACACTGCTCTAGGCACGTGCTTTCCGGAACTAGTTTCGCAAAAGAACGTGCTAAAGCTATCGTCGCCTCCTGCGCCGTATCCCTTTTCCGTTGGCATTCGACCATCCGGCTGTATCCCATGCTCCAAACAATACAATTCCCAACAAGCGTTACCGATTTGAACACCCGCCTGACCAACATGGATGGATATGCACTCGCGCTGAAACAATGTGTACGTATACATCTATTCCCCTCCCTTGCCCCCAGCCTCCTCTGTTTAATTTAATATCCGATCGCGAACGAAACGAAACGTTGCACTCGTAATCGTTCAAATTTATTATCGCGTCACTCTGTTCAACTTCGATCAAAGAGAATTAGTATTAACTATTTTCTCACCATTTCGAAACTCGGCTTTCTTCTAAGTAGTAGCTGAAACACGAACAACGGGGGACACTTCGTTTCGCTTCTTTCGGTGATTCCGACTGAATGACGCGGGACAAGAACGATCGACGGCCTCTTATATCATCTGCTTCGAGTCATCTTGAAATCGTAACGAACTAACCATTAACGATCGTATAGAAAACTATTCTCTCTTTATGTTCTTTTGCCCATTTTACAATTATTTTCTTAATTATCCAACTAAAACGTACGTGTGCATACATATACCTTACTACTGTACTCTATAAAAAAGATTGAAGATCGTTAGTCTTTAAATCGGCGCAGATGCAACGCACGAACGAAACGTTTCTATGATCAGTTTTCCAACGCTTTTGTCGCGTTTAACGTTAAATCTAATAAACGTATATAAATAGCTCTTACCTAGCCAAGTCGTATACGTACAGCCAATTGAACGAGAAATTCATGATTCTATTTCTATTCGAGTATATTTATCTCCCTTTGATTCTCGCGATTCGCTCTTACTATCCAACTATATTCAACGCACCGTATTCTATTATTAGTAATACGATATTTGCCCGTCATTCTTTTTGTCCTCGTATTCGTTCTCGTTTCCGTTCTTGTTCCCGTTCCCGTTCCCGTTCCCGTTCCCTTTCCCGTTCCCTTTCCGTACATTAATTTAATTGTTCGTTCGATCGATAACAATTACACGATCCAACTATTCTACTAGTCTACGCATGTGTCGTCAACAAATATTTTCTTTTCACGCGACGTGAAAAGTAAAACGAACTTGTCAGAATTGTTGCGTTTCGAACGATCATTTTCAAATTTCGTTTTACCGTTCTTCTTCCTTAATTCGAATAATACCGATGTAGATAACGACTTATCGTCTAACTACAAGATACGCGTATTCGCTCGCGGATACTTTCAAATATCGTTCCGTATTCAAGTATCGATATTACGAATTAGAGTAAAAGTGTACGGCTGGCGCCATCTAGCGGAGAGCGGTGGAATTAGTACTCTGCTGAAAACACTATGCTTCTTATTGTTAAAAACTTGTGCTTCTCAAAATGTGCTCTTTACCGCGTATTTATTTACACGCGTACATACGTTTACATGCTCGATTACGTATAAGAACATTACCATTTTGTATTTTGCGTTTTCAATTGTGACGTTGTGCATTGTTGTTTATCGTGTAAAATAGAGTAAATGATAGTGTCGCTGTATCGCGTCTACATGCGTAAACGATGATAAAAGGAGGAGAATAACGGAAGACTAAAACGTAAACATAACCTCCGTGAAACGGATGATATATTCGAACGTATCCGTTGACGTCGGTCTATACTATACGAAATGGCATTCTGAAAAACGAAACCACGAAAATTCTACCTGTGCATTTGTGCATTTAATGAATGCCGATTAGTAGCGCATCGTTAGGTTAGGTTGTGCGATTAAAGAGGCGATACAAAGAATGGGACGTAGTCGTACACCTTCGCCTGGAAGGAGGAGAGATCGATCTCGAGATCGAGACCGGGAACGGGAACGAGAACGAGATAGAGATCGAAGACGAAGACGTTCGCGCGAAAGAAGACGAAGGTACTTTCGAAATTTTACGTTTGCATGCGTCTACGTTTGTATAAATACATATTTTTAAGGTAATCTTGTAAATAATATTACAGGTCCGTTGAACGAGATCGCGTAAAATCGAGAGATAGAGAGAGAGATCGTGATCGCGAACGAGAAAGGCATAGGCGCTCGTATAGTAGATCAAGATCAAGAGACAGAGATAGACCCAAACCAAAATTAAAGACTACGACGGCGGAACGTCCAGTGATCACGGGTAAAATTAATCAATTTCCGCCGACACGAATAGCGCGAATGTTAGAATTATTGGTTAATTTATTTCGATAAACCGATTACAGAGGCTGATCTCCAAGGTAAAACGCCCGAAGAGCAAGAAATGATGAGAATAATGGGGTTTTGTGGTTTCGACACCACCAAAGGAAAAAAAGTTGAAGGAAACGACGTGGGAGCCGTGCACGTTATCTTGAAAAGAAAATACAGGCAATATATGAATAGAAAGGGAGGATTCAATAGACCGCTAGATTTTGTTGCTTAAAACTTTAATGGAAATCAAATCAATCTTTAGTCCAAGACAAATGTTTTGAAAGGCAACAAACAGAAATTTTAATCCAGATTATTTTCATCCACCGTCTTGAATCGTTTATTTGAAACTGTCCTATCGTCAGCGTTGTCGTCGTCGTCGTCGTCGTCGTCGTCGTCGTCGTCGGCAGCGGCGTCGATAGATCCAACTGCGCTCAAGTTGTGATTTTCGTTGTCCGCGTTCTCCGAGGTCGAAGATAGAAGCTGTTAACGTTGAATAAAATTTCACGATGTACGTGAAATATAATGCGATAAATGCGATACTTTTTTATTACTCTAATTACCAAGCTTGTGTCCATTTTTTCGAGGTCTTCGACCAGTTGTGGATTCTTGATTCTAAAATCTCTAGTTACGCTATGTTTCATATAATTTTCCAACGGTATCTGTCAAAATAAAAGTTATAAGTCGAAGAGAATTACGGGAATCGATAAAAAGATCGTACTTCGATATTTCATACTTACGCATGTCTTTTTGCCGAGTAACAAAATTTCTTTGTTGAACTGCTCGATCTCAAAAACTACGCGTGGTATTACCTTGGTTTCTTTTAAAATTTTATTTCTTTGCGCGTGCGAGTCAGATTTCGAGCGTGCTTTGTTTTGATTTTCCTTTAAAGAAACATATTTCTATAGTACTAGAGTAAAGAAATCGACGATACTGTTTTCTAATATTGATACCGTCGAGATAACGTTTTCATAAAAAAACCTAACAAAGAAAGATACAGAAGAAGAAACGGGAAAAGAACTCTTCAAAATCGACATACCTCCACGTATGTAACCAAATTATAGAAAGCAGACTTCAATGGTTTACCAGCTAATTGAATCACTTGAATGAATCTGTAATGAGTAATATGTATAAAATATGTCTGTATAAAGTGAAGGGATGTACTTTTCATGGAACTCGTACTTGACCGCTTGGAATGCAGCATTCTGACCGTTTGATTTTATATAGAAATACTTTGTAAGATTTCCCAGCAAGTGATAAAAATATTGCAAATTCTTAAACGTAACATCGGTACATGGACCTGGTTCAATCGATGTATTAGCTAACGTACAAAGCGTCTGTGCCAGTCGAGAAAATTGTTTACATAGATTTCGTTCTTTTTCTCGTAAACCGTTATTTCCTGTTTCGAAAAGATATCAACAGTAAATGATTATAATGAATTAGTCAGTTTTCGAATTAGTGCTCACGAGTTTCGTCGGTTACACCGGATGCTCGAGCAACGGCATCTTCCGCTTTTAATCGCGTCAACAGCCAACACACGTTATTTAGCTTTTCTTTTATACAAATATTTAGTACGTTATAGATATCTAATGCGGTATCTTCGCGTATAATCTTATATCCTTCGTTCGCGATTAATTCAACCTGTATTCGAGCGTGGACAAAATTAATGTTAGTCTCGATGATAGAGAGCGCTGATCGAGATTACTTACGCCATCGATGCTTCCAACTTGTTTACACAATTCCAGACAAATATCGTACAACGTCTCTCCGTATTCTTCAGTATGTTCCTCTAGACGTAAGAAGAACCGTGTAATCGCAGAAACAATCGAATTTTCGATCATCGATTCCGTTTCTAGAACTTTCTTGAAACACTCGAGTATCTTCGTAACGCACGAAATTAATTATCTAAATACGATGAATGTACGTCGAGAAATGAAAATTGTATAAATACCAACCTTTCCAGAATTATATTTTTCGTAATTAATTTTATACGTATATTGTTCGATTATTTCCAACAACAGAAACGGTATTTTCTTCTTCTCGTCGGTATTCGTTTCTTCGATCAATGAATTTTCCAAATAAACTTTTAACGAGAAGATCAGTTCTTCTAATTGCGAGTTCACATCGTTCGATATCGTGTCCTTTCTTGACGATACTTGCAACATTAAAAGATAGATAGTATAAAGCAATAATGTTAATCGAGTAATTATAAAAGATCATTGATTAAATACGTACAAATTAAATCGAGAAACCGCGCTAACTCGGACGAGTGCAACGTACAGATGAAGCAAGAAATTTCTTTGAAGCATTGCAAAGCTAATACAGCTATCTGTTCGTCGTTTTCTAATGCGTCCTTCGAATTTAATATAAAGTGCTTATACAATAATCTGACGAAAAGATGAGAAATCGTTTGGTATCGAGAGAAAACAAACATATGAATAAATCACGCATAGAAATTCGTCTTTATCGTTCAATTACCGGCCGATCTCGATGCACGCGTTTGTGTGCCGATCGTTCACCATTCGAGGGCTGTTAATGGCCAATTTTGCACGTTGTAACAATTGGTCTAACGTTACAAGTAAGTAACAACGAAACCTCGCGTTTTCTCGAAACGCAACTTCCTCAGGAATGGTAAATGGTTGTCTATGGTTGGGAAATCGATTAGATCGTATGAAATTAATTCGATTAATTCTTATGCTTACGAATATAAAAGTAACAGGCTTTGACAAATCGTATCCAAATCCATAACGGTGTTTGGTACTTTGATGCTATTCGATTTGACAAACTTCCTGCTAGTGTTATTTACGTCCTTGTCCTTCTTGCCTTTGCCGTTATCGAGTTTCTTCATTTTTGTGGATTGCTACCAACAATTCGATATCGAAGATTGAAATTTTTTATGGAAAATGCGTAAAAAAATGTCGAAGGAATTTAAAAGCAAGTTAAATAGTTCACCGTTTTGATAAAGTCTACTGATCGTGTATAACATTTAAACAAATCGTCTATTTTGGAGAAACACTCGATATTGCCTTTTGAACATTCTCCTATTCTAAATGCCGTTAAAGCCTCGTAAATGGTAACAGTTACAGCAAGATTTTTCATCCTTATCTGCGACTTGGATAAATCCTCGAATAAATCTGTATCGTCTTTCTAAAAGAATCGAATCATTCAACAACCGGATTCGTAAACAGACACTTCGTACATATATTATACCTTACTGCTTTAAGTAATATTAATTTCTACGTTAACGTTTCAACTTGCCAACTTACCAGATTTAGATGATCCAATTCCGTAGCTATCATTTTTTTATGCAATGACTCTAAAGTGTCGCGTACTTTATCGAAAATAATCGTCGATCTCTTTGACGTCGTACCAAGATATATTTTTTGCAGTGCAAATATTAATTCTGCGATTGGTTCTTGTGGAACTACCTCTGTACCGATTATATTAATGCACAAGTCAAATTTCACTGGTGGCAAAATATCATCGTCCGTATGGACATAAAGATTTAAATGCGAAAGAAGCATGTCCAACACGATTTCTGTTATTCCAGGATTTTTTATCACGGTATCATATAATCCTGAACACACAATTTTTCTCCAGCTATATGATTTTTATCAAGACATTATTCGTCCAATAAATAATCCTTACCTTCGTATAAATGTAGTCTGACTTCGAATTCATAAGTAAAACTCTTTTTCAATATATCCAGTATTTCGTAACACAAAGTTTTCTCACATTCCGATTTTTCTCGTTGCGAACTGTACTCTAAAGTTGCCTGAACGATAGAATAAACGTTTCAATCGCGTTTCGATCGTGATCGTCGGTAACGATAATATATATATACATAATTAGATAGTATTTCGATTCAAAGTCGAGCATACTTGAGTTAACGCTGATCTGATACTGGAACTGGAACTGGTCACGAACGAAGAAGAATTATGACGTTGACTGAGTCTGAAACTGTCCAGCGAGTGCATTTTCGAATATTTCAACATTTCAAGAAATCCGGTAACTGCCATATGCCGTTTTGATACACCTTTCCTATAAAGGGCTTTCCGTAAAGTTAAAATAAGGTTTTCTCGTATACTTGGTGAAATGCGTATCAATGGAAAAATAGCGTATAATGCTTGATTAGCAACTGCGCTAGGTAAAAAGAGCAAACGTTCGAGAAGAATCATGATCCAGATTTGATGATCCAAAACAAGTATCGATAATTCACGGCAAGCGTAATTTAAACAATCTGAAAGATATTTTCGAAAAAAGTTTAAATACATGAATGTTAATATGTTCGTGACATTTTCATATTCGTGATAATATCATGTTCATTCGATTACCTATATAATAAGTCGTTGATGCACCGCCTGCAACTATTTTGTTAACCAATTCTTCCATCACGGTAGCGATCGTTTCGTGACGTTTTTTAATTACTTCTCGAATTATTTCTGCCCCTATGCGTACCGTTACTGTTGTATTATTTTTTAATTTTTGGTCCGAACTCATTAATGCAAAGGCTAAATTCATGAATCCTTTTAATATCAAGTGCCGATCTTTATTACTACGAATTGAACGAACAATTTAGCTAGAGCAAAACGAAGAGAACGCTAGAGAAAAAGAAGGAAATGTTATCGGATAAAGGGAAAGGTAAAGGCTGCGTTACCTGCAATCTATAACTTGCCGTACAACTTCAATAACATTGCAAGGAAAAGGTATTAATTTCCTCAACCATGCACTACCTTCTCGTTTCTCTTTCTCTACACTGCTGTTGACGATGGTCGACCTTAGTGTTTCGAAGATCTATTAAACACATTTTCAACCAGAACAACGAACCTTATAAGATTTCGATCGAAACGAAAAGTTATTAACTTCCAAAAGTTGTTACCTGTTCTTGGTAGATGCTGGAAATTGTCGTTAGTGCAGCAAGTATAAATGGTTGTAATATATATTCTGAAGCAGAAGACACGTTCTTTAGATGACGAATAAAATCCTTCATATTTTCATGATTCAGTTGAGCAGCCTGATATATGTAGTATAATACTGTACTCTCTGTATCTTGTACTTCTTTCGTACCAATTATCCCTATAGGAGCATAAATCTAAGGTAATAACTGAAATGACCGATTGAAGGCATTCTGCTCTATTTACGTACCGATGTCTTCGAGACTATCTTTATCGTCGTTAGACATCGCTATCGCATAAGACGCTCGAAAATACTCGTTTAGGGCATTCAAAAGGTATAGACAATCTCGCTCTTTACATAACTTTAGTATTTGATATACAAACGGTGGTACTTGATCTAAAGAAAGGTCAGCCAAAGCGGAACAAGATGCCTTTATAACTTGATTACGATGAGCCTTACCTAAAGCCATATCTCTGCACGTACGAAAGATTTGAAGAATCATAACGATAGATTTTAGGATCTCGAATGATGGATGATTCAATTGTTGGCCATATATCAAATTATTTACCCAAACATTTTTGCCAAAGATGGTAAAAGATTCACGTTCCATCGATAATCACATATCGCTTTAATGATTAACGATTTATATTCGTCGCCAGAAACTTCTGTATCCGCGTGGACAAGGTATTTTTCATTTTCAAGCATTTCCAATAGGACTGGCAACAAATCTTTCCAGCTAAAATAAAAAAAAAAATGCCAAAAGTAATTTCATGTAATCGTATCGGAAGTTGCTGTGACTTGAAAAATTATTTTACCTATGTAACGAGTCATTATTATTATGAATACTGATAAGGCAAAAATCAACAAGTTTAACGAGATTTTGTTTTGAATATTTTGGAAAGTCAACGATTATTCGATTGACGATTGCATCCACTTGTCCAGTTGATATTTTAACATTTCCCAAATCTTTCAAAACAGCTTCAACCAAAATACGTCGCTTTGTTTGACAAGCTTCCGAATCGGAGAATTCTTGTAAAATATCGTCCACTATTTTTGGTCCGTCCAATTTACAGATGCTATTGCGTATTATTTTAACGAGCTGTTGGAACGTTGCTTTTAAAACAGTTATTAATATTTATCGTTAAAACAACTTTTTATTTACCTCTTCGACATTTGTGTCTCGAATAAATGCGCGCAATTCTGAACGATTTTCACGACTCCTTAAATTTTCGAAACGTTGATACATACTTCGATAGTTTTAATCAGACAATCGTGATAATTACTGAGCGAGCGAGTCGAAGGCGAGCGAAATTCTTATACTTGACTTTGCAACTTCTTCGTCCGCGTTTTTCTTTTGCACCGCTCAACCAATTCTCATCAAATTTTGCACGCGCATGCGTATGTACATCCAGATGGACATAGAAAAAAAATTTTAAATCGGACTTGCCACGGAGGAATAATCACCGAAAAAACTGATCCTCCTTGACTTCAATGTAAAAATTGAATTTGCTCGCGCTTGGAATTTTCGTTATTGAGAATATTGCAAAACATCCACCGTTTAATATTCAACACATACATTTTAAAAACACTATTTCCGGATAAATATACAGTTTTATACGTACATCTTCATTCAAAAAATATTCTTGGACATATCGAGACCAATTTAAGCCGTCCACGTTTAAAATCCCTTCGTTTCATCGAATCGTAGTTTTGAATTTGTTTTCAACGAATGAATACACTCTTGTGGCAGTAATACGAAACATATCGACTGTGCAAAAATATCGAAAGTTTTATTGTGCTCTCTATGTACGATTTAAACATAGAAATTCTGTTCAATCTATACCGCCCATTGTCATCTTACCAACCTGAAATACATAAAACAAAGTGAAGAATAACCTCGAACGTTATTTATAAATATATTATAAATATTTGCTTGTAAACAGATACGCGTATAATGGATTTTAATATTCAATTATAAGATGTATTAATTAAACTTTCATAATTACAATTTACAACTTTGTAATTAAAAAAGTTGCACTTATAATTGGATATGTAAGTAAGCCTTAATGTCGGTGTTAACGTTATCTTGATGTAGAAATTATTTAACATATCCTTATATCCATGTAAAATTTATAATTAAACATTTACAGATATATTAACAAATATTTTCATACAAACTTATTAACATATATTTCTACGTATTGTACTGTTGCATTTAACATGGAACAATGTACAAAAAAGTTAAAATTGGATAATGAAAAAAATGTATCTCCTTCTACTATAAACGAGGGAAAAGCAGAAATTTTGGTGAGCGATACCAATGTATTTTATAACCCTGTTCAAGAATTTAACAGAGATCTTAGCGTATTAGTATTAAGAACATATATCGATGACAGAAATGGACAAATATTAGAAATAGATCGAGGAAAACCTAATGGAATCGCTTTATTGGAAGCCTTATCCGCCACCGGTCTACGAAGTATTCGTTACGCTAAGGAAGTAGAGGGTATAAAGCAAATTGTAGCGAACGACATATCCGCTAAAGCGGTAGAAAGTATAAAAAGAAACATAGAGCACAACGATGTTCAGCATCTTATTAAACCGAGTCAAGAGGATGCGACATTATTGATGTATCAAAATAGGAAGAATCGTTTCGACGTAATAGACTTGGATCCGTATGGTTGCCCTACGCCATTCTTGGATGGAGCAGTCCAGTGCGTATCGGATGATGGATTGCTTATGGTTACAGCTACAGATATGGCTGTGTTGGCTGGAAATGTTCCTGAAACTTGTTACCTTAAATACGGAGCTATTTCTTTGAAATCTAAAGCTTGTCATGAAATGGCATTGAGAATTTTATTACAAAATATCGCTTCTCATGCTGGCCGTTACGGGAGATATGTTGTACCTATACTTTCTATAAGCGCTGATTTTTATATAAGAGTATTCGTAAAAATATATTCCAGTCAAGTTAAATGCAAGGAGAATGCCACTAAAATAGGCATGGTGTATCAATGTACAGGTTGCGAAAGTATCAATACTCGATCATTGTGCTACAGAAAGCCCACAGGAGATTTTAAATTATTATCTTCGCCTAGCGTGGATCAATTTTGTTCAATCTGTCAGCATAAACAGCAAGAAGGAGGACCTGTATGGTTAGGTCCTTTACATGACCAGCAATTCGTCTTTAAACTTTTACATAACTTAGATAATATGCAGTTGAGAACATCGAAAAGAATTAAAGGAGTATTGAATGTTATCTACGAAGAGTTGGACGTTCCGTTATATTACACGATTGATCGCCTGATGTCCATAGTTAAATGTATTACCCCGCCAATATTATTATTTAGATCTGCGCTGTTGAATGCGGGTTATAATGTCTCGTATTCACACGCGTGTAAGACATCTATAAAAACGGATGCACCAAACTGTGTTATATGGGATATTGTACGCACGTGGGAAAAACAACATCCTGTAAATCCGCATAGATTGTCAGTCGATAGTCCTGGAATAAGGATATTAAATGGAACGATAACTACAGATGTTTCGTTCGAGCATCATCCGCTTGCCAATCCAGCTTCCAGACAAAATAAGTTGACTCGCTTTCAGCAAAACCCTATTGTTAACTGGGGACCTGGCACACGCGCGAAAACAAGAATCGATTTAGAAGGTGGAACCGAGAGTTCGAAAAAGATAAGAAATCAGAATAAGAATTGTAGGAAAGAGAAAAGTCAAGCAATGGAAGCCAGTAAAGAGGAAAAACTTGTATAAAATGATCTATCGGCATTTGTACAGTTAACATAAGTCTTTTTACAGAAAATATAAATCTGGATACATACATATATTTGCTTTCTATCGATTATTGCATTTTCCCGTTCATAAAACAAGTATATTGAACTGATACTTTTTAACGTTATATATTTTGCTTATTTTAAAACGGAAGAATACATGTAAACACTACATAAGACGTGAATTACATAAGACGTAAGTTTCTGAAGCGTGGTTGTACACGTATTTTAGTTTTTATACGTGCGGTTCGCGATAATTACAGTACGAATTCGTAATAAGCAACTCGCTCGGGTCTGGCCAGTTGTTTGTTACGAATCAATACAATTTTATTTAATAGTATATTACAGCCACTACATTATAGCCACGTCGCGTGGAGACCCACAGATTGTTTATAGTGGGGGAATCTTTCATTATGATTTCGTACTTATTTCAGAGAGTAATCGGTACAGCTGCAGACGTGGAATAAAATACATCCGTGTAGTAATGGCTGCGCCAACAATCACTTTGAACAATGGACAAAAGATTCCTGTGTTAGGACTTGGTACTTGGCAATCCGGAGTGAGTACACGTCGTGTGAATGAAGATCTTGGATGATCGATATAGGTGTATTGTCAGTATTTTAAGATTTTCAATATTTATCTTAAACGCGTTATCGTTTCTAACGATAAAGGTAAAGGATAAATATTACAATGGAAAAATGTGATAATTTAATAATAACATTAATTGCCAATTTACCTAGACATTTATCTTAAATGCTGAATGATTGAATTTATAATTATATAATATTTTTCAAGGATGATCCGAGCGTTGTTGAGCAAGCTGTTCGAGATGCCGTCGATGCTGGATACAGACATTTTGATTGTGCTTACATTTACGGTAACGAAAGAGAAATTGGTAAAGCATTGCGTGAGAAAATTGCCGAAGGAGTCGTAAAAAGAGAAGACTTATTTATTACAACGAAGGTACAGTTATGGTAAACGGAAATCTTGTTCGGATCGATTTTTCTTAACATTTTAATATTTGCAGCTATGGAATACGTCGCATAAAAGAGAACATGTAGTACCGGCATGCAAACGGTCGGTTGAAAATTTTGGACTAGGATACGTGGATCTCTATCTCGTGCATTGGCCAGTGTCGTATAACGTACGGTGGCATGAACATATCTTATAAGTCGTGAAAAAAACATATGCACATCACGCACATATGATTTTCAGGAGAACGCTAAAGGTCTTTTTCCAAAAGATGAGAAGGATAATCCGAAGTCCGAGGTCGTCGATTATTTAGACACGTGGCGCAGTATGGAAGAATGCGTGAAATTGGGATTAACAAAAAGCATAGGGCTTAGCAATTTCAACTCGCAACAAATTGAACGAGTGTTATCGATCGCCACGATTAAACCTGTCATGAATCAAGTGGAATGTCATCCGAATTTGAATCAAAAGAAGTTACGAGAATTTTGTGCCGAACGTGGTATAGCTATTACCGCGTATAGTCCATTTGGTTCACCAAAGCGAATTTGGGCGAAACCTGGTGATCCACAGGTTACGATCGATGCGCCAGAAATTGTTACGATCGGTAAGAAATATGGAAAAACACCTGCACAAGTTGTCCTGCGTTACTTGGTAATTACATTAATACATTGTCTACGAGCGGAAATTATTTGAACGGAAAATATTTATCTAAAATAATGGTTATTTATTTTCAGATAGAAATTGGCACTGTTCCCATACCGAAATCAACTTCGAAGGAACGCATTAAACAGAATATTAATATTTTTGATTTCAATCTGTCTCCAGAAGAAATACAAACGATAGATAAGCTCGATCGCGGAATTCGTATATGTCCAGCTTCGGAGTAAGTAATAAACGGATTTATTTATCTCATATATGGCTTACATATTCTAATTGTAATAAAATTTCTGTACTTAGATTCAAGGATCACAAGGATTATCCTTTCAACATAGAATTCTAATAAAATTCTACATTTATTTCTACGCATATTTTATAGAACCTTTACACGACACTGACAAACTATTGTTCAAAATATGTAGATCGAGAAACTAATAAATCACGTTCACGCAATGTCATTCCTGTTTAATATTCAAAGATGGTAGTTATGATTCTCGGCAATCATAGAGAAACGAGAATTGTTCTTAGTTGAAATTATATAACTGTTTTCTGTTTTAAGAAACAGCCTGTTCCTTATTGTCGTCAGAAGAAATTCAATATATCGATAACGCGTTAAAAAGTTCTATATCATTGTGAAATGTAAGCAATACGTTTTTAATCTTGGCATTAACGATGGAATCATTCGCATCGCCGATGCGTTACGTAATTATTATCTGTTAGTAATAGCATGACTAGGAGGTGAATCGATGCTCCGTGATCAGTTGGTTTCCAAGTACATTGCGTGCTTTATCGATTATCGCAGTGAAAACACGTGTCAAGAACGGAACGGTCAAGGAACAATTTTAAAAAGTAATCATTTTTTCTTAAATAACGTTTCCAAATCTCTGATCGACGATGCTTAAGATACCCAACCTTGCTTTTTCCAATGGCCTGAAGATGCCAGTTTTTGGCCTTGGTACGTATCAGGTAAGAAAACGCTTACACCGTAATCGTAATTGACCCGTAAATATTTAAACACTGGAGATTTTATCTAGCTAACAAGAATCGATTTAAAGGTATCGTTTGTAGAAGGTTGTAAAACCATCATATGATTCGATAGCGCGGTTTATTCAAAAATCAGAAGATTCAGAATTCTCGAATCGTGGAAATTTGTGACTTAAAAAATGATATAAATTTCGAAATTGGATGACAGCCCATGACAGTTATAAACTCGTAATATATTCTTATCGTTAGTCAAAAGCCGGAGAAGTGGAAAAAGCTGTGATGGAAGCTATAGATCTAGGATATCGTCATATAGATACGGCACACTTTTACCAGAATGAAAAAGAAATTGGTCAAGCGGTTCAAGCAAAAATTAAGGACGGCACCGTGAAAAGAGAAGATCTCTTCATTACGACCAAGGTAAAGTTTTTCTCTTTCGATAAATGTTTAACGTAACAAGAACATAGTATTAAAAACCGACGTTTCTTTCAGCTTTGGAACAATGCTCATAAGGAAGACATGGTTGTCCCGACTTGCAAAAAGTCTTTGGAACTTCTCGGTCTCAGTTACGTGGATCTTTATTTAATTCACTGGCCATTCGCGTTTAAGGTTATTTCCAAATTGCTACCGTGATAGTTTAAAAAAAATTTCATAAAAATCAAATCAGCTAAACAGGCAAGATTTATTCTGTATGCTTTATTATTTACTAGGAGGGAGATGAATTGTATCCTAAAAACGAGAAAGGTATCGCTATAACGTCGGACACGGATTACCTCGAAACCTGGAGGGGAATGGAACAGTGCGTGAATTTGGGATTGGCTCGTAGCATCGGAATTAGTAATTTCAACATAGAACAAATCACTCGGCTGCTTAAAGAGGCTAAAATTCCACCTGTAAACAATCAGGTAATAATTCTTCTTAATTATTATTATACGTTATATCGTATTTTTATTTGTGCTTCTGTACTTGTACAGGTCGAAGTAAGCGTGAATTTAAATCAAAAGCCATTGATCGAATTTTGTCAGAAAAATAATATCACTATAACTGGATATTCACCGTTGGGACAACCTGGAAACAGAGCGGGAGCACCGAATTTCCTTGAGAATCCAACGATCCTCGAGCTAGCTAAAAAGCACAACAAAACACCGGCACAAATTAGTCTACGATACGCGGTAATAATACCGAAAGTTTTCTCGTATTTTACACTCGATGAAATCGACGAGAGAATCGTTTGATCTTTTGTCCTTGGCTACAGTCGTATCTGAGCTTGAAAAATCGTCTTATCGCAATAACATAACGCAAATAACATAAGTTTATCATTTTGATCGATAGAGATAAGTTTGATAGAAGGCTAGGTGTAACGTAATCTATCGTATCTATCGTATTTTTGAAAGCGTTATATTGCCGTTAAATATCTACGTCGAAATGTCGAGATTCCGTTCAAGTAGATTCTATAAAAGCCTAATTCCGTAATTTTTTCAAACGTACCAGCTACAACACGGAATCGCCATTATCCCGAAAACTGTAACATCCAGTCGACTAAAGGAAAATATGGACATATTTGATTTTACTCTCTCTCCCGAGGAAATGGAGAGTATCGCGGCACTAGCTACGGGTGCACGGGTAGCACGATTCATCGAGTAAGTACCGAGAAAAATTCTCTAACGTACTAATTGCTAACACGATACGATTACGTACTAACATGATACGATTACTTTTTGCAGCTTGAAAGACCACAAATATTACCCGTTCTAGATATGTATAGAAAAGCATCATCGTAAACGGATGAAAAAGGCAGGAAACAGCTCGTCAGTTTCGGTGTAAATTAAATAGTAAGGCATATCCCCTTTGAACTAATCCCACGCTATAATTCGGCTCTCGTTTGACCCTTATCTAGTCAATTGGATTTATTGAACGCCATGGAAAATTTCGATGCTTCGTTCTGAAATGGCATCGTACCAGCCAACCGAATCAAGTTAATTGTGTTTGATCGGTATTTGCAGCGATTGCAGAATGTACAATGTTTCTCGGCAAATAAAATTCCATGAAAACGAAACTTTAGATGAAAATAAATGTTCGTTCTTTCGTTCGAACGACCAAAATCTATAAGATTTAGAAATCTATAAGAATCTATAAGAAAATATTGTAGGAGCTAAAAATGGAAACACAATGTTTCCAGAAGCATTTGTAACACGTGTTTTGTTAAATGATAAGTAAAGGCTATAATTTAAATGTTTTTTTTTCTGCGATTATTATTATCAACGAATTGTTAGGAAAAAAGGACCTTGCATTGTTTCGTGCGGTAGAATGGACAAGTAGTAAATTACAAGAGGATTCTAGAAGAGAAAAAGAAGAACGGTGATACATGCTCATTGGTAATTCTCGAACGAACCTCTTCAAGGCCAATGAATGGCGAAGGTCCACGTGGGCGATAACCCTTTTTTTTAGACCGATTCGCTCGACGAGCGAAATTGCTTATTCCACATTCATTCACAGCTACACATGTATGAACGGAATTTTTTCCCACGAGGGTGCCGTATTATTCGATAAGTTCACCGCTACCTCTGATCTATATTTCTGTCCTACAACGTAACGCGTAATATGTATAATTATCAATTCCATTATGTAGAAGGAATTGTATCTTAATACAATATGAACGTTTGCCTGAAAATTCGAAGGACATACCGTAAGAGGAAGTACACGTACGTATAGTTGGACCGCGTGATAAGCCACGCGTCGGTCGAAACTTGAATTTCTTACAAACCGCGATGTTTAGTAAATTCAGTCGCGACCTTCGAGACAAACGACAATAGGAGCGAAACTGACAGTTAGGCGTTCGAGACGTTTCCAATGAACTTCGTTGCACGAACGACGTAATTGCATCATGAATCATATCGCACAGGTGTAAGTTGTTTGAAAGATATCCGTAAAAATCGAGTCTATTCTCTTGGTAAATTTTTTATCGAGAACACGAGCAAAAGTAACGAACGCCGCATCGCGTCTCTTTTTCTTCGTCTTCGTAGATTGAGCACGAAATTGAAGTCACCAACACGAAACACAGAAACGTCGAGGATATTCGAATGCGGCTCGTGGAGATCTCGAGTGCTCGTTAAGATGAAAGAATGCCGCGATGCGATTAAGAACATTGTGAGCTTCGACAAGTCACCGAACACCGTAGAAACTGCACGAACAAACGTAGCCGCTGTCACGAACAAAACATCCTTATCTTCTATCGACTCCGGGCTAAAAACTTCCGTGTCCTCGTTATCGGACATTACCAGATTCAGTAGCATCGCGTTCAAGGATAAAGAACTGGAGGGCGAAGAGATTCGAAGAAGAAATTCAACGTCGTCGAGTTCATTGGAGAAGGAATTGAACGCGTCTACCAATAGTTCACTGAAGTCGTTTCTCGACGAGGAACAAGCGTACACGATCAAGAAAAAGATATCGGCCGAGCCATTTCTCTCTTACACCGAAGGAACCGTGGAATTTCTTTGGACAGACGACACAGAGACTAGTTTGTCCAGTCAAGATATCAATTTTGGAAATCCACCTATGAACTCGACGTTTTGCGAAAACTCGCTCGCTAATATTAATCGTGCATCTCCTTTCGTTCAAAAATTATGATTCTAGTTTCGAAAACCATTTTTCAATTTCAATTTATCTCTCTCTCTCTACTTACCTACTAGTAATAGTTTTATTTATCGAATATTTTATACGATTATGTTTTTATTCGTTGCAATAAAGTTTTCTATTAATCGAACACGATTCTTGAAATTCGATCACGAGAACTTTCGATACGCCAAGGCTATGGGTTAGGTTTAGATCTCGATTTAAAAGTTTCCGTATTCCCGAACGGTTCCCAAATTATTGTTACTATTAAAAATAATAATAATATAGCATTCGCAGCCGCGTTCAAAGATTTCGTAATCGAATCGTAACGTGCTCGCACTCGTATCCGTCCTTGTTTAGAGTAAATGTAAACGAAAACATTGTAAAAGTTCTAATAACTTTTAGGTGTCCTAACAGTCGTGTTCAAATTATTCTACATATTTTATCGCGAATCTTGTGTCGATAATGCAATAATCGTCGAGTACGATCAGTGATTGCGCGAAAAACGCTCGAGATATACCGCTTAAACAAACCGATAATATCCGATACTTTGAAACACTGAATTTTCCCAGATAATTAATTCGACGCGGAACCAATACGACGCTCTGTTCGTATCTAACCAACGGCTGAAAGAGATCTCGATCGTTCCGATATACTTCGCTATACACCTGGCTGTGTACGTATGTCTATAAATCGACGATGATTGTTCTCCTTTACAAGAGTTGAAAAATGTTTACAGCGACGGGACAGTTCGATGATCCGGAGAAACTTTTCAATCAATTTTTAAATTGATATTCGACACTCCGGAATAAAAGTAATTGTCTCAAAGAATTATATTCAATTAGAACAAGTACTAATAATATTTAAGAAGCGATTATCACGGAGTCATGGCAAACTAGATTCACGTTGGGGAAACGAACCGTTCCGTAATAAGATTTCTAGTCCACTATGCTATGCTGTGGACGATTATGGTTCTTTCATGCGACATCGCAATCGCAATATTCAAGTATGCTTTGCCCATTGTACACTTTCGAAAAAAAAAAACAAAGTCAACTTGTCGATAATATTCCTACCTTAAACTCTAAGCACCAACGCAACGGTTTAACTCGTTCGAATGGAAACTATAAAAAGACAAATGCAAAGCGAATGCCGATCAGCAAACAATATCGATTTTAAATCGAATGTATTATTGTTGCGAATAACGTTTAGAATGTATATAAAATATGAAATATAGGTTCAAGTACATACCGCGCTTTATTTTCTCATTTGTTATTCACACAGCTGTTCTAAATCGAAATGTCGAAACGTTACATTTTTTCTCTCTGTTTACGCGTTCGCTGATACTGGATAACATCGTTTCCAGTAAGTTGTAAAAAATTTCACGAGACTTTCGACTTATCGATCCATACATGACATTGTAAAGAATAATGTCGTAAAAACGATGTAACCGAAATTTCATGCGAAATGTGAGTTAAAATCGCTTTCTAGAATAATCCGTTTATGTTACGAGCTACCTCTTATTCTCCGTAATTCATTCATTCGTTCGTTCTTTAACGATCAAGGGTTTCAACTATCCCTTACTGCATACAACGGACTCTGTAACTTTCCACAGGGCCCGTTTCTCGTTAGCGAATTTACCGGTACCCCAACACTGTGATGATCAACGTACAACCACAAAGAAATCTTTCCGTGAAAGATATAAAACTTATTACGTAAGATCACACACATGTATACGATTGCGACACGCATGCGCAGAAAAAACAGTGCAGTACACTTTTTAGGGAGTTTGAAAGTATCGGTCTATTTTTTTCTTTTTCTCTTTCGGTCCATTTTTTACACAATACTTATATAAAATATTCCGATCTGAAAAACAGAAAACGAAGATAACATACCGCGGATACGTTCGAACATCGTTAATATTATAAACAAAGTAATATTCTATGAAAAATATACTTTATATTTGATAATTAAAACCTCTGTAGTTCTTCTTCCGAAATTCTTTCGAAATTCTTCAGAAATTCTTCAGAAATTCTTCAGAAATTAAATGCTTAAAAACACGTTGGATTTTAATACAATTAAATTGTTATAAATTAAGCTGCGAAATACGATTTTGATTATAACTTATCGCATTAACGGTAATTAATATTTATATTTTGAACACGTTCAGTTGAATAGATCTTTCGATTTATAAATTTGCGAAGAAGAAAGGAACGGTTTGTACATCGATAATACGGGGCTGGTTTCGGGACGAGCGGGAATAGTGGGGACATTTATAAAAGGGGCTAGGCAAATGTACCCGGCATTTGTACGCTGCTGACATAAGCGTTTGACGGTTAATCGAATCTCAAAAAGTGTAACAAACCTTTCGAAAGAGATATTCGCGTGTCGAATAATAAAGTATATAACAATATCAAAATGGTTCTAAACGTACCGATAATGAAATTTTACAACGGTAACGAAGTGCCGGCTTTCGGTTTGGGTACATGGAAGGTCAGTATTTATCTCTTATGAAGCAATTCAGCATAACGAAAGATTAATTGCACGTATACATATGTTAACGAAGGAAATATAAAAAATTCAACGCAAATTACGTTACAGTTCCTTTCGCGTTCAATGTCGAGCTTCGTGGATGTACATATCTATTTTATAATTTTATACTTTTATGCTGGCTGAAACTATTTTATCTTCTTTTCTTTTTTATCTAAGACGCAATACTATTCTGCGAAGTTCTCGAATCTACTAAATGAACGAATAGTCTCTTTGTATCTGAAATCTAACTTCTGACGTAATTCACATTTATTTTTACATTTTATGTATTAGAATTCATACGATACAATTAATAATGTTATTTAGAATATTGATAAAGATATATATATATATACATACATACATCTTAAATCTCTTAAATTATTTATAATTTTTGGCAATGTTTTTATTTAGTAGATTTTATAATTAGCTTCGCCTATTTAAAGATAAGTCCAAATTTAATTTAACTTGTGTAAAGATAAGGGAGTAGTAGCTTGCTCTGTAACATCGAATTAAAAATGATATCTTGACTTTGAAGAATTTACTACGAAATAAATATAATATTCTTGTATAACGTCGTTTGTATCTTTGTGATAAGCGGTACTTCACGTTTTTATTCTTCTTGCGTTATTTATATTTTAGTCCAAACCCGGAGAAGTTACTCAGGCTGTTAAGGATGCTATCGATATTGGATATCGTCACATTGATTGTGCTCATGTCTACGGCAATGAGAAAGAAGTGGGTGCTGCATTTAAAGAAAAACTTGCCCAAGGCGTAGTGAAGAGGCAGGACCTTTTCGTTACGAGCAAATTATGGAACACTTTTCATAGACCGGACTTGGTTGAACCGGCCATCAAGAAAACTTTATCGGATTTAGGTCTCGAGTACCTGGATCTCTATTTAATTCATTGGCCAATGGCGTACAAAGAAGGAGACGATTTGTTTCCAAAAAATCCTGACGATACACCTGCCTTAAGCGACGTGGATTACGTAGACACGTGGAAAGCGATGGAAGCTTTAGTAACAAAGGGTCTTACCAAGAACATCGGTGTTAGCAATTTCAATTCCGAACAAATCGAGAGGTTACTCAAGAACTGTACCGTCAAACCGGTTACCAACCAAGTGGGCATACGTTTCGTTTAATCGCTGCTAACTAATTGTACGAAACATTTTCTTCACTCAGTGTTTGCGTATTTATAGATCGAGTGTCATCCGTATTTAACTCAAAGGAAGCTCTCAGAATTTTGCAAAGAAAGGGGTATACTCATTACCGCGTACAGTCCGCTTGGATCTCCTGACAGACCATGGGCCAAACCAGACGATCCGAAACTATTGGAAGATAAAAAATTGGGTGAACTTGCCAAAAAATACAATAAAACGCCTGCACAGGTTCTTATTAGATATCAGGTGAGTAATAAAATTTTATTTTAATAAGTTATACATTCGTATATATTAATTAAATTTTATAAATCTTGGTCAGCTGGATCGTGGACACATAGTAATACCAAAGTCGGTTACAAAATCAAGAATCGCTCAGAACAGCGAAGTTTTTGACTTCAAACTTAGTTCGGAAGATATTGCATATATCGATACCTTCGATTGCAATGGCAGAATCTGTCCAATGACTGGGTAAATATATTTTTCTTTCGATTAAATTTGACAAAGTACGTTTAATTTTATTTTTATTATTTTCAACATATAAATATATTGATTTTCAGAACCGAGAAAAGCTCTTACTATCCATTCCACATTCCGTTTTAAGCAATCGAAGTAATTTAAGAAACGTCATGTACAAACTGATATGATTTCATCGTTTACATGGTTTTTTGCACATTTTATACTGCATTCTGTATAAAATAAACTGCACAATAAAAACTGCGTATACTTCATTTCCTCTGTATGCTTTCATATCCGAATAACGTAACGCGCTTAAGATAGAAAGAAATGAAAAAATGACACAGTGATCTGCAGCGTCGTAAATAGTTGATTAATAATAGTATATGTAGCAGGGTCCCGGTTGACGTTTCACGGTGATACAGAATTTTTAAGGTTATCTACAATGACGATAAGTGGCCTATTTTGGGTTTTCGAACGTGGAAGATATTTCATATAAACACTCGTTCTTTTTGTGTAAATAAATTATATTATTCGACTTACAGTCAGTTACATCGACACGATAAGGATGCATCGCTATCTTCGCAACCGCAGGAACAACATTCGCAATATTCGTCCTCGCTATTGTTGCCTTCTACGTGCGCGTCCAATTGTTTCGAAGCGATTGGACGATACTCTTCCGAAGGATCCAATGCATCGCTGCAATTGCAATCTGTATCCGATAAACCTAGAGCACACTTACCCTTGCAATTACATCTGCAATTATTTCCTCCGGAGCGTAGAAAATTCTTACACGGCGAAGGACAAATTTCACAAAGATTTTTTAGATCACAAGCTGGTATCATTGGTATACACGACTTTCGAATACCTATGTTTCAAGTTAGACTTAATCTCTATTTCGGTGAACGAGAGATTAGGTATACGTTACGTACCATGATCCGCGACCGTACAAGACGATATGTCGCAACAACCTTTTCTCATGTATCTATCTTTGGGTGAACTTTTCACTTGTATGTTGCACAAAGAGATATTTCCGGTGCAAGATTTCTTTATTATACTACGAAGCTCTCGTGGTCCAACGCATGGATAAGAAGAGCGGGGAAATTTCGTAGAAGTCGTCGGCGGGCAGGGCGAATGTCCACAAGGTTCGCAAGAAGGAGTCGAAAATTTTGATATCGATTGCTTAGGAGGTTTATCGTTCATCGTGTTTTCCTCTTTCGTTTCTTCCTCGTTTTTCCCAAATTTCTGTAACACGAAAAAACACTAATTTATTATTAATGCATTCGTAATAGGTTCGAAAGTGATTCTTTTACATTGTTCTCCGAATACGATAAGACAGCACTTTTCGCTTCGGATGAAACTGTTTGGACTTTGTGATTACTGTTCCACCAGTTTGGTATCCACGAACGTTTCTTTTCTATCTCTTCTGCCGGTTTTTCTTCTTTAATTTCCTCTTCTCGTTTATCGTTAATGTCCCGGTCCGAGGTAGAAACGACCACGTCGCTTTTACCCTACACAGAATCCCGACGATAAATAAATTTATTCTACAATATCTAGGAATATTCTATACTTGTAAGTATTCTTACTAACGATAAGTTTCTGTCGTGGTTGCTTCTTTCTTAAACAGGTCGGAAGACGCGTCGAGCATTCTCTAGGCACGCATCGAATCTTAGTCGCGTTGCATTCTAGATCCTGAGCACAATCGATCCTCCGTCTCCCGCAAACGCTTTGATACTCCTTGGACACCGCCAAACGATCTATGTGCTCTTTGAACAGTGTCTCTTTTTGCTCTAGTTCCTTGATATGATTCTTCAGATTCAATTCTTCTTCGGCTAATTGACGTATTTTCGACAAGCAAATTAAGTCTTCGGAACGTATAGAATGAAGACTCGGTGTTTCGTAACTTCGCACCTCCTTCTCCAAATTCTTCAGGGTGTCGTTCATTTCTTCGTTCGCGAGCTCCAACGATTCTAGTTCTATGTCCGTTTCCTCTAATTGAACGTCCGCTTGAATAATCTTCTCCTGTAATTGATAACGAAGCCGTCGTTCGAGATTCGAGAGTACAACGAAATAAAATATGAATTTCATTTGAAAAATATGAATTGACTGTTCCCACGTAACGCGCGAAACGGTGAACGTTAGAAAAAGGTTAAAGTAAGTTATTTCGGCGAAAAATCTTAGTGACTTAGGATTATAAGCTGTAACGATACAGGAAATCGGAAATGTAAATATAGAGATTTCGGAATATTATACATGTTTCGACGCGTAACACCCATTCGTTTCGCGTTAATGGTATAAATATGCAGGTGTTCTCACCCGAACAAACAGCAACGACCAATGGAATGAAAAATTTTTCAACGGATACGAAGTTTCAAGCACACTGGCAAGATTTACCCGAAAAAATCGTTGAATTTCAATCATTCCGTACATGCAACTCGGTTGTCTCTCCGTTTAGTTCTCTCACGGTCCTCTTCAAGCTGCTTAACAGTTTCTCGGTTTGGTCCGGATAGGGGGCGAATCTTTTCATGATCTCGCGAACCTTGCAATACGGTGCGTTCTCGCACTTCTTCGCCATCCACATATTGAACGCTACCAACGCAGGTATAGACCGTTCCATCGTCGTGATTTTGTCCCTCAAATATTTTTCTTTGCCTACGAGATCGCAACGACGCTCTTCCATTTTTGACGTGATGTCTTCGAAGTACGCTGATCGAGGTTTCGGACCAGAATCGACGTCTGATTTGGGACCTGAAGCAACCAGTCGTAAATGGAAGGTTAAAATATGCATTTAACATGTAAAGCGAGAAATCCGTTTGATATATCGCCTACATTTGCATCGGGACATGTTGCTCTGGTTGTAGCGTATCTGTTTCCGAGATAATTTATCGCCTCGAAGCCTGTTATTCGGTAAATACCAATTATGTAAACGTATGTAGATTACTGTTATCTTTTTTCTTCCATAGACTTTTCAGCGTATCGTTGCATAGCATTATGCTTCGAACGAAAGAGATACGATTTGTTGTTGTACGTTTAAGTATTTCAAAAATTGAAAATTTTGATAGCACTTTAAAGGCATTTTTCAAACGACGCGACAATTTCACGCGCTAAGCGGATTCGTATCGCGTATTCATAGCGGTTGAACTTGGCAATGATTTGGTTTTTGAAAAAACAAAAACGTCGCATGTACAAGATCGTACGTGTTTTCGTTGATCTTTTTCTACATTTCTACCGACCTTTCCGAAGGCCTAAAAAAACTATAAGCGCGCATCAAGAAAGCTTCGATGAACTTCTACAATTAATCCATTTAAGTCGGTGTGTTACTCGGTACAGTGTAAAACGTTGAAATCTGGAGCGGATCGAGACGGACAGCAATGATACCATTCGACTCAGTCAGGAGTCTGTAAAAGAGAAATAATGATATTTCTTTCAACTTCATCTTGTTATTAATTAATCTGTCAGTTACTATATATAAACGAATCCGTGTTTGACAGAGGAACAGACTTGATTAGCCGTGATACCGACGACGACAAATGTTCCCAGCTAACCGGAACTAGCGCGTCTTTACAAGACAGTACAGGAAGCACGATTACAGGCTCGACTCGAGCCAACTATCAACGTAATTTCGAAGATCGCGTGCTTCATGGGCAGAGCGGTAATCGCAGATTTAGTTACAAAAAGAGAAAATCCTGCAATGGAAACGGAATATTTAGTGCCCCTGCAGGGGTCAGTCCCCATCATGTTAAATCGTCGATCATACGACGCAATACAAGTTTGTTCTTAAAATTTAATCGATTATTTCATACATTCGGGTGCAACACGAGCTACTTTTGTTCGGAAGTAAATGCAATAATAAACGTTTAGGAATCATACGGCAACCTTGAACCGCGTATTCAAAAGAAGCTAATGTTACACCTCTATAAGTAGATGTACATACGTACATACATACATACATGTAAGTTAATTAACATTATATTTCAATCGTTTCAACTCGCTTGTCAGATGGATCTCCGTTAATTTTCGTATGGCCACAGAAACCACCTAGAAGCAGGTTGTTGAGAATTTTAGCTCCTTTAATGCACGGTATTCTCATCGGATTCTTGTTTTTGGATGCTGTTCACCTTTGGCCAGGAGAGTTTTTGCCTACGTCGTTACCCTCTGTAATGCCTGTACCTTTACCGCCCGTCAAGTGTAATGTGATCGAACCACGTTGGTTCGACAACAGTTAGGATCACTTCCTGATCACTTCCCTCCTATTCTTTAAATTCAAAATGATACAGCGAATCGTAAACGTATTTGTAAAGAAATTGAAATAAATGTAAATGGTACCCACACATGTACACACACGTACAGCGTAAAACGGAATGAATCGGTTTGAAATTTTTATTATAGTAAATTAAATATTATTGAATTTTCACGAAAATGTGACGACACCTACTTCCGCTCAACCGTTCCGCCGAAGGGTACATTTTTCTCCAGCGCAAATTTTTACATTTTTCCTGGAAGCGGTTTTCCCTCGGGAAGAGAAACTCACTTCCCTGGAAAGCGCCCTGGCGAAAAAGTTTATATTTTAATCGCGAACTATTTTTCTATTTATCTGTGCAATAGTGGATTAATAAGAATATTATATTATCGACATTACAAACAAGTAGACAAGTTTGAATAAACTCTTTTCCAACCTTTTTCATTTATAAATCGAGTGAATATTTTTATTCGATTACCTATAGTCGATAAAGTGGGAGTCCTGCTTTGATAAAGGCGCCCCACACACGAAAACGGAACAAGTGGTGTCATCTATCCAGTGAACAGAGTGTACTGCAAGTTTTTGAAACTGTAGTTTCATTCATTCCCACACACTGCCGATAGGTGGCGGTACTATGTCGATTCGGTTCAATTCGATTGATATAATACGGAAACTAGATTTCTTCTCGAATGCATAGTTTGTTAGACATGCGTTCTTGAACAACACCGTCGTAAAGTTACATATACGTTATCGGCTGCAAAAATGTCAAATAAATATATATTTCAAAAGTTTGGATATTTGAACACACCATTTGGTTTGGGCATTGGTCGCTACGTATGTCAATTGCAGAGAGTAACTTTAAAATTTTGTAAAAACCAAGGTGGGAGCCTCGGAGTTAGGTATTTGCAACTTTCTAACCCCTTATCATCAAATAGATTTAGTTTATGTATTTAACGTAAATTGAATGAAGATATTTTTTGAACACAGGAAATTTATAGAGAATGATTTAATTAATTATGCGAAAGAAAATTCTGGTGTAGTAATCTATGTCAAACCAAGGAGACACAGGAATCCTGTTATAAAAGCAGAATATTGTAGGTTGTGTATTGTTTAAAAAAAAAAAAGAAAAAAAAAACAAATCTGTGCATTAGAAGTAACATATAAATACATATTTTAGTAAATGGTGATGTACATTGGATGTGCGTTACCAATTACACTCGCGAAGACATTGTACAATGGATGGAATTATTAAGGACACAGTATCACGATGGTCCAGCTTATAGACTGATTAAATTATGGCATACAGAATTCCCTTCCATTCAAGGGCCATGGACACCGTTTACGTTTAAAGAACCGTCTCTAAATTTAACTAAATTCCCGAATGTAAATATTTCATTTGTTTCCTGACGATTATATTGTTTATTTATTCAACTTTAATCGTTTGTTACAATTTTTCTAATGCACATTGCGTCTCTTGATTATTTTCAGAAAAATATTGGTAGAGCTGTCCAGTTCAAACCCACAGCGACGGAAGAATTGATTAGATTATTTAAAGAACAACAAGAATCTGAAAAACTTCAAGAAGAATATGATGAAGCTCAAAAAAATAATGGTTAAATGATAATACTAGTTATTCATGTTTTACTGTGTATAAATGTTGTATAAAAATAAAGTTAAAAAGTGGATATATTGGAAACTTGGACCAATATATCGCAACACGTCAGAAATAATATTCTTATTTTTATTAGATTTTATATAATTTTACAAAAGAATCTAATCGATTTAATTAATATTGAAATGGAGACCCTCGTAATAAATCTAAAATTGCATTATTCTAAAATAAATTTAAATAATTTACAAATTTCGCTATGCCATCTATTGGTGCATTCAAACATTTTATATATACTTATGTAAAATTGGTACGTCCATTTAAAGTATTATATACAAAATATAAATTAGGAAGATTTCACAGCAATTAACTATAATTATCCACTTGTGCTTTATCTTTCTATGATGTAAGTATATCAGTGACTAGCGTTTCATTGTATATACAGTACTTTTAATATCTAATAAAAGCAGAATTACAATTGAGGCATTAGCACATACAATCCCTAATAATATTTAATGCTACTGTCAAACTTATGACAGGTACACAGTATTTTGCTTTTTTTTTTTTCAGTTTTGTTTCTGTATATATTATTCACATATTCATTGCTATAAAAATATATTTTGATGATTTTTTTTTTTTTTATATAAAAAATTGGATAATGACAATGCACATAGCACCATAATTCTTAAATGAACAAATTACTAAAGTATCATAATTATCGAACTAAATAATTCTATTAGTTTAATTAACAATTTCATATTTCAAATAAGTTATTTTAACAATTTCAGCATGTATAATATATTACATATATTTATTATCTACATGCTATTACATATCTCAGTGCAAACGATTAAATTTTTCTTTTGGTGGGTCATAAGAATTTGAATTGTATCAAAGGTAAGAATACCCATTTATGTGCAACTTGACATCCTTCAGTTAAAGAGAAGTAAAAAAAACAAGACATTTTTCATCCACCACTCTCATGACTGAAGGTGAGTGATGGAAGACTTTTTCCCTAAACGAGCTTAGTTTGCATGAAAATATACATACCAGACGGAATGAAACAATAATGTAATTACCTAATTTTTTATTTAATATTCAGGATTTCAATCAAAAGATCCTAACAAGTAGTGCAATTATATTACATATAATATCTAAAATTAATTAGAATTTTTACTTGAAAATTAACAACCTGTTAACAAGATTTCATAAACAATGATGATTCTCCTAATGTTTAGTCAGGGATACAAGTATGTATTTTTTATGCATACGTATGCTTCATATTTTAAATTTTGATATTATTAATTATAAAAATAGAAAACATCTAAAATACATTCTTAATTGGATTGCAATGAATGACACCTAAAATAATCTTCAGTGGCGGATACAATAGCATAATCCTGGCATACTCTAACTTCTTTCATTCAGAAATATGAATAAATAGTTTATTTCTAGACTACAATAAAAACATTACTATGTTGCCTTATCGTATTTTTTACAAAAAGAAAAAATGCAATTTTTCCTACATAATATCAAATGGATATAACTCCACGTATCAAAGTAATGGATTAATGAGGTGAATTAGATATTCGAGTAGAATGACTTTGACACTACACCCATTCATGCACACGAAAGATCACACGCAATGACATATCATTCCATATTAAACAGTTCATTGTGTATAAATAAAAAATTTATAATGCCTCATTGTAGAATAACATTATTAAAAATCACAAATGTGGTACTTGTAGTATTGTTCGATCTTTATTATAATATAAAGACTGTCTTTCTTGTTTTCGGGGAAAAAAAAAAAAAAAAAAAATAAAGAAAAGAAAAGTGAAAATTACGCTGTGATAGAATAAAGATCTAACTTATTTATACATGTATATTAGAAATTCTGTTTCATACCTTGAATTTTCTAAAATATGTAATAATTGATTTAACAAAATACAACGTACCATATTTGTAAAATTAAAGAAACAGAATCATGCGTACTAGCTATCTTTTCCTCTTCGTACAGTCAGATACCCACAAAGAAGACAAAACAGCACATCAGGTAAAATATTTAAGCAAAATATCACACGTTACAGCGATCATAAAAGTGCGACTAGAGATGACTCGATTTATTCGACTTTAAGTCGTTTACTAAATTCCTCTTGCTGTTTTTCCTTCCATTCTTTTTTTGGTTTCATTCTCTTAAGTTGACCATCCCTAACAAATAAGATTATCACATTACTCTTTTATTTTAAAAATATTCGATTGCTTCGATATAATTTTGTCGACATACCATTGTAAGTCAACCAATCCTCCTTGTCTTGCTATCACAGATTTTACCCTATTTGCAAAATCAATAGCACTTTCTCCTTCGTTTCTGTACATTGGCGGAAGATACCAAACATCGCAAACTATTGCCCAACTCGACATAGTCATGTACAAGTATTGTATCATTGAGTAGCGACTACTATTCCAGAACGCATCTCCAAACCTTGGATCATACTATGAAAAAAGAAAAAAAAAAAAAAAAAACGAAATATGTTACTTAAATCGTTAAGCTAATACTGTACTGTACATATAAAAAATTACCTTTATTGCAACAGGATAAATAACGCCTCCCACTTCGAAACTACCCTTTTTAAACTGCATGACTGACGTATTATTTATGCAAGTTCCTTCAGGAAAAATAAGTATTGGTGGATTTGTAGGGTCAGACACATGCTTCTTCAATCTGGTAATACGTAAAAGATTAAGTTTCAATCTGAATTAAAGTGACTGCAATAAAATAAAAATAATATGTAATTAACCTTTTTGCGACTGCTTCCCTGTCTTTAACTTCAGATCGTTCGAACCAAATATGCGGAGAAGCACGCGCTAAAGCTCTTTGCAGAATTCCTAAGAACCCACCGTGTCTTTGTCCTATCTAAAAATAACATCATTATTAAATAGTATAAGTAGCCTTTGTAGTTGTGTAAATAAAAGAAATATAAAAGTACAAAGCATTAATAAACCATCACAAATCGTTAAGTTAACCAGGTAACATTATGTATAACTACTTATCAGACAATACAGAAAACAGAAACGTACCAAGGAGTAGCAATTATCGCACATAAGTACTAAGACATCTATGGGAGAAGTATGGTTGGCCACACAAATGCCCCTAACCGGTCGATTCTCTGGATTATGATAAGTAATTACTGTTGACAAAGCGCTCGATAACACACCAAAGCACATTACGGAAACTTTGTGATTCAGCCATCGTTTGAAACTACCCTCCGGAACGTAGCCCACAAATGCTGTACATACTGTCAGCCACATCACCTGTAAACCATAGTCTTTGTACCCGAGAAACTTTATTTGTCATTGCCGAGTAATTCTATTTGCAAAGCAAGGTCACAGGACCTTGCATTATTACTTGTAACATTTACTAATGTATTTCAACATTATCGTAAATAATATAAATATGTAATATCATTTTGAAGGATTCATGATACAAAAGACCGAAAATTATTTTCCCTTAATAATGTACAACGAGCAAACATTATAACGAACTGTTAGTAGATAAAACATTGTTTGTGTAGATAAAATGTATATATCAATTGTGAAAAGATAATTTCAATTTCTTTTGTTTAATGTTACTAGTTAAAATAACGAATAATATACTTACTCCTATAAAACAAATAAATATCCGTAAAGGAAGAAGAAAACAATATCTTAAACCAAATCCGAACATCCATATCACTGTTAGCTTCCAAGAAATAAATTCATAGTGTCTGTTTGTTCGAGTTAATAGATTCCAATTCTAAAACAAAAGGTATTAATCTATCATACGATAATCTGTTTTCTTTATCTCTACAAACATCGAAAAGTTACCTTCAGTTCTTCCGCTTCAAACCTAGATGTTACTTCATCTTCAATAATAGCTTCTACGCCAGCTTTGATATAGTCCAAACAGATCGCAGGTTCAAATTCTCGTTTGAGTGTCTCAAACGAATTTCTGCGAATAAGGTTCTGAAAGAAGAGCAATCTTATGAAAAAGTTGTTAGCATATTAATGATAATTAATGATATAATATTGAAGAGATCTAGAAATCTACCTCGCTTTTGCCAGGAATCGCTGATGTTAAAGAATTCTCTGCTTTAATTTCCTCAAGATGATTTCTATGATTCTGCATCTCTGGCTCAGGTACCAAAATCAAATCTTTTGACCTGGCTATCACGTTGTTACTCAACACTCCATTTTGCATTTTGTTTTCGGTTTTTAAATTCTGAACATTCTGCTTTTCAACATGGCGCGATTCAAATTCTTCGTCCACCTCATCGTCATCTTGATTCCATGTACCGTTTCTCTTCTTCACATTTTCAATGTTTTGTCTGCCGTACTAAAATTTAAAACAAAAGCAGTCAGAGCAGTTATTCGAATAGGTTGTTCTACCGACTTCAAAATATATATGATATATCTTGCACGAAAAATAGAGTTCATAATTCTTGAACAAAAAACAACGAGACAGCAACAACAGGACTATATAATCTAAATACAGATCATAAGCATTCTGGTAATGGTACGGTGACCATTTTCATCAATTGCCCATTTCTAGCGACTTTGTTTTACATATAAGTCAATTTATGTATGAAATGCGAACAAAAGTATTTAAAACACAAGATCGATAACTACATTGATAATCATTTGAATCTGATAAAAATAATTTCTTTTAATTCAGAGTACAAAAAGAAACGTTTAAATACTGATAATTAAGCACGATAATTAAGAACAATGATGTTTAAGAGCATGTATTAATTACAAAAAAAAAAGAAGTTGAATAAATATGCGCAAAATGAAATAATAAAAACATTTTATCAGCTATTAGTGGGCAATAATTAATAATTTTGTTCGGTAAACTTTCAAATTTTTATGCATCTTCAGAACTTTTGGGTATTTCATCTCCAACTCTTAACGTTTACTTACGCGATATCGCGTGTTCCATCATCGTTTAAATATTTAAATGTTACGGCACACAATGATCGAACCACTTTCATGTCAACATTAAACTTAGAACGACTGAATGATCAGTTAATCACATGTATCGCAAATACCTGTACTCGCATGATAAACGCGTGCAGATACGAACACGCGTACAAAGCAGTCATTTATTAAACAGTGTGAGATTGTGCATACTAACGTTTGTTTCATTATAAGAGAGGCCAGCAGTGAATGACCTCTTCGCTCAGCAGTTGCTACATGCCCAACACGCGCCAATATGGAATTTTACGATTTTATTTCTACGAATTATTGCATGTGTCGTTCATCTTTCATATAAGACGTTTATTAACCTAATAGTGCAATGAGTTTAATTCAGCAGAAAAGAATGCAATAACAAAAAAGATGATATATATGTATATTTTTGTATAGACTTACATTTTCATAAATGTAATCATGTATTTAAACAAATATAAATACAATTTTTTTTTATTTAAATAAAAGTGCATATCTTGTCTATGCAAGAAAATGTATATTAATATTTCATGAGACAGTTGAAATTTTCTTCCATGAAAACTACGGTAAACAATATAAGGTATAGTTTCGCACGTAATCGCTGATCATGTATTAACTGTTCGCTTGATTGTATACGTTTTAAAAAGGGCGCTCCGGAAGTCGAATACTCAATGTTTAATCGCATGTACATATTTAGAAACCGATGGAAAAGACTTTATTATGTAATTCAACAAGGACATTTATAAGCAAATCGAACACGCAAAGTAAATATTACTAAGAAAATTTATTTTGGTTCGTTACCGAAACATTTGTATTCGATTTTAAAATGGAATACATACATTATATTGTAATTCTTTTTCTCTCTTATTTTTTTTTTCCGTTTGAATAACTATACATTTTAAACCGTTAATAGAAATTTATCCAAGGACAACAGATATTTAAAAAAGGACCAACTAGACGGAAGTATATTTGATATAGGAAACATTCCCATAATAGGATGGCCTCTACTTCTGTGCAGCAAAATGTAGAGGAAGCATAAATATTAAATACATTATGATAATATTAATGCGCGTCGTATTCTCAGGTAAAACGTAGACTTTGCTTTCTTTGGATAAAGACCAGACGAAAGCGTAGAATCTCCTATTACTTGGCGTCATTTCTTATGATTTAAATATACAAATTTTAAAATTTCCAAATCCCTAAATATTCGAATTACCTGACGTATATAAAAATTTTCAAATTTCCTATTTTCCAAATCTTTAAATCTCCGATCCCCAAAGTTCCAAAATGCCAAATCTGAAAATTTGTCAAATTCCAAATTCGAAGCAATAAACGACGGTGTTTTTTTCCTTTATATCCTGCGTCGCCATTTCTCTTAGAAACATACTCGCCAATGTACACACATCACTAAGTCACAACTGACGAGACTTCATCATTATGCGATTAGTTTCGATAAGTTTTGATTTCGAAATGAACAAGATTCGATAATGTAGACTCGTTTAACGAATTATTCCACTAATCGTGGCATTACGATACTCGATAACGACGATGAAAGTACAATCGATAAAAGAGCTTAATGAGAAAAGACATGTTTGGACTTTGTCACCTTAGTTGTCCTCGATTTTTATTCGTCTTCGAAGCAGCGTTCGTCTCCTTTTCCCTTCCCCCCCCCGAAACAAATTATTCGATTACGTTGTAACATGTAACGTAAATATCAATCTACGCTATTTTCGTTCGAACACGATGAAAGAGTATGATCAGATGAAATCAAATAGAATCACAATCCCGGATTGAATTTTTTTTAGTCAATACAGCATACAGTTCGTAATTCCGTAACCAATTAAAGCAGTATCTTTCAAGTTTTTTAGGACCGCAATTCACAATTTCATTCCTTTTAATGCATACACAAATTTAAATATCAATCGAGTGATCAATACATATTCATAGCTCTGTTTAAAATGATAATTTAGTAATTCTTGCAAAGTATATTTTAAATACGTATTTGATATCTATTGGTAGATGGAAAATAACAATTAAAATAAATAGGTAAAAAATACGCGAGTAGAATTTTTTCGGAAACAAGAGGAAACCAGTAAACAATCTTCATTGTACGCGTAGAATAGAATTAAAAACGAACCATACAATAACGTATATGACGAAAAGTTGAACGACCGATTACGATTTATCGCATAGAAACGCATCAAGGATCGATGATTTTCGACAGCGATTTGCTCCGCGCGATTAATATTGTCGAATAATTGTAAAATTCTCTTCTAATTATCGAGTTGCACGTTATTTTGCACATACGTTACTCGATCCACTGATTTCAAATCTCCTGAAAGACTTTGCACCTTCGATAATACATCTCTACCTGAAGAAATGCTCTTTTTACTTATCAGACAATGATAACGACAACGAATCAATTAAGTTTATAACAATACTTGCGATGTACAAGATAACGAACAAATAGGTTCGACACAAAGTATAATGAAGTTATTGTTCGCTCGTTTGGCTCCACCATCGTCAGTGACTAAACGAGATCGAGATTAAACCAACGGTAGGTAACTGGTCGTCTCCTTGATCGGTCAAAGTGCTACGAACTTTCAATGAACGCACATAATACATAATGAATTGAAAAAACAAATTTTCATGTTTTGATACCACCGCTAAAAAAATAGCACCATAAACTATAGATCAACAAGATACAGTCATGTTTAATCTTGGATCATACCACAAAAATACCATTAAAATATATTATCTGCATTATCAAGATGCACCGAATTAAAATTCCAGAGGATTAGAGATCGTTTGATTATTTTGAGAATATATCGGAAGCACGCGTTACCCGGAAGGCCACAATTTAATATTTAAAACACGTCGAAGAAATGACGAGAAAGTTGGATCGCTCGCTCGATTTCCCAGCTGTCAAAATGGTTAACACATCACGGACGTGGACAAAATATTGTTTAACGTGAGACAACGCATGACACGCGATCCCAAAATTCAATGTATGTACACCTATATGCACTTGCAACGTACACCTTTTTTTCTGGATAAGGACAAGCGTAAAAGGAAAAGTCATTCGCCGTGTTTGCTTTCGATATTTTGAGAGACCGTGTATTAAATTAGAAAATTAGACGATTTAAAACGTCTTAAAGTTCTAAATTTGAAAATTTACCAAACGAAAAGTAACAAGTGGCGTGTTTTTCATCTATACCGTCGTTTTCTTTAAGAACACTTACCATGCTCATCAATGCACGCACATTGCATGAAATGTCCATGAAAATCTATAGTCAACGATTATCGAATCTCATACTTTGGTCACTATGAATCACCTGTATATATGATTTCACTGTTTAACGACTTTAAATCGATACGAGCACGTTGCGTCTAGTGTAACACTATCGTTGCTGATTCACTAAATCAAGCTTAAATCAATTCTGATTCGATGTTCTACAGTATACGAGTTACACCGGTTACATTCATTGATATCATAATTAACGTGTGCGTTTAACACAGTAAATGCGAGAAACTCTACTGAAAATATATGCACATGAATAAAACATTTTGGATTTCCACTCGTAAATGATTATTCGTCGATGCAATGGATCAATTGTCCGATCAATGAAAATGAATAAAACAAAGCATACGTTTAATCATTTATTTAACGATGAAATCGAACACGTGTTTATGAAGTTCCATTAAATTAAAGAAAAACAAGTGTAAGTAAACAGAATACTCGATACATTTCATTTTACAGTAATTTGTAGATTAAAAAATGAATTTTGGGAAACTGACATTTACGTTAAATGCCACGAATCGTATTTTATACACGTGTCAACAAATCATGAGAATTAAAAACTGCAAGAAAATCAATTAGGAAAACAATTGAAAGCTCTTGACGAGTACGCAAATTGTTTTATTTTATGAACATTTGAAATATCCACTTTAAATTGAATTTCAAATAATTATAGTTCTAATAAAAAATGTGTGTACATGTATATACCAAGTGTTTATACGAATAAGTTTTTTGTAAAATAAGCATTAAAAATTCAATGTAACTTATACAATTGTAGTGAAATACATTTTTTATTGTTTGGAAAGAACACTTTATAACGTATTACTAACCGGATGGACATCGTAGAGTCGGTTCACGACTTTTAAATTACCAGGTATAGTATAATAATTAAAATATTTAAGAACTTATTTGTAATACATGCCTTACCTCGAATAGTGCTAGCAACAATTTTATGTATAACCTTCTAACGCCGAGTGATTTTCCGATAGATGCCAAAAAGATGATAGCAAGCAAAAACATGAGAAAAGGTGTTAAAAATAAAGAAACGGCTAAAGACATCACCATCCACAATGACGCCATTTTGCTTACTGCCGAGCATCATCCGCAAACACTAAACGATTCATTGCTCAAAACCTAAGAACTCGAATATTATAGGAAGGATTCCAATGAATGCCAGCACACCGCCATCTGTAAAATAATAACTGAAACTATATGAAACAATTTGCTGTTTGAAAATTTGAATTGTTTATATAAGTTTCTACATTTACACATTTGAAAATTTCTAAATTTAAAGTTTTTCAATTTCTGAACTGATGCTTGTGCGTATAAAAATAATCACTTTTTTCGTATTAATTTTAAAATTTATAGTACACGATCGAAATTTGAATGTCCACTGTCAGACTGTCTTCTCATGTTGACTTTACTTTCCTCGTTATACGCGAACCAAGGTTACAATCAATCGTTATATTCCTAGGTGCATGTGTTATCCCCACGTAAGTACACTAGCAAAATGTCGTCTGTCGAAGCTGCTAAGCCTCTGAACGTTTCTCCTCTGATTAAAGTGAGTATAGCTTGCAGTGATTTATTAAATATACTATATTTGAACATTCGATTGTCGTCTTCTCGATTAACATATTGTTATGATTTTCTTTTGTTCTTAATATCAATTTTCTTTCCGAACAAGTGTTCACCGCTAATTATATTATATAATTTTTATGAAATTTAGAAAATCAATTCTTTATTAATATTTCTACACATAAATTAAAAAGATTAATATTTATTTATCAGATCATGATATTTAATTGCGTGATATTGTGGAAAATAATTTATTGCTTGTTTAACAGTTTTTTCGACAGTTCATACCAAATAGAATTCATACAAGTAATGTATAATATTTAAGAAAATAGACTGTGAGATTTTACGTATTAATAATATGTGTCAATGTTCATAATTTGTGTAGTTTTCACGATGGAGTCTTTTAGGACTTGGTATTCTTTATGGAGCATTTTACCAAAAACGCTTTAGTAAAAAAGAAGCTGCTCTTCGCGAGGAAGAGCTTAGACAAAAACCTATTAGAGATGCTCAGAAAGCGGAAGAAAGGAAACGTCAGATGGAAGGTAAAAAATATAATAACAGTATTTTGTTTATGTATTGATAAAGAATATCTGCAATATGCAATGCACATGCAATGTTGGGTATTATAAGGCATGAAACATCATTAAAATTATTATAAAATCAGGTATATTAAATTTTGTAATATTAATACATAAATATTTTTGTTTCAGCTGAACGACTAATGATACTGGAATGGGAAGGAAAGAAATAAAAAATAACTTGATCGTTAGTATACACGCGTATTAATAAAAATTTAATATCAAGTTATTTTTTGAACAAAAGATCCATCATTCAAGTTTTTGTTTCAACTCAAGGATAGCTAGTTAAATATCAAATTTTCTTTGTATATATATACATTAAATAAAGTGATTTATGACACATTAAATTGTATGCTTATATATTTGCTGCAGCATTATATTTAAATTCTTTTATAACCTGCTTTATATATATATATTTAAATAAAACCTAATGGCATATAATTCGTATGAAAGGTACTATTTGTCTCTCTTTTTTTAACTTAAGAAAAGAAAAAAAAATTACCGCCCGAACAGGGACTCGAACCCTGGACCCTCAGATTAAAAGTCTGATGCTCTACCGACTGAGCTATCCGGGCGCTTACGGAAATTTGTATCAATCTATGTGGTTACTTTTAATTATGTTTATTAATAAAGTATTCATATATTTATATAATGTAATAAAATGGTTTCGTCGAAAATAGGACCCTTATTTCTTTAATTATAGATAACATTTACTTATTCGTTTATTTCTATATTGATACAAATTTGTATATTTTTACAATTTTTTCTTTAATTTTTTATGAAAATTTAATTGAACAATGTATAATTTTTCAAAGGAAATTACAATAAATAATGTGTTAAGACATTTACTTTATTTCCATTACATCGTTTAATAACATCAACATTGAGAATTAATGTTTGCATTCATAAATATATTTGCTTATAATATAATGTACCTTACAAATTAATTAGATTCCATTTTATAAAAAATCACATCTGTATAAAAATAAATATAAAACAACTCGCATTTTTTTCAACATAATTTTGTCAAATTACATGGTATTATTATTGTACGCTTATTATAATGGAATAGATATAATACTCATATTAATATTTAAAGATATTTGTACATATATACAAATAAGTGTATGTTCAATTCTGTTTTAAATGCATACAATGTAATAAACAAATACTTTAATAACAATATTCAATCAAAGGAATAAAATATATGCAACATTTATAACAGCTATATTGTCATGAAAATATTTAGAAATTCTTGGTTCAAAAAATGAATTCCTTTCTCTTTAAGCTACCATTAATTCCGTTTTATTATTAGTAGTAATCAATTGCAGAAGACTACCATTAGCAGGACGTTCTTGATTTTGTGACCACTTCCAGAAAAGGCTACCAAAAGAGATGTGTATGTTAATAAAAGAATAAGAATAATAACATAAAAGTACCAGAAGTTTTACTTACTCTGCAACAAATTCAAGCGGAGTCCAACTAGATGTATCAGCTTTGGGCATCCATTTTCTGTTCATAGGTGTATCTAAAGTAACAGGTAAAATAGCTGTAACTATAGAATCCTTTGGCAAACCACTTTCTTTACCAGCTAATGATTTTGTCAGCTGGTGAACTGCAGCTTTAGCCATTCCATATCCTATCATTCCTGTTTTAATCAAACAATATAAATAGTTATAAAGCTAAGGGAAATAATTGATTAATATCAGATAAGTCTTGTACCTGGTGTTTCTGCTAATGCTGCTTTAGCGCCTGTCAATGATAAGAATCCTCCTTCCTTTAAATGATGTGCAGCAATATTACTTGCAATAATGGAACTCCATACGCTCTGTTTCCACATAAGATCACTATTTTTAATAAAATCTTTGTGACTTGCATTCCCACCAGCCCATCCACCAGCTACACAAATTATTGCATCTACTTTATTGCCTTTCAAAATATTGGTAACTTCTTGTAAAATATCAACTCCCTGTAAAAAATGAGCAATTATAAAGGAATATATATATTTTTTTATTTTTTTCTAATTATTTATATAATCACCTGCTGTTGCCAATCATTTTCGGGCTTTACAATCACATTTGCATCAGCCTGTTCATTTGCTTTCATGTCGATAGAGCCAACCCACTACGATTAGAAAGTAATATTAATACTTTTTTAATATTTAGATATTTTTTAATCATTAATATAGAATGCATAATTGAACAAAAGTATATTATACGTATAAAGATCAATAAAATAACTGATTTTAATCTTACTCAAAATGTGTAAAGTATAAATGTGAAAGGAGTTAGTTTACTTCTTATGGCCTTGATGTATTTTTCCTATATTTTTTCAGATTACTCTGTAGCAACTGCATGTTGAAATATCTCTGTATTGCAACTACTTTTATGTAACACAAATATTTGTTTAAATGAATAAAGAAATAAAAAATATATAAATATATTTATATATAAAATATTTGTTATTATATCTATAGTATTTATGTTCGGTAAAATAATTAGAATTAAGAGAAAAATACAACAGACTCAAATGGAAGGCAGAGTACCATATGTACACACGTAAATATGTAGATATGAACGCTTTTGTAGTCATATTGTACTTCGTACATTTAAAATTATGCGCGAAAACGTTATAAGTTGCTCGACTGATAAAATCCTATAATCGTTCAAACATTTAAATGCAGTAAAAAAAATTATGTGCGTATATTATTAAATTATATCTTTAATAGAGCTAAAAAATATTTAAAAGACGTATAGTTTATCATAAAGTCGAAAATTGAACATGATCTGAAACCCTATTTAAACGAAATCTTGATTATATGTTTTCATTTAATAGTGGTTTAGAAGGAAAAAGGAAAAAAAAAAAACAAACAAAAAAAAAAAAAGAAAGAAAGAGGGAAGGAAGGAAGGAAGGAAGGAAGGAAGGAAGGAAGAAGAAAAGGAAAGAAGAAAGGGAGAAAGGAACAAAAGAAGAAAAGATGAAAGAAAGGAAGTCAATACCATTGATAATAAAATTATTATTCAAATCCTTATAAACATTATAAATGTATTTTATTTACGCACCCAATTTTTTGATTTAAATTTTGTGACACATGTTGATCCTAAAGCACCTTTGCCACCGTATACAAGAATTCGTCCTACTATTGTCTCCATTGTTCGATAAATGAAACGACTTTGCGAAATACGTTTCGAGAGTCTGCGATTATATACGGAAAAGTACGAAGTCATACGAGAATCTCTCGGAAAGGTTCGTAAAAGTAATGCTAGATTGCCAAATTTCGGCATGAACTATGTTGATAGATTGTCTTCGAGAGATTCATGTTGTATTTATGGTGTATGTTTTACACATTTTGTAATAAAATCCTAAATATATATCGAATACATAATACTAGTAAAATTATAATGTTCCTTAATCTGTAACATTACATACTGTTTTACATATCTTATTACAATGCTACAAATATACAGATACACAATAACGATGATTATTTTGATAATATTGCATATAGTACAATTACTCATCCAATTTGTAAACATTTATTATTGATGCGTGTTCATGACGAGTTTTATTAAAAATATTATTAATTATTACTGATTTGACAAATGTAATATATATATTTAATATAAAAATATATTTACGATATTTGAATCTCCCCCTCATGTTTATTAAAAAACGTGGCAACATCGCAATGACAGAGACCCTGCCCGCAACGTTCTCCGGGAACGTAGGTCTAGTGTGACGTCACGGTAGCCTAGTTGGGTTAGGTTTTACGCTGGAAATTCTAACGAAAAATTTTTTGTTTGACGATTAATGTTTTTCCCATTGTGTCCGCTGCATCGAACGACGTGAAGAGTTAACGCAGTGGCGAGTAATAATCGTATTTCGTAAGCCGTACGATCGCGAGACTTCGCGCTATCGGCGTATATGAGATTTTAAACGGAAAATGAATCGACATGAAGGTACGTACGTGTGCACTGTTCCTGACTAACAAGTCAGCCTCCGCTTCTGTACGCTAAATTTATTTTACGTTGATGGCAAAATTATTCGATCATGGGGCATTTAAGAGGGTGCATGAAAAGTTTTTGCAGATTCATCGTCGAGGTTACGAAATCGACAATGCATGAGATTTTTCATAAGACATTTCTTGTAAGCTCTGTACCAAAGGGTCTAATGTCAGAGGCCAGATGGCAGCACTTATAACAAAATTTATTCTAATTTCTGTGAATTTATAATGTTCTTTAAAGATTTCAGCAAATTTTCTGCAACATCACTGCATAAAGTTGATCGAAAACGTTTATTAACAAACTGTCAAAACGTTTTGCAATCTCACACTTTTTAAAATTAATTTTCTCTTTAGTCCCCTCCTCTTTCTTGTAATGTTAAACTTGTAAAACATATTGAAGCACATTTCTCTTGTTCTTTAATTTGGAATTAGACATTTTATTAAAAGCTGTTTTATCCATGTAATTTGTACCTCACAAAAAATATATTGTTTATCGTAAGAAGATCATACCCAGAATAAACAAGAAAATTAAATTTGTTTTGATAAGTTGAAATATTATTATGAGATTAGTAAATTTAGAAACGCTAATAGTTTAGCATATAAGCGAAATTAATATGTACACATTTGCTTATTTATAATGCATATACATATGTTACATAATTAAAATTAAAAATCTTATATCGAAGTTCAGATATGTTATTGCTGAGTACATTAACACGTGTATATTAATCTTAACGGTATTATTGTACAAAGGTAATATTTTAGTTGATTATAATTTGCATATATGTACACATGTATATTTATTAACTGTTGCTACATATATACATCCATACATATATATATATATATATATATGTAATACATAATGTTTACATTTCAATAAATAGAAGAGAAAGAAGTAGAAAGTAAGGTTACAAGCGAAGCTAAAATACTCAGATTACATATTAAGTACTAAAAAAAATTTACGAGTAACTGTTCTTTATGTAAAGAACAAAGTAGATTGAAGTTGACAGTATTTGTTACTAAGAAGGTCAAGAAATGTATGTTTATTATAATATGTATTGCTTATTTTTTTTTATTATTTATGTTACATTATCCAAACTATTTTTATTATCTAAACAGTATGTACTTGCACAAAGATTTAAAAGTAAATTGAAGTATGTTACTTTTTATAGATTTAGTTCAAGGTTATTGCATGAATCTGTATATATATATATGTGTGTGTGTATATGAAGGTATATAAATATCTTTGGTAGAAGAAGCTATACTTTTCTTTCAAGGAACTGTGTAGATAAACTTATTTATTAATTTATAACTGTATTTATTTCAGGGGTAAGTTGCGATTCCTGCTTAAAGGGGAATTTTCGAGGTCGCAGATACAAGTGCCTAGTGTGCTTTGACTATGATTTGTGTGCAACCTGTTATGAAGGGGGTGCTAGTACTACGCGTCACCTCACCGATCACCCTATGCAGTGTATACTTACTAGATCTGATTTTGGTACGTCAATTATCGAGTTTCTTTTATCAGGATTAATACAAATGTTCTGTATGAGTAAAACTTAATTTTTCAATTTATTATTCGATAGAGTTGTATTATGGTGGAGAGGGAGTAAGTATAGAGCAGCCACAATCCTTAACTTGTCCTTATTGTACAAGAATGGGTTTCACCGAGGCAACATTACAAGAACACGTTGCTGCAGAGCATTCGGATATTACTTTCGATGTTGTACGTACAAGGAAGTATAATATATACATAAATTATACAGGTATTTGTAAGTTTATTAGAGAAGAAAAATTTACGAGTTGAAAATTTTGTTATAGGTTTGTCCAGTATGCGCATCTATCCCAGGAGGAGATCCTAACAATGTGACAGATGATTTTGCGGGTCATTTGAGTTTAGAGCATCGTAGTGGACCAAGAGACCTGATCTCTCTTCTGGACGAGCCACCTCCAAGTAGACTTAACAGTAGTAGGCGAATAACACATCCGTCTAGACCTGTTGGTGGGTCACGACCTCGCAGGTACGTATGTGATTAGTTACGATAGTTACAATAAGCATTATTAATCGTGTAAATGTTTCATAAATATTTGAATTAATAGGTACTTTGGAACATTGCGTTTGTTCGTTTGTTCGATATTACCATTTTGTTTGTATCATAATATTTAATATTATAACTTAATCAGTGATTATTTGTTATTAATGAAAGTATTACTTAGTGCCAAAATACCGTGCCAAAATATTACATAATGTTCTCTAATACGAAAAGTATATTTTATTCTTATAACTTCTAAACAAGAATATCAAGTAAATTTCAGCTTCAGTTCATCATCGTCATCTCACCTTAGATAATGTTCATTGGCATATCATTGGACCTGCAGGTCCAATATGCATTTCAGTTCGTCCGGGGGATTGAGTCCGAGTAGTCGAGAAAGTATAGATCCAATTGCAGAGTTACTCTCTCAATTATCTAATGCTCGTAGAAGTGGTGGAGGAACTGGCCAAGGTTCATCAGCACCCTCACAATTGCAACAATTACAAATGCAGCTACAGTTGGAGCGACAACAAGTTAGAGTATGTATATTTAAAAATTTGCTAATATTATGTGCAAAGTATCGTGAAAGAGAAAAAGGTGTTATAAACATATGTGCAGGCTGCTAGGCAACAATTGGAGCGATTACCGAGGAGACAGCCTCAGGTACTTGGTTCTGCAAGCTGTGGAGGAATTATTAGCGGAAGTGGTCATTCCACTACTATGACCAGTGTCGTAGCGAATAGTACGAGTAGTAACAATAATACAACTAATGTGGCGAACCCGTCCGGCGTATCATCTACTAATTCACAGAACTATATGTTTCTGTTGCCAAAGTACGTCTTATTTATTAATATTAGTTGATCGATATCGTAAGAAATAAGTTGAAATATATTTGTGTATTACCGTATAATGGAACGCGTTGATATTTGCCCGAAATGTGCGAAATTACGTGCGAGGAGCATTATGCGAGTGCCAAGTTATATTTTAGGATGTATCGATAAAAGTATGGAGGAAAATATTTGATATGTAGGATGTTGGTTTTTAACTTTCCACGAGATAATTAATATTTATTTGTAGACTTTGTTGATACATTATCTGATTCTATATAGATACGTTCCTTTTTTACAGATGTATTACCAGTACCCTCTCTGACTCGCAGTTACAAAATATTGAACGTGAAAGTGCAAATAGGAGTCTCTTTACACGCGAACTTATTCTTGGAACACTTTCTCAAACATTGCCCGAGTTATTACAGCAAGAGTCTGTAGCGCAAACACCAGTATCGAGTGCAACTACTGCCACAACCAGTCCTGAAACACCAAATGCTAATATTTCCACAGTTTCTACGAAAAAATTAAGTTTAACTCAAGAAGCGAAAAGGGATCAAACAATGAGTAAAAACGTAACGCAAACGTCTACGCAACAGTCGCATACTGTTCAGTCTACTGCTGGCAGTGGAGGAACCGGTCTCCAAAGTCAAGGATTACCTCCAAATTCTAATAACCTTGCATCGCAAAATACACCTATGGTTCAAACGCTGATGCATAGCGTGTTACCACAACCGTTGGTAAGTTTATTAGAATAAACGAAGTTAGTAATTTTATACAGTTGAAAAATATAGGAAAGGAGACAGAAACATGATAAATATAATGTAGTATTTGTAACGCTGTTACACACAGGTACTGCAGCAATCACTGCCGCCACCAATTAGCAGAACTATCAGAGAACCGATAGTAACCCCAGCGTCAGCGTACCTTAGAGGTGGGGTCGGTCCAGTTGGCGTGACAGGTCCGCGTAGGAAGCCGGTTAGGGCTGTAGATGGGAGAAACCAATCTACGGAACCACCGCCTCCACACTAACCCCTCCTTAGCCCGTACCCACCCACCCTGATTCCTCACAGGACCCTCTAGCACTAGTCCTAGCACTGTTTAGAACACCTCATCATTATTGTTATTATTATAATATTATATATTAATAATTATTCAAATGCCCTCCTCCTCACCCTCCCTATCTTATCATTTTCCGAAACTCTAATCTCGCCATCTTTCGTCTTAACGTGACATGGAACAAGGGCAAGGGCTGATTCGCCGATACATGCAAATAATGTAAATAACTCACTTCTTGCAGTCATACACGCTCCTCAGTGAGTCTTGCCACGTTCTATATCGATTTATCATAACCGTTTACGATAAGTTGATCAAGGATAGGGACTGGCAGGTGAAAAAAAAACAAAAAAAAAAAAAAAAAAAAAAAAAAAAAAAAAAAAAAAAAAAAAAAAAAAAAAAAAAAAAAAAAAAAAAAAAAAAAAAAAAAAAAAAAAAAAAAAAAAAAAAAAAAAAAAAAAAAAAAAAAAAAAAAAAAAAAAAAAAAAAAAAAAAAAAAAAAAAAAAAAAAAAAAAAAAAAAAAAAAAAAAAAAAAAAAAAAAAAAAAAAAAAAAAAAAAAAAAAAAAAAAAAAAAAAAAAAAAAAAAAAAAAAAAAAAAAAAAAAAAAAAAAAAAAAAAAAAAAAAAAAAAAAAAAAAAAAAAAAAAAAAAAAAAAAAAAAAAAAAAAAAAAAAAAAAAAAAAAAAAAAAAAAAAAAAAAAAAAAAAAAAAAAAAAAAAAAAAAAAAAAAAAAAAAAAAAAAAAAAAAAAAAAAAAAAAAAAAAAAAAAAAAAAAAAAAAAAAAAAAAAAAAAAAAAAAAAAAAAAAAAAAAAAAAAAAAAAAAAAAAAAAAAAAAAAAAAAAAAAAAAAAAAAAAAAAAAAAAAAAAAAAAAAAAAAAAAAAAAAAAAAAAAAAAAAAAAAAAAAAAAAAAAAAAAAAAAAAAAAAAAAAAAAAAAAAAAAAAAAAAAAAAAAAAAAAAAAAAAAAAAAAAAAAAAAAAAAAAAAAAAAAAAAAAAAAAAAAAAAAAAAAAAAAAAAAAAAAAAAAAAAAAAAAAAAAAAAAAAAAAAAAAAAAAAAAAAAAAAAAAAAAAAAAAAAAAAAAAAAAAAAAAAAAAAAAAAAAAAAAAAAAAAAAAAAAAAAAAAAAAAAAAAAAAAAAAAAAAAAAAAAAAAAAAAAAAAAAAAAAAAAAAAAAAAAAAAAAAAAAAAAAAAAAAAAAAAAAAAAAAAAAAAAAAAAAAAAAAAAAAAAAAAAAAAAAAAAAAAAAAAAAAAAAAAAAAAAAAAAAAAAAAAAAAAAAAAAAAAAAAAAAAAAAAAAAAAAAAAAAAAAAAAAAAAAAAAAAAAAAAAAAAAAAAAAAAAAAAAAAAAAAAAAAAAAAAAAAAAAAAAAAAAAAAAAAAAAAAAAAAAAAAAAAAAAAAAAAAAAAAAAAAAAAAAAAAAAAAAAAAAAAAAAAAAAAAAAAAAAAAAAAAAAAAAAAAAAAAAAAAAAAAAAAAAAAAAAAAAAAAAAAAAAAAAAAAAAAACAAAAAAAAACAAAACAGGAAACGATACAACAAAAATAATAATAATAATAATAATAAAAATAAAATAATAATAATTAAATAATAATTAAATAATAATAATAATAATAATATTAGTGTTTCGTATTCGATGGCTGTATAGGCTAGTTATCATATCTGATCGATATAATACTCAGAAACGTTTCGTTCGAGTGTTGGGAACATGGAAACTATGAATGATTCAACGGACGCACTGTGCTCGTCATACGCACCAATTTTATTCTGTCCAATTTCAATCAGTTAAAATCGTATCGATGTATCGTGTAATATACCAGTATGTTTTACGCGCGAAGATAAGCCGCTGCTTGGGTTGGTCCGTTTCCATGTGAGGAGTCTTAATTGTCGGACAAGTATTTTAAAACAGCGGTTGACAAAACGCTTTTTAACTCGCATATTTTGTAGAAATATGAAATCACGAGCGTATCGATGCTTCGTCGTAGAAAAAGACTAAGGAAGCTAGTCTACCCATAAAAGCTTAATCCTAACTAATGGAATCAATTCGGAAACATGTTTGGAAGTCGATAGAAGTAAATTTGGCGGACCATCCCTTGGCAGTTTCTTAGAAATCGAAGTTTGAAAATGGAGAGATTAGACGAAAATCTTGAATAATTACGCGAACGAATAATATCTAAATCGTTTTCTCTATGAAAATGTAAAACCTCTTTCTGGTTTTGCCTTCGTCGGTATTTCGAATGTACACGCGCGCGAGTCTCTTGTGCTTTCGTGTTTTCGAACTACCCGGTGCAACTTCTCTTTTCAGTTTCTCTGTTCCTTTCTTTCTTTCCTTTGAATTATCGTTAATCTAATCGCTCCATTTAACGATGCGAAACGAAACAATTATTTTGTATGCGTGTTTTGTTTCTCGAGAATCATGTGTCATGTGCCGAGGGAAAGAAGAAACCATAGACACAGAGGGAAAGACCGAGCGCAGTGTTACGGGCCGGGACGCGTCGCTATCGAAGGATAGGAAATCGCGTGACAGGTATTCTTTCTTTCTTGTACAGCTACTAATTAGAAAGAGAGAGAGGAAGACTGCCTTGCTTTCTTTTTTTAATATTACTGCGCGTACTGGCCATTGCATGCGCAATCTGTCTCTGTATGTCTATAAAAGATACGAGAACGCGTGTCAGCTGCTTTCTTTTTCTCTTCGAATCGATCAAATTGAAAATTACAATATGGAAATGTTCATGTATTTCTTTTATTCCACAAATATAAAAATCGGCCGTGCAATGCATCAATCGTGTGCGTATGACGCACGCAAATGCATTAGAAATTTGTCCATTGATTCTACTAAAAGTAGAAGTATAATTTCGAAAGTGCTCGTAAGAACGAGCCACTCGATTATTTTTCGATTCCTTTCAGTCTCGTTTTTCTTGTTTCTTTAATTTTGTCTTAATCATTTGTGTACATTTCGTATTGTAATTAATTACTCTTTGTATTATCTTCTCGCCTTACGTTATTTGATTTTAGTGGGTGTATCTGCAAGTTGTGGATGAAAACCAGGCAAAATAATCATATACATATATGCATATATAAACTTGTAAAAAGTTATACAAAATATGTAGCGTGTGATTTTTCGATTTCATATCTTTTTTTTTGTTTTCGTTTCTTTTCTATCCACTATGTCTCAATAACCCTAACCCGTTCTGACGTCCAAGAGGAATATAGAAATTCGATTAATTACACCGTTATCGGTAGCTAAAAATTTTAGACGGATACGAGACATTTTCCGTTATCTTTTTTCTTTTCATCGTACCTTTCGATCTTTCGTTGAAGTTCTCGGCTAAATGTACCAATTGTTGCTCGCACCTTTTTCCGAATAGTTTCACCAACTATTTTCTGATGCGTGAATCAGACACGATACATAAAATAGGAGAGAAACAACGCGAAGAATAGAAAAAAGAACACAGAATCGAAGTATACCGATTGCCTTAACGCGAAGTTGCCTGATAAGCGGAAAGGATTAAAGGTTCATCCTTTTCTCGGAATGCGCGTTTAAGCCGAAGAAATCTTTTGCACTAGGTACCATCGATTAAGAATAAAACAAACGATACTGTATACTTTGTCTAAATTGAATAAATTTATTGCTATCAACGCGCATGTCTCGATGAAATGTGCTAGTTATTTTTTCAAATTTTTACACGAATTCGTGAGCGTACAACCTTAGAACGAAGCAAGACTCCACGCACGTTTAACAGATTGTGTGTAAAAAAAAGAAGGGGGAAAAAAAACACAAAAAACGGGAAATATTGATTTTTCTCGATATAAAGTTCAAAGGTAACCGCAGGCTTTTTCCTTTTTAATTCCGTTTCTGTACTCGACACTGCAAGCTTACATCTCCCTTGTTTCCACGTCACTTCGGAAGCTGTAAGATCATGGATTTTGTACATGCTCTGCGATTAACGTTATTTTTATCATTTTAGTCGTTATTACGTACTACGGGACAGGGACGGCGCGAGGCAGGTTCAAAGCGTTGCTACGTTCCCTGGAATTCGGCCTCGCGATCCTCCTGAAAATTTCATCGTTCATTTTGCGGGCCTCGATACGTACTATCATGCGCGTATGGGTACTTATAAAATTGACTAACTGTTCGAATTTCAATAATTTCCAGTGTGAAACTCGAGTACAAAATTTGCAGCGTTTCGAGATCGAATCGATCCCTTCGAACCCGAAACAATTTTCGAAACAGGCTCCGCAAATAATCGCGCCGACCCCGCCATACGATGTAACAATAATAAATTTGCGAAAGGTATCGAGGGACAATGTACACGCCTGTTCGAATAGTCGAATGTTATACTTTCATTTTAATTGTTTATCTGGTTTTCGTCATTTTCATTCTAAAATTTCAGCGTAATCTTTAACAAAGGCTTTTTACATTATATATAATATATAACATGTATTACGATATATTTATTGATAAGAACGAAAGGGTGCCTCGGAGTATCGTCGTAAGTTTCTCCTATTCTTTCTTCGTTTTCTATTTTGTAAATTGCCTATCGGTGTGTAATCGAATTAAACCGGTCTCTTCGAAATAATATAAATGTAGAGATAGAATGAGAGAGAGAGAGAGAGAGAGAGAGAGAGCGAAAGTTCGACTAATCTTTTGGGAATCTGAATTGTACTAGAGAATTAAAAAGGGTCGATAAAGTGAGCTTTGTACGCTTTCTACAAAAATATCGACGATCCTCCTGGATATCCTTTTTTTGCAGGAAGGAAATCAAATAGATCGAACGAAACAAAAAAAAAAAAAAAAAAAAGGAGAGAACATAAACGCGAGGAAGGTTGTTCTCGTGAACGAGGTAACCGGCGAAAAGAAACTATTCTGGGATGTCTCGAACGGTTGTTTTTATCGCGTTGTTTGACCGGATTTAGACACGGATCAGAAACAAGAATTTTCGTGGATTCGTCGATAGAAAGTTTTACGCCCGACGAATGAACAGAAAAAAAGAGAAGAAATCGAGAAAAAAGTAAGTTTCGCAACGAATTAGGAATTTTTTTCGAGCGATGAAAGGGAAAGAAGTTACTCTGTAAAGACAAATAAGAAGACGGAGACAAAACGTGAAACGCGTACGACATTTTCCCTTTTTGCTATTCGACGAAAAAGTTTTCCTTCTATTTAACTGTATGTATATTTTACGTACAATTGCCTATCGTATAAGTACGACTAAGTTATGCGTATGTACGAATACGCTCGATCAAACGTATATACATATAATTGCAAACAGGGACTCGCTGAAAAGCGAATATACAAAAATCGAATAAAAATATTATTAATCGTTTATCGTGTTGCACGCTTATCACGAGGGTATCGTTTCTTACCATTATACTCTGTAACGACTACTAATAAAATAGGATTTACGTATGTAGAGAATGGCTCGATCACGCAGGAAAAGAGTATGTATATGATCATTTGAACGAAGGGGATGTGTCGTTGCCATTAATTAATTAAATTAATTAAATTAATTGAATTAATTAAATTAATTAAATTAATTGAATTAATTAAATTAATTAAATTAATTAAATGACGCGAGAATAAATTCAAGTCATCATATCTGGTGTAGAGGAGAGAAGGAAAAGAGAAAATAAGAGAAGAAACTAGAAGAAAAGGAAAAGTACAAGCGCGAGAAGGGAGACTTTCTTTTCTATTAACAATATTTATCGCGTTACATATATTTTTCACGGTATTTTTGTACCGTGATATTACTACGAGAGTTTCGCGATCATCGTTCACGAATACGACGAATAATCTGGCGTAGAAACGAATCGATATAATTACTCCGTAAACATGTTATTGGCGTAACAAAGTGGGTCTACCCTGTCCCACGGTATACTCGACTCGATTCAAATAAAGTCCAGCTGTATAAATTGGAACGTGAAACGGAAAATGTTACCTCGACATAAATAGATGTTTGGGTCAAGTTTGAAAATTCCACAGTTCCTACAATTGTTCATTCGAACGGTCTAAAATTGTGAAATTCCGATCAAAGTCCCAAAGCGAAACGGTCGAAAAATTCGAAAATCCCCCAAAGTTCGAAGAATACGAAGGAATCTCTAATTTCGGAATGACGAGCATCGGGCGCTCGTAGCGAAGCTTGCGTAGCTGGTCTAGCCCGGACAAAGTAACGTCGTCCCATGAAATCAACACGCAAAGTCTCGTGTCGATTCCGGCTATAATTAAGTAATCGGGTTACTTTCTCTCGATACTCCGAAGAACAATTGGTACTTTTCACGAGACTCTGACAGAGACTCTAACTCGTAATCCTAACCGATGGAGGAAACGGGTGTATGGAGGAGAGTGCACGATAGAGAAATTTTTAGGAGCTAGCAAAGCGCATTTACGTGTATCTATCGACGCTAGAAAGAGGAAGAGAAAGAGAAAATTGTAGCGGTTTCTGTGATCCCTTGCGAATGTTTTTTCTTTTTTTCTCCTTTTTTCACAAAATTAAAGGTGGATTAAAGGTGGTGTGTACGGGATAGGCGTAAGGGTCGAATCAAAAGAGAAAAGAAAGTTCGGGAGACGAAACCTCCCTACAAAGTCCTTCGTATACAGAAGTTCGTCGGGCAAGCAAACAGAGGGAGAGAATTTTACGTATGCGAATGTACGCTTGTACGTGTATGCTTATACGAGAAGTAAACGATAAAACGAAGAGGAAGACGTTTTCCTTTCTCCGTTAAATAACGATTCGCTTTGAGAAGTTTACGGATAGAGACACTGTAGGTATCGACGAACGTTCACTTACGTTCATTGCAATCGATTACGTTGTTGCAAACTCGCTCTGAAAATTACAAAGTTATTCGTTAGCATGGCTGCATTGAAGACGATCCGTTTCCTCGACCGAAAAACATACCAGGAAAAAGAAAAAAGGAAAAAGAAGTTGTTATTCGGAATAAGTTCGATGTATACGGTACAGTATAAAGAAACGTTGTTCCACGCGTGAACTTTCAAAGAAGGCTGATCTGTACTTCGATTATCGTCTACTAATCGGATCGCTTTAATTCGGCCTTGCACGGATCGATAAACGCAGCGGAATTCTTCGTTTTATCGGAGAAAGTTTCTCTGCTGCCCTGTGACCTTTTTCCTAGGCTGCTCGAATACATTACGTGCATCGCGCGAAAGATTGTCCGCGAGTTTTTACTTGATTTTTAAGAAAAGAAAAAATCCACGATACAAAATAGTACGAACGTGATGAACGAAAGAGAATAAAGAAAGAGAGAGAGGGAGAGGGAGAGAGAGAGAGAGAGAGAGAGAGAGAGAGAGAGAGAGAGAGAGAGAGAGAGAGAGAGAGAGAGAGAGAGAGAGAGAGAGAGAGAGAGAGAGAGAGAGAGAGAGAGAGAGAGAGAGAGAGAGAGAGAGAGAGAGAGAGAGAGAGAGAGAGAGAGAGAGAGAGAGAGAGAGAGAGAGAGAGAGAGAGAGAGAGAGAGAGAGAGAGAGAGAGAGAGAGAGAGAGAGAGAGAGAGAGAGAGAGAGAGAGAGAGAGAGAGAGAGAGAGAGAGAGAGAGAGAGAGAGAGAGAGAGAGAGAGAGAGAGAGAGAGAGAGAGAGAGAGAGAGAGAGAGAGAGAGAGAGAGAGAGAGAGAGAGAGAGAGAGAGAGAGAGAGAGAGAGAGAGAGAGAGAGAGAGAGAGAGAGAGAGAGAGAGAGAGAGAGAGAGAGAGAGAGAGAGAGAGAGAGAGAGAGAGAGAGAGAGAGAGAGAGAGAGAGAGAGAGAGAGAGAGAGAGAGAGAGAGAGAGAGAGAGAGAGAGAGAGAGAGAGAGAGAGAGAGAGAGAGAGAGAGAGAGAGAGAGAGAGAGAGAGAGAGAGAGAGAGAGAGAGAGAGAGAGAGAGAGAGAGAGAGAGAGAGAGAGAGAGAGAGAGAGAGAGAGAGAGAGAGAGAGAGAGAGAGAGAGAGAGAGAGAGAGAGAGAGAGAGAGAGAGAGAGAGAGAGAGAGAGAGAGAGAGAGAGAGAGAGAGAGAGAGAGAGAGAGAGAGAGAGAGAGAGAGAGAGAGAGAGAGAGAGAGAGAGAGAGAGAGAGAGAGAGAGAGAGAGAGAGAGAGAGAAATTACGACGAAGAAACAGAAATATTCTGTGCGACACGTTGATCTGAAAAGTGTTGACGAATATTACTATTTAAGTAATAATAGCGAATTCAAGTGAAATCTTATACATAATACGTATTGAAATGTAAATTGTGTTTGGTTGTATTTTGTGTTATTCGCCTCTGATGCTAAATATAATGGAAATTCGATTAAAACGAATCGATTATTATACATTTATTTCGGAACAATACCTCCCAAACTAATTTCTCGTCTCGACAAAATCTCGAAATTTCGATACCGACGCGTTTCCACGCTCGTATCGCGAGATTTAAACTTTTCAACTTTCGAACTGTCGACAAATTTTCAAGTTCCAAATTAAATTTCATCAAACTCCTATCCCGCGAATCTTGTATTCGTATTATTCGAATTTAAATATTGCCGCCAGACACGCGTACGAATACCGATTGGCTATTGGTGCGCTGTTGATACTGTACGTGACGTAACCGAAGAATGATTTTGAAAATACTAGCATAACTTGATGATGTAGTATGTACACATGATACACGGTGGTTTATATTTACAATTTTTCACGTTGACGAAAAGTTTCGGTGCTGTTCCGAAAAAATTGTTTAAAATGGGACCTCTCGAATGTGCTAAAAAGATCGCGGCTTACAGAGCGGTCGATGAATATGTCAAGGTACTTTTTAAGCAAACTCGGAAATATACTTGCAGGTTATATAAACGTACCGGTTTTCGTTTAAATTTATGCGCCTGGTTGTTTTACAGAATAATAGCGTTATCGGGATTGGTAGTGGATCCACTATAATATACGCTGTCGATAGATTAGGTAACAATATTTAATTTTACATTTACATTTAATTATTTGCACTTTTTTTTTCTACGTTATATTAAATACTCTCGTTAATTTTACACGAAAGAGTATCGCAAACGTGAAGTATGATCTTTGACCTCGTCAGGAGATACGATTGTAATTCTCCTAAGCATAATTGCGACGATTTTATTTTAATATACAAGTAATATGTTTTAATACGTCTAATTAAATCATTTAAAGTACATGCTCCCTGTGCAACGGCACGATTACAAAAGACAATTATGTTTTTCAGTGGAGCGTGTAAAAGAAGAAAGACTTAATATTGTTTGTATTCCGACCTCCTTCCAAGCTCGTCAGCTGATTTTAAATAATCACCTTACGTTGGGTGATTTAGAAACTTATCCCAAAGTAATGAACAATTATTGGCTCGTAGCGTTTACCAAAAGAATCTCTATATTGTTATTTATACGTTAACAGTTGGATTGCGCGATCGATGGAGCGGACGAAGTCGATTCTGAGATGAATCTTATTAAAGGCGGAGGAGGATGTTTACTTCAAGAGAAAATTGTCGCGTCGTGTGCTGATCAATTTGTTGTAATAGCTGATTATACGTAAGTATTATATTCGTAACATTTGTATTTTCTATACTCACCGATTATTAATCGGTTTTAGGAAAAATTCTGGAAAACTTGGAGAGCAGTATAAAAAGGGTATTCCTATCGAGGTAGTTCCTATGGCGTATGTAGCCATCCAAAGAAAAATCGAAGATAATTATGGAGGAGACGTGAAAGTTCGGATGGCTTTAGCCAAAGCTGTAAATATTTTACGTTTGCAAACATTGCTCCATATTATAGTAAATATACGACGTGTTTTTTTTACAGGGTCCAGTTGTGACGGATAATGGTAATTTTATTCTTGACTGGCATTTTCCACAAGACCTGAGTAATTGGAATAGAATCAATACAGAAATTTCAATGATGCCTGGAGTCGTTGAAACTGGACTTTTTATTAAGATGGCAAACAAAGCATTTTTCGGTATGCCTGATGGCAGTGTGAAAGAACAGTCTTAGCGTTCCGTTAACACTCGTACGAGTGTTACGAATTAGGAATATAATTTACGACGCGAACGTTATCGACTCGAATCTAGTTCAACTAAACATGACCAGAGGATCGAAATAATCCCGAGTTACTTATTCTACGATATTGAAAGTGATAAATATGCATTTTCCGGTTCATTTTTTACTCGTCATTAATTGCTCATGTTATATATATATTTTACTTATACAAGTGGATTTTAAAGGAGACCATGTTCTATAGTTTTAAATATTTTCTATAATTGTTTTTAGGTATTTATTTACATCGTAATTTGCGGAAGAAAAAAATACTTAACACAATCGCTGTATACATTTTATTGTTAGTATCAAGTACTTTATTCGTGCTAAAAGATCTATTATAGTTTTAAGTGTTCGATGGAAAGTGTTCAAGTGATTGTATACATTATTTGTATAAGAATATACGAGGTTAAAAATGAAAAAATAATGTTTATTCAAACATTTAAAAATGTCTTTACTACATTACTTATTGCAAGTATCTGTTATTATTTCGTTTCGTTATTGTTAATGTATTTGACATTTCTTTTAACAATTTTTTACGATGTAAATGTTCAATTGCGATATTAATTCTTATTGACGTGTAAAAAAATAATGTACGCCCGAACAGGGACTCGAACCCTGGACCCTCAGATTAAAAGTCTGATGCTCTACCGACTGAGCTATCCGGGCGCTTGAAAAGTTCACTCTCTTAATTTTATGGTATTATTGAGTGGATTTAAGAAATTATTTTTACTGCAAATTCGTTGAATATGATCATTTATTCTTGAAAACTTTAAATATAAAAATTGTTGTTTCATATTTTGTTACGATCTAATCAAGTACGTTACTTGATTCGCTTCTTTACAGGTAAACTGTATGGTTTATCCGTGTTAAACTTTCATTGTAGATATGAACATTTTGACAGATATTTTGATCGTAAGAAAAAAAAACGGTACTCGCTAAAACGATGTTCATTCGTTTTATGTATGAAGGGAACCGTATATCAGTATTAATATCGTTCTCGACGCATGTCTTATTCATAAGATAGGAATGTGTTATGTTATGATTTACAATATTAAGTCGATAAATTTCAAACGAACCATTCCGTGTTTTAATTTTGCATTATAAATGCAATTGCGTAATTTTGAATTATAAATTTTTTATTCGTAAATGATAAAGACCGTATCGAAATAATTTATAATTTACAACATAATTTAGCAATTTTAATCGACACGATTTCGAAGCGATCGAAGAACATTTAAAGAAACGAAATAACGAAAAGAAAGTTGGAAAATTTAAATAAAAGAGAATAAACGGAGAGTGTTTGCCAAGGGTTGAACGACCTTATAGTAACTCAGCGGGTTCTGATGTGCGAACGTTGTAAGTACTTAGCCCCTTTTGCTTTCGTTTGATTTACACAGGGTTTGTTATCGGTTAGCCTTTCGTAAGCTATTTCTTGACAACGATTTGAACGTTGCTCGATGCTTGAACCTTCTGTTTTCGGTATTTGCATATTTACCGAATCTCACTGATGGTCATTCGATACGCGTATCACGAGGGGGAAGATGGGGAAATCCATTAAAATCTTTTATAGCCGTTTTCGAGAAATTGTTGATTCCGTTGCGGGCCTCGCGGAATTCTATGCTATAATATTATAACAATATGAAAAGTTCACTCTCTTAATTTTATGGTATTATTGAGTGGATTTAAGAAATTATTTTTACTGCAAATTCGTTGAATATGATCATTTATTCTTGAAAACTTTAAATATAAAAATTGTTGTTTCATATTTTGTTACGATCTAATCAAGTACGTTACTTGATTCGCTTCTTTACAGGTAAACTGTATGGTTTATCCGTGTTAAACTTTCATTGTAGATATGAACATTTTGACAGATATTTTGATCGTAAGAAAAAAAAACGGTACTCGCTAAAACGATGTTCATTCGTTTTATGTATGAAGGGAACCGTATATCAGTATTAATATCGTTCTCGACGCATGTCTTATTCATAAGATAGGAATGTGTTATGTTATGATTTACAATATTAAGTCGATAAATTTCAAACGAACCATTCCGTGTTTTAATTTTGCATTATAAATGCAATTGCGTAATTTTGAATTATAAATTTTTTATTCGTAAATGATAAAGACCGTATCGAAATAATTTATAATTTACAACATAATTTAGCAATTTTAATCGACACGATTTCGAAGCGATCGAAGAACATTTAAAGAAACGAAATAACGAAAAGAAAGTTGGAAAATTTAAATAAAAGAGAATAAACGGAGAGTGTTTGCCAAGGGTTGAACGACCTTATAGTAACTCAGCGGGTTCTGATGTGCGAACGTTGTAAGTACTTAGCCCCTTTTGCTTTCGTTTGATTTACACAGGGTTTGTTATCGGTTAGCCTTTCGTAAGCTATTTCTTGACAACGATTTGAACGTTGCTCGATGCTTGAACCTTCTGTTTTCGGTATTTGCATATTTACCGAATCTCACTGATGGTCATTCGATACGCGTATCACGAGGGGGAAGATGGGGAAATCCATTAAAATCTTTTATAGCCGTTTTCGAGAAATTGTTGATTCCGTTGCGGGCCTCGCGGAATTCTATGCTATAATATTATAACAATATTATTTATTATATTTAGCGATTGCTTGTTTTCTACATACATGTATGTATATATGATAAAATGTGGTTGCATCGAAGCGGTAAAAGATAAACGGTTCCTAAGATCCTTCGAAGTTGGACGGACGCGTGACCTATCGTTACAGCTGCCAAATGAAGGCGAAGAAGACGGAACAACGGTAGATGCATAATTTCTGCATAACGAATAACAGAATGTACGCGAGACTAACCGTGATTCCTTACAAAGAGCATTAAACACATCGTTTCGAGGACCATTACGAACGGTCATGCGTTCTTTGGGGCGCATGCATTTACGCCCTCGAACGGTCACGAAGAGAGGGGGTGGTATTTGAAGAGCTGACGCGCGATTTCATCCCTCACACGCCAAACTTGATTCCTCACGCGAGTTACAAACCTTTTTAGGAAGATTCAGCGAAAATAGGGAAAGTTTAGTAATCGAGAATAGTGGTTCTGTAAACTCCGTATCAAGGGATTCTTCCTCTCGACTCGCGAAAGTTAATCGTAAACCTGAAGATTCGGCATGAAGGTAATTTTTTTCATGCATTTATCGTATTTTATGAACGTTCGTTAAATATCGAGGTACTCGTTGCATTTTCTTATGCCTTTTTGTCCTTTTGTTGCGTTAATAATTGTTTGCTCGTTAACGCATCGATAATCTCGTTGATTGTCTTGGAGCGTATATTTCGTGAAATGATTAATTTTTGAAATTACAATTTGCTCGGTGGCGGTAGTAGATAAAAATAAAAAAGAGATTATAAATAATTGCAACGATCGCGGTTCGTCAAAGTGTTAAACGAATCAATGTAACGATTTACAAACTTCTTTGTCGTTATTTCTACGTAGTTTTGAGAAAGCCCCTCCATCTAATGGAAACTGTTATGGATTTCCTGGATATCAATTTCCTGCCGTGTGACGTGACTAGTTGGTGGTTGACAGTTTCTTAAAAGAGCCGCGTCGTTTTTCAATTCATATTCTCTTTCAGCGATATAATTGTACCGATGATTACCTGCCACGCCGTTAAAAAGAGTAATCTCTGACAGAATATTATTAATAAGAAAGAAAACTATTCTTTCGTTCATTTTTTAATGGAGAGTGTTACGGTACTTAACAATTTTTGCTCTTCATCTTGAACGTATAAATCGCTCGAAGGTACGTTCGACCGATAGTATCGTTGGACATTTAATTAACCACGGTAGAAACCTGATTAAAGTCATAAGCAGATTACAACAGTTAACATGTTTGAAAGGTTCACGTGCGACGCTTATATAATCATCGTTGTGCCTATTAGAAATTACGTATGGACCCGTAATGATCTCGTTTTAAATAACGTATTCGTTAATGATATCAGCCTTCTGATAATTTCCGTTCCTTTTGGACAATGCTCGTTACGGTTAACGCTCTTTCGAACAGCGTATTTCTAACAGCGATTTTCGATCAAGATTTTCTTCAATATTTTTCTAACGCCATTAATTTTATCTTATTTCCGATATGGCAAAAACAATAGGTATTGTTCTTTTCTTAACAGGCAATCAAATACGTCTGCTGCGTTTTGGTGCTTGTATGTTTCGTGAACGCTGTGCAGACCGAGAATTCTCGAAGTAAGGTAAATTATCGTTTCAATCGATTAATGTCGTACAAATTAGTATATTCAACAAGTTGAAGAAATCGGAAAAGAAAAAAAAGATATAAAATCGTCGGTCTCGAATGAACTAACGCTTCGCGAGGATCAGTGAATCGCGTAGTCGAGGGTTGCGTTGTCACCAGTTAACTTATTAATAAATACCATCTAGAAACGTGAAAAAATCGTTGATAAATCGTTTTCAGATCGATCGACAATTGTTCGACGCGTTCGCAACTGACGAATCTTCGAAATCGAAGAGACCTTTTTGCAATGCTTTCACCGGTAAGAGAAAAGTAATTTGATAGTAGAAAAATAGTTAGATGTTTCGTTGAGTGTTTGCTTGGTTGCAGGGTGCGGAAAGAAGAGGAATTTCCAGGAAAATCCGATAAATTTTCAGGGAAACATGGAAGGGGATGTTAATATTCGACTTCCACTGTCCGTTTACAAAGTATTGTTGAGAGCAGCTTCGCAAAATATTCGGAACACGATTAATCGTGAATCGAACGAATACGAATTTTCAGGAATTCCACGTGTTTATCTTTCTGGTAAAATGCCTCTTCGCAAGAGATTCGATGACCCATCGACTTCTTTCGAATGATTTGCTCTTTTCAGTTGGAAATGCACCAACCGTGCGTGATGAACGTGTCGTTACTTCGCGTTATAATTGGACTGCGAATATTTATCGAAATCAGATTTTCACGATATATTTTTCTTGTTGAAATGTCGCTAGAGAAAGTAGCATTTTATTCTTTTTCGTTGTAACAGGTATCGGAGACATATTTTCTCGAATTTCGTTCTATAAAGTTATAAATATACACATAAAAATCCGCAGTCCAGTTCTAACAATAGGTATTTTAATGTTTATTTTTCTTCCCTCTTCTTTCTTCGTTTAAAATTTAAACAACTTATAAACACGCGCAAACACACACACACACACACACACACACACACAAAACAGAAGTAGTTGAATAGATATAATTTATTTGACAATGTTTCTTGTACATTTACCAGAACCGAAATAAAATTGATAATAGAAGTAACGATAATCGTTTGTTCTTAACCTTAAATAAAAATGATCGAAAGTGGGTGCGCTTAGCGTACATGTACACGTGGCAGGTACATATGAGCGAATTTGTTGGATAAATCAAGCGATCGTTCGAAGATAAACCGTCAGCTTGATCGTGATACTACCGTTCCAAAGATATCTAGTATTTCTCGAAGACCGATCTTTCATGAGAGGTAGTTTGGAGAAAAGAAGCTGTCGGGGGACGCTCGATCCGACGCATTCTGGATTATCCGATTCTCCGGTTAATTTTGGACGACCCCAAAAATATTCCGTGCAAAGCATGGACGGGTCCCAAATTCGAGAGCGTCGATCTTGTCGTAGCTGTTCGGGCGAATTATCTAAAACCTGTTTCTTATTCCTTTATCGGTACAACTACGAGCGCCACGTGCTACTCACCTCGAGACGAATCTTATGGGGGAATGGCCATTTGAGAACGGAATCGTGACGGCCTCGAGTCAGTCCGACACCTATGAAAACTGTACCGTCCGGAAAATATCGCGGTGTCACTTTCATGTACATGGCGTATCCATTTTGGCCCGCGTAAAATGTACAACTACGCTCGGAACGAGCGGTTTTCCAGCCTGCAAGCTTTTCGTCGAAACTTTTTATTTGCCAGTAATAAAAGAAGAATCTCGTGGATCCTGAAACACATCGACATCGTGAAAATCCCTGTTTTCTTCTTGCTTTCCTGCCAGTCGTATTTTTATACGATACGCGTTTTCGTTGCGTAACTAGCGCCGGAAGTGATGTCCAAATACCTATTTACTTTCCAACGATTCATCTTTGTCGGCGTTACGATTCGATCCTACTGAAATATACGTGTTTCGATATAAATTAAATATAAACGAACCGTTTGTCGATGAAACTTCCTGAATGGTATTATTGAAACGATCGATTTCTAATTGCCTCGGAGAACGCGTATCGTCCTCGTCTTCCTGATAATTATTCGGCGCGTTCGTTGATCTAGAAAAGTTCTTCTTCTCCTCTAAGACAGTGTACAACAACTCCTTGATCCCATCCAGCTCTCTCGTCAAACTTTTCTCTAGAGCTTGCAACTTTTCGTCGATTGTTTCTGAAAGTTATTAGTCGATAGATAGATAGATAGGTCGGATGATAGAAATAGTTGCATAAAGTGTCGGATTAAACGCTTACTCGCGTTGCAGGCTCCGGTAAGTACTCTCGTGACTGTGGCACGTGCAGTCGCGACCAATTCGTCCGTGGCGACTTTGCAAATCGCCTGTTGCGTTTCCGTAACATCCTCTTCGTTCCTCGAAGAGGAATCGCTATCTGCGCCGATATTCAAATTTTTCAATTACGCGTCCAATTGCAAATTAAACCTAATACGATTATCCTAACGGATAAATTAATACGATTTTACTGGCAAACGGGAGATATTTGGAAAATTTCTATTATTCGATAATTAAAATACTAATCATTTTATTTTCGTACATAAATACTTACATAGTTTCGAGACACCATCGTCGCTTGCATCGCAGTAAGTTAAATAGAGCGTATTGAGGTGCAACAATAATAAAACGATCGATGACATCTCGAAGAACGATTACGTTTTTTCCTTATTTCGAATCGCACCCACTTTAATGGAAAACGATAAATTCCTGATCGCTGTTAATGCTTTTAGCCAGGATTTTTAAATAATTCTATCTAATGTACAGTGTTCGTGCCGAAAATAATTTCAGATCGAAGAAAGCGAATCTATACACCCACTTCGCTACTTGATTGCTACGCAACTGTTCTCTGTGTCTTCTATGAATTAGAAAATCTACTGTATATGTATAGGTGAACCCCTACCTTCTTGCGTTCAACTTCCACGGGGTAAAAATTCTCCGTGTGTTTCTCCAACTATTCCGTAATTCGACATTTTCGGTTTTCCAAATTTCGGTTTCACACTTTTACGATCTTTTAGCTTTCGAACTTTCAAACTTTCAAACTTCGATATTTTGACACTTTAGAGTTTTTGAATTTTCACATTTTTTCATTCAGTCATTTTTGAAAATAAACCGCTGAAATTAATAATAAAACTAACAATAACGAAATAACGAAATTTTTCGTTCGTAAAATCACCATTTTTCAAAGTAACTCTCGATTCATAAATATCGAAAATATCGCGGGTATCGTTCGACGTTTGGCGGTCTTTTTGATAATCGCGAAGAAACTCGCGTGCACTCTCGTCTCGATAAATGCCGATGCTGGTTGTTGTCACTTTTACTCAAAATTAACAAGTGATCTATGTTACAATGAGCGAAAATGTACAAGGAACGTTCGTGTCGGAGAAAATTTCCAAAATCAGATGGAAACACGAAGATTTTGAGGAAGCTAGCAATTTTTTGACCGGTAGTTGGGATGACCCGGTGAGGTTATTTGTTATTGGCTTAACCTGTATTTCTCTCGTCTACGTAACAAACGTTTCGATAGCGTACAATATTAAAATTATCATATATATTTTAGGTAAATAAGTTAACTCATTGGACATTTCAAATGAATGATGATGGTGAATCGTATCCAGCAGTAGTTTCTTCGTATGCGATCCTTGGAGACGTGACCGAGATAAAGGTTCTTAATTTCTTCCGTAAAAATAAAATCGTTCATTCTCTTTAATAATTGTTTCTACTGATTTTACAGTTCGTATCGAAAGATTTCTTTGTGGTGTCTACGTCCATAGGCACAGTTAGACTATTACAAATTCATGAAAATCCGTATTCTCAATTCAAAGAACACGTTTCTTGGGAATTTATACACAAATTTCAGTGAGTTTCATTGATTAATTAATTATTTCGCTCTAGTTTTTACATTTTATACGATTGTCTTATTTAATATGTTGATCGTGTACACGTATCGTATTGTATAATACAGAAACTGGAACAAAGTAAATGATTACTCGCCCTCCTCTAAAATTTCGCTATTTCCACACGTACGGTATTAGAGTGAAAGTATCGATATGTTATGTTAACTTCCCTTTGTAGAAAAACTAATGATTACGCGTCGTGCACTGCTCTTTCCACCTTCGAACAAGACATAGTTTCGGTAGGAGAGGATGGGAGGATTAATCTCTTAACGGCTGGGCAGGAAACGCCGGTTAGAATTATCGGTATGATGGAATTATGATTAACGTTTATTAATGGAAAGATAATTTTTTTTATATTTTTCTATACTTTTTAGATGAAGCCGATAGTTGCTCCATATATTGCGTTGATTTTTTAAGGCACAACGAGATACTTACTGGAAATTTAAGAGGACATATGAAGGTTTGGGACTTAAGAAATGATCAAGATCTTCCTGCCACCACGTTCATGCTTTCTGATCAAACGAAAGTATGATATGTTTAATTATATGCGATATAAATTGGTTACCCTTTGCTAAAGAAATTCAAACTTTTCTAGACAGAAGCCACGAGCATTGTTCATCACCCCACTCAAAGGCATATCGTTGTTGCTGGTGGTGGTGATGGCAGTTTAACGGTCTGGGATTTGAGACATAACACGTATCCGATGTCCCAACTCAATGCTCATTCTAAAGCTGTTAGCGAAATACTTTTTCATCCTGATAGACCAGAAAATTTATTCACTTGTTCTGCTGGCGGTGAAATATGGCACTGGAACAATTCTCAACATTCGAAACTGAGCTTAAGTGGGTTTTGCGTGTAAAAGAAGATCGATTACGTTATGATCGTAATACATGTTGACGTATTATTATTATTTCAGATCCTACAAACACGCATTGGTTAAATACAATTGGTACAAACGGTAAAGTGAATGTAACGTCTCTTTATAGCACTATGCATAAACCAATAAACAGTATTGACATTGATAGATCGATATTACTCTTTGGATGTGATAATGAAGCAATGTATATTGTCAGAAATGTAACTATTTAGTATCTGGTATATTTCAATGATAGTTTTTATATAATGCATATTGAAAAAAATAGATATCTTTTTTATCTTAAACTTGGTTGTTTGTTCTTTCTATTAAAGATTTACAAACTTTCGTAAAACTAAATCAATCATAAGAAACTTATATATTTTTGCTTGCAATGCATTATTTTTCAAAGTCTCTATGAAAGTTGCAAAGTCCTGAAATTCCGACGTTGTAAAAATTCCAATATCCCAAAGTTTCGAAATACCAATTTTTCAATATTCTAACACTTCAGTGTTTCAAATTTTTTATAATTCCAAACAAATGGAGAGCCACACTTTGACAGTCTTTAGTTTTTGTCATTCTTCAATTTTACTTACGTTTCTTTAAATTTAAAATTACCCGGGCAAAAAATGCATTTCTTATGCATCTGTAGCTCCATCTCTCGTTGATTTTCACGAACACGATTACAGGAAGCTTTAGACTGTTAGTTTGCCATTTTGTGACGCCTTGTGTGGAAGTTCGTAAACAGATTTTGCTTTGCTTGCCTGCGGAGGGACAAGAATTATGTCAAAACGGAGAATCGAAGTTGTGGATCCGTATGTTAAACGGAAAGCGTGAGTGTTACTACAGATTTTCAATTGCAAAACTTGTAAAGTTCGATGAATTATTTTGCCATGTGCATTGTTACAAGTTTTTTCAATCCAATCGCGCATCTCATTAAACAAATCTTGCGCTCCAAGAATGATCTCTGTAAAAGCATTAAATTTCTTGAATAATAACGTTACGAATAAGTTTGATCAAAATAACATTGCAATTTTGTAAAATTAAACTTTTTTTTTTTTACCCCGTTCACTCGTTTGGTCAACTCATCTATAACGGTTCTCAACTAAATTTACTTCATACACGAACGTATTATGCATCGGTATTTTTGAAAGATCGTTCACAGTTAAAAAGGAATAATCAAAATACGAGTACTGCATTTATTTATGTTTGTTTGCTAAAAGAAAATATAATTAAATACGTTTTAATGTCAATTGTACATTTTATTTAGGTTCATAACCAATCAAATGCTCTCGACTCTTCTTATTGCATGACATACTTTTGTAATTATTACTAAAGTCATTTTTAAATTACATAAATATTCTGTTTTACTTAATGGTACGTCGGATGTTTAGCAGGGATGGATCAACAACATCTAATAATATAAGCGTACCTACAACAGCGCCAAAAAGTCAGGTTCAGGTGAATCCTTATAATGGATTACCGTATACACCACGATATCATGAGTTTTATCAAAAGAGAATTACCTTACCTGTATTTGAATATCGTGCCGATTTTATGAGGTTATTGGCACAACACCAATGTATTGTGCTTGTCGGAGAAACAGGATCGGGTAAAACTACGCAGATACCGCAATGGTGCGTAGAATATTCAAGCTGCATCGGTACTAAAGGTGTTGCTTGTACTCAACCGAGGAGAGTGGCAGCTATGTCTGTTGCGCAAAGGGTTTCAGAAGAAATGGATGTTGCATTAGGTAATATTTATTTTTTAGTTTCAAAAAGGTTGTTATCCAACTTGAACAGAAATTATAGTCCCATCATTTTTTGCAACAGGACAAGAAGTAGGATATAGCATACGTTTTGAGGATTGCAGTTCTCCAAAAACTGTATTGAAGTATATGACCGATGGTATGCTCCTTCGTGAAGGCATGTCTGATCCCATGCTTGATGCGTATCAAGTGATATTGTTAGACGAGGCTCATGAAAGAACTTTAGCCACGGATTTACTTATGGGTGTGTTAAAAGAAGTGATTAAACAGAGACCAGATTTGAAACTTGTGATTATGAGTGCAACTTTAGATGCTGGGAAATTTCAACAGTATTTTGACAATGCACCTCTAATGAATGTACCTGGCAGAACGCATCCTGTTGAAATCTTTTATACGCCTGAACCTGAAAGAGATTATTTAGAGGCTGCTATCAGGACTGTTATTCAAATACACATGTGCGAAGAAGTGGCAGGAGATTTGCTTTTGTTCTTAACTGGTCAGGAAGAAATTGAAGAAGCTTGTAAAAGAATCAAAAGAGAAATGGACAATTTAGGCCCAGAAGTAGGTGAACTTAAGTGTATACCACTTTATTCTACGCTGCCACCGAATCTTCAGCAAAGAATTTTTGAGCCTGCACCACCGACGAAACAAAATGGTGCTATCGGCAGAAAAGTAGTAGTTTCGACTAACATCGCTGAGACATCGTTAACCATCGATGGTGTCGTGTTTGTAATTGATCCAGGATTTGCGAAACAAAAGGTTAGAATATATATTCATGTTTATTGTTGTGTTTTCGATAATGTTCTTTTTAGTTATTTTTTATTATATTTTTTCAACAGGTATATAATCCCAGAATTCGCGTAGAATCTCTTCTTGTATCACCCATTAGTAAAGCTTCTGCTCAGCAAAGGGCGGGTAGAGCTGGACGTACTAGACCTGGAAAATGTTTCAGATTGTATACTGAGAAAGCGTATAAAAATGAAATGCAGGACAATACTTATCCTGAAATTTTAAGGTCCAATCTTGGAAGTGTTGTATTACAGTTGAAGAAACTTGGTATCGATGACTTGGTAGGTTGCATACTTCGATCGCATACTTGAATCGAAACGTTTCGTCTTCTAAGACTATAATGATAAATATTCGACTGAATATTATTTTCATATCGTATTTTTATTATAGGTTCATTTTGACTTTATGGATCCTCCTGCACCAGAAACTCTTATGAGAGCTTTGGAACTTCTTAATTATTTGGCTGCCTTAGACGATGATGGAAATTTAACAGATTTGGGGGCTGTGATGGCAGAATTTCCATTAGATCCTCAGTTGGCGAAAATGCTTATTGCATCGTGCAATCATAACTGTAGCAACGAGATCCTTAGCATTACCGCTATGCTGTCAGGTAAAGTATTAATCAAGACATTGTAGTTGTAAAAACGGGGGAAAAAAAAAACACACATAATTAGGTCGAAATTTTATATGTTTTTTACGTGTAACATAATGTTAATACAATGAAAGTTAAAGTCAGGATCATGGTAAGGTAACGTGGTTTTTATATTGATGATTGATATTGTATTAGTCCCGCAGTGTTTTGTGAGGCCAAATGAATCAAAGAAAGCCGCGGATGATGCTAAAATGCGATTTGCACATATCGATGGAGATCACTTGACGTTATTAAACGTATATCATGCCTTTAAACAAAGTGAGTACTTATTAATCGTTTTGATTAATCTTTTATTGCAACTTTAATGTACCATTTATCTTTTCTTTCTTCTTTCCATGCCTCTCTCCCTGCCACCCTCCGCTCGTTTCTCTTCTTTTCCACAGATTTTGAAGACCCACAGTGGTGTTACGATAATTTCGTCAATTACCGATCTCTGAAAAGTGGCGATAACGTCAGGGAACAACTGAGCAGAATAATGGACAGATTTCATTTGAAACGTACCTCAACAGATTTTACATCAAAGGATTATTATATTAATATTAGAAAAGCGCTTGTGAATGGATTCTTCATGCAGGTACTGTTTCTAATTACATTTAACAAGAACCACTTTGAACGTATACTATTAATTATTTCTACGCGAACAGGTCGCTCATTTAGAAAGAACTGGTCATTATTTGACCATCAAAGATAATCAAATTGTGCAGCTTCATCCAAGCAGTTGTTTGGACCACAAGCCAGAATGGGTAATTTATAACGAGTTCGTGCTCACAACCAAAAATTATATCAGAACAGTTACTGATATTAAACGTAAGTTGCTTTAATAAAATAATATATTATTACTTTATAGTTAATTATTGAACAGTACAAGCTGTATGTTTAAATTGTACTGGATAATTTTCTGTTTTTGTTTACAGCTGATTGGTTGCTAAAAATAGCACCGCAATATTATGACTTACAAAACTTCCCGCAATGTGAAGCAAAGAGACAATTGGAAGTTATTCAAGCGAGGCTAGATTCGAAACAATACCAAGAAGGATTCTAACCGCAACATCTTTTAGATATCTTTAAAAGTGGCGTCAAACGATCCGTAATACGTATGTGGTCGAACGATTTTCGACATTATGTCAAACGCGGTTTTTTCAACACATAAAACTGAGAACATGCTAAATGTTGTGAGATATAACCGAAAGAGTAGTTTGTCTACTCTGTATTTTCACGTAACATGTGTAAAGAAAAAGACAAATTTTACTGAACATTTCTAATTTTGTACAAGCTTTAAAAACTTGTACATTTTTTTAGGCTCGTGTGCCGAGAAATTTGAATGTTCGTAGACCTCATCTTCTATCCTAACACGAAACAAATGAAAATTGAAATTTATTCTGCTAGAAGGGCACGCAGAAGTCATAGTTGATTGATAAATGATTTATTTATGTACATTAAAGAAAAATTTAGTGACTAAGTGATTTTACCGGTCGAATTTGTTGATTGACGTTTGCACACTTGAAATGTAGTTCTAAAGATAAATACAAATAGACTAATTTTTGTATTAAATGTTGAATAAGTATGCCAGACAAAACCGTATACAATGCTTAGATAACTGAAAAGAAATAATTCTATAGAGATAACCTTTTGAAACAAATAATATCTGTTTGATGTTTTTCCCTTCAGATTAATTAGTTCCATTCAACGAGTTACGCGTTTCACTTTTTTCCAAGTACACGCAAACTAAAAGGATTCTGATTCTAATTACAACAATGCGCAGATAACTTGCCATCTTATGCAATATTTTCCTTCTCGCTCACAATCTGTATAGTTGTGCTGCTTTGACGACTTTACAAGAAGAAAATTTATTGCTAATCGAAAGATGCTTCCAGATAATGAAAGAAGCAATTATGAAGAATTAAAGATAGTCATAACTTGTAATATGAAGGATATTTTAAAAGAACTATGTGATAGGTTTGAAGAAAATCAAATTATTCTTATTTATGAATGCTAGCATAATAGAAATTTCAACCTACTGTCACTGTAAAGAATTACGGCGTTTCAAGTCATATTTACAACAGTATAAACGGATTAAGCTTAGTTATCATACAATTTGAACACTTGTCGATAACGATGTCCTGTTTCGAACACCGTGTGCGCTAAAAATTTAATAACAATGTTAAATTGTTTAACTTATATTTTTAGAACCGGAAACATTTAAGTAGCTGGAAATGCTAATACGCTATTGAAATTAATTTTCTCGATGAAGATGTAATCTCGCTGTTTACACTCTTTTGCTTGTTTTATCGTATTAAATGATAGTTTGTTTTTGTAAATAAAATATGCAGATATAAAAAAAAAGGACATACATATAAAGATCACAAGATTTCTGATCGCGAACAGTTTTCATTGTATTGTATCACTTCATTCCAATAAATTAATGAAAATATAATACGATTGTGATAATTGTTAATGTGTATATGAATATAATTTTCAACCGTAAATTTTATGAATATAAATAAACATTATGCCTGTAATTTAAAATTTAGAACATTGCATCATATGTTTTACGTAACACAACGATAAATGTTTACCGTGTTTTTCAAGACGCAGATGATGTTTGAGAACCCCTGATAAAGCACGAGGATCGTCGTGTTTCATCATTTGCTGATTTTTATGAAATTAAAAAAGCCATGGCATCGTTTGTGGTACCGGTTGCAGTAAGATTCACTCGTGTCACGATTGATAGTTTACACAATATAAATAAAAATATATTATTTAGGTAAGATTCCATGTTACACGGTTTGTTGTAAAATTAAAATAGTGTGTATATGCTGTACACGTTTTGTAACTTACAGATATAGGTTAAACCGTTTAATAACGATTAACGAATAATAATTTTATTAAACTTTCGTGTTACTTTCCTTTGCTGTATGACCACATATTTATTAGAATTATGTGTGTTGCTTTTAACATGTTATAGAAATCAAATAAAGTGTGATAGTTATTTGGTTATGTTACATTCTGTTATTTTAAATAGTGTATTTTAAAAATAAGAAACAATGAGACAACAGACAAATTGTAATATTAGTAGACAATGTACTTTATAAGATTCCTCTTAAAAGGGTAAAGATGATTAAATAAATATGTTTTTTAACAATTTAAAGGTTAGCTCAGCCAATGTACATCTCTTGGCAGAAACAAGAATATAGTACAATTACAGAACAGAAGAAACCGGAGAGTGGGGAGTCACAAACATCAGTATCTGAAAGTATGGAAAACGAAAAGAAATTAAAAGTAGATTTAGAACTTCTCAATAAAGAATTAGCAGAACTTAGAACTTCTAAAAACGAGTTAGAAGATAAATATAAAAGGGCGCTCGCGGATGGAGAAAACCTACGAATGAGATTAACGAAACAAATTGAAGATGCAAAATTGTTCGGTATTCAAGGATTTTGTAAAGATCTTTTAGAAGTAGCTGATATTTTAGGCAAAGCTACAGAAAGCGTACCAAAGGATGAACTCACGGAAAAGAATCCACATTTAAAAACTTTATACGAAGGTTTAAGAATGACAGAAGCACAATTACACAAAGTAAATAAGAAATTGTTGTGCATTGAATTATATTTACGTGAAATGTATGTATAAAATCATTGTTTTTGCTATTTTGTAGGTGTTCAAGAAACACGGTTTAATTTCGTTAAATCCTTTGAATGAAAAGTTTGATCCTAATCAACACGAAGCATTGTTTCAACAGGTACGATAAATATATTATAGACTTAAATTGCGATATATAACTAAAATAGCCAGTAATATGTATTATATTTTTGTGTAGGAAGTAGAAGGTAAAGATCCTGGAACAATTGTAGTTGTATCAAAATTAGGATACAAACTACACGAAAGAGTAGTAAGACCGGCATTAGTTGGTGTTGCTAAGGGATAAATTGTGATTTTATGTGAATTAATTCAAACTAGATTGGTTGTATATCCTTGAAAGAATGTCGGTGATTTCGATACTGGAACATAAATACTGTAATACAAATTGAAATGTAAGACTCTTACCGAGTACATGGACGTTAAAAGATTGATATTGAAACTAAACGAAGTATACAAATTTTATTAGAAGTAAACTTGTTTTCATCAATGACCGTTTATGTTTTCCATTAAAAGAGAAAAGAAATGTAATATATATTTAAATTGTTCTTTTTATTAATTCATATATATATATATATATATATGCTAGTTAAACAAATCATTCCTTTTATCGTACCGTATTTTGTATTTATTATGCTTCTATATAAAAATATAAAAAGTAATGTTTAATCTTAATAGAATATCTACACTATATTAATGAACTAAATAAATATAGTATTACGTGGTCAATATAATTAATATTTTACAATTCCGTTACAGCGCATTACGTACTTTGTGCAAAGTTAAATTTATCTTGATCAATGTCCAATTGTTAAGTATATTTAACACCTTTCAAAAATTTTGTACAAATCAGGTAGATTAGCTATTTGCAGTATTGTTGAGTCATGTGCAAAATATTTAGGAGGAAGCAAACTCTCTTTAATTGCAGAATATAAAACATGTTCTGTAATATACTTCCAATCGTGAGTATCGTGTATAGGATTCATTTGACTGTAATATCTTGCCGTTTCTCTGCAGACAGTTCGGAAACATGGTTGTTCTGTCGACCATTCTACTTCAGTAGCTAAACGCAATATATAGAGTGGAAGACCAGCTTCGTATGGAAAATATTTTTCTAAATAGAAGGAAATAGATAATGACATTTACGGAGCAATGTAAACCATTGGCGTCGTTAGAATTTTTATCTAGAGTGATTCATGTTCCTTAGCTTCATTAATAGCATCAACATCCCGCATCGAGTATACTCAAAGAGACTTTTAAATGTAATTTGGCTTTTAGATATTTAAAAGTTTAGCAAGTTAAAGATTTCGAAACTTAGGAACTTGATCCACCCTGATCCTTACCTATGTACTTAATCATGTAAACGTTCTAAATTCAGATTGTTAGACATTAGAAAATATATTTACCTAGTAATACTGGTAAAGATCTCAAGTTCCCTTTTTTGTCTATAACAATAGAAAAATATTCTTTTAACATATCTGTCTTTTCCAGTAATAATTCTTTAACATTTTTAGCTAATTCTTCTTTTGTCCCATCTTCTTCTGTCCATCCAGCTTCTTCTGTATCTAATCCTAACATTGCTAATTCATACAAAGGAATTGCATCCTAAAAAAAAATAAATATAATTTTGCATATAAAAATAGCATCTTTGTTTACTGTTTTTGCATACCGTATTTTGTATTTATTATGCTTCTATATAAAAATATAAAAAGTAATGTTTAATCTTAATAGAATATCTACACTATATTAATGAACTAAATAAATATAGTATTACGTGGTCAATATAATTAATATTTTACAATTCCGTTACAGCGCATTACGTACTTTGTGCAAAGTTAAATTTATCTTGATCAATGTCCAATTGTTAAGTATATTTAACACCTTTCAAAAATTTTGTACAAATCAGGTAGATTAGCTATTTGCAGTATTGTTGAGTCATGTGCAAAATATTTAGGAGGAAGCAAACTCTCTTTAATTGCAGAATATAAAACATGTTCTGTAATATACTTCCAATCGTGAGTATCGTGTATAGGATTCATTTGACTGTAATATCTTGCCGTTTCTCTGCAGACAGTTCGGAAACATGGTTGTTCTGTCGACCATTCTACTTCAGTAGCTAAACGCAATATATAGAGTGGAAGACCAGCTTCGTATGGAAAATATTTTTCTAAATAGAAGGAAATAGATAATGACATTTACGGAGCAATGTAAACCATTGGCGTCGTTAGAATTTTTATCTAGAGTGATTCATGTTCCTTAGCTTCATTAATAGCATCAACATCCCGCATCGAGTATACTCAAAGAGACTTTTAAATGTAATTTGGCTTTTAGATATTTAAAAGTTTAGCAAGTTAAAGATTTCGAAACTTAGGAACTTGATCCACCCTGATCCTTACCTATGTACTTAATCATGTAAACGTTCTAAATTCAGATTGTTAGACATTAGAAAATATATTTACCTAGTAATACTGGTAAAGATCTCAAGTTCCCTTTTTTGTCTATAACAATAGAAAAATATTCTTTTAACATATCTGTCTTTTCCAGTAATAATTCTTTAACATTTTTAGCTAATTCTTCTTTTGTCCCATCTTCTTCTGTCCATCCAGCTTCTTCTGTATCTAATCCTAACATTGCTAATTCATACAAAGGAATTGCATCCTAAAAAAAAATAAATATAATTTTGCATATAAAAATAGCATCTTTGTTTACTGTTTTTGCACTTACTGAGAATTTTATAACTCCATGATTCGCAAAGTCATAAAGCATAATTTCGTAAAAAAGCTCCTCCCTAAATAAGAGAAACGTACAGTTTCTTGTAGTTGTTACTAACGTTTAGCAAATAATAGATCATACTCACGCTAATTTTTTTGTGTTGCAAAGATATAAACTAACTCCACTTTGAATAAGTGCAGCAGATTCGTCTATGCAACCAACAAAAGTTAGATCAGATAAAATTTCTCTCAATCCTTCGTGACACTCATTCTCTACTTCTTTGCGTAATTTTAAAACACTCGTTAACTTTACTTCCCTCCTGAAATTATTTATCGAATAGGATTTGAACTCGTGCGTACTTGCAGTATCATCTTTCTCGGTATTATCAGTAGTTTTGAAAGATTGTGCATCTGTCCGTTTTATTTCACCAGATACATTGTTTTTCTCAGTTTTGTCAATTTGTGTTTCTTTTTCGCCTTTAATAGTTTCTTCCTTCTCTGATACATCACTTTTATTTCCAAAGCATTTATACACCTGTTTACGCGCTTTGTCTGCAATCACGTCAATGCATTTTCCTTTGACAGACTCATCTATTTCTTCTATACAATTATTTAGTATACTTTCATCAAAATTATCATCGGTAATTTTTAAGATGTCGTTCGTGTTATTTAACTTGTTCTCATTTTGAGTTGATGTAACTAAAGTAGAAATACCAGATAATATTAATTCTGACGATGCAGACGGACTTGTATCATTTATTATATCACTCCATGGAGTAGATTCTTCCGTTTCTACTACTTCTGTTGGCGCTGATGTATTTTTCTGGTTTGTAACATCTAGATTTGATGTTAAGCATTGTACAGTATCTGGTTTTTCAGTAATATCAACATAATCTTCTTTATTATTATCCGTTTCTTTTGAGATCGATTTATTCTGTACTACATTATTTGCACAATTGTCAGACAGAATATTATCTACATTTTTATCACGTTTCATTGCCGTGTGAATAGTAAAATTAAATTTGTCCAATTTTTGATTAGACGAATCAGTCCTAATCATTTCTTGAGGGCGAATCTTTTTCATTTTATCATTACTTTCTTGTTCGTATTCTGGTAAAACTTCTTTCAAAACTTCTTTAGTAATATCTGCTTTTGGTAATCGGGCTTGTACATAGAACGTTCTGGAGGCACTGTTTCCAGAAAGTCTGTCGTCCAAACTTAATCTTATTTTTTCAATAATGGCATCTTCGTGAAGAAATTTCACTTCGTGTTTTGTTGGATGAACATTGACATCAACATTTTGCGGTTCAATTTTTAAAGATACATAACACCATGGATGAGTCTTTTTGGGAAGATAAAATGTATAAACTTCTTCCAACATTTTACGAATTGCTGGAATAAAGTACTTATAAAATTAACTTTATTATACATGAAAATAATCTGTCTTGATATAACGAAACTTACAAGAAGATTCAACTAATCTATCATTGATAAAGAGAAGAAACACCATCTTTTTATTAGTATAATTTGGATTTGTTATTAAAGCATGCATTTTGAACTTATAATCTTTATCTTCAAGTTCCACCTCTAATAATTCTCGGGATACAGGATTACCATAAAGTATTCTTACGTTATTCATTTTAGTCGAATTATGCAAAGTCCGTATCTATACGATAAATGATGTTTACAAGTATTAGGTGAACAAGCTTAAAATTATATATACGTTAATGTACCTGAGGCGTTATTTCACCGTGTTTTTTTAACAGAAATCCCACATTAGGATTATGTATAGCATATTTTGTAACAACATCAATAATTTTATTGAATTCATCTGTTGGATTCGATAAAGCCTTTCTTCGTGTCGCAACATTATAAAATAAGTTTTCAATCATTATTGTAGTGCCTTGATTTCCAGCGCACGGCTTAGGTTGTCCTTTAAGTTTACTGTCGATATACGATGCCCTGATGTAAAAACAAGCCAGCAGATAAATTGTAATATTTCACTACTTAAAAATTGTTGAAAATATCCAGTATACATACTTATAAGCACATTTCTCGTCCGCAGTTTTTGTCGTGATGGTTAAAAGAGATATATGACTAATGCTCGCTAAAGCTTCACCTCGAAATCCAAAAGTCGATATCGATCGAAGATCCTCGAACGTTTGTAATTTACTTGTTGTGAATCGTTCGCAAACAATATCCATATCCTCTCTTCTGATACCTGTGCCATTATCTTGAATCTGAGAACAAAAATCTAACGCTCAGTTACGATAATTACATTTTCACTTTAATCTATATATACATATATAAAATACCTGTAATAATTTTAATCCACCTTCTTTGACAATAATCTGAATATTAGTAGCTTTCGCATCAAGACTGCAATATTTATAGAAATTATAACGCATATACAGAGATGCATGTATGACTACTCTGTTCTGTTTACATTTGCAACTAACCTGTTTTCAATTAATTCTTTTAATGCATTTGCTGGCCTTTGTATCACTTCACCGGCTGCAATTCTGTTTACTACAACTTCGTTTAATTTCTTAATTTTTCCTGGTGCAGTCATATTTGACGAAACTACGTCCACAGTTTGGAGGAATTCCCGAGAAATGAGAACCGAATATTATTAAATATAATATTTGTGACATGTATGATGCTGGATAATTTGATGTAAGAAAAAAAAAAAAAATAAAAAATAAGAATGTTTGTTTAAACTAATATTTATATTGTGTTTATAATGCAAACATGTTGCATTGCACAAGCCGTTTAAATACCGTAGACGCGCCAAGTTTTTGAGTGTTAAATCCAAGTATGTCAATTAAACGACGACTGCCAATTTAAATAACATAGAACTCCTCTAATTACATTGTTATTTGTTGTTGCATTATTTTTTAGATAATACCATAAAAATATTCTGGAAATTTACGAACAGAGCATAAATTCGAGAAAGTTCCGACGTTAAATATTCTTTTTTCAACGATAACGAACGTTTTCATTCGTCAGTATCTTCAAATATTCGGTTGAAATTATATATTTACATCAAACATACTTTTTGGATATAATAAAATTAAATGTAAATGTATTTCGATGTAATAAATTTTACGCGACGTTGAAATATTTGATTTTAAAATAGGTTATATCTACTCTTCGATATAAATTGTTACTCTTAATTTAGGATATATATATTTACATTTAAAATAAAGTGTATTATAAAGAAGTAAATAAAACATAACATGTAAATATAAATTATTTATGAAGTTATTTTTGGAGCAATCATCGAATTGTCTCGAATTTTTAACTGCGCGTAAATACATTACGTTGAAAAAGATCCAGAATCATCTGTACTAAAATAATCATCATAACGAATAATAAATAAATATAAATGCATAAAGCGAACGTACATTTGTACTAAAGTATTTTTCAAAAGTTTCACCGTTTTCATATCTGAACGTAACATTCGGTTTATGCGTTATTTTTGTAATATGAAATTTGCACGCTTTGATATTTTCAATACTGTCGGACAACGTAAGTAAATTTGGCCAAATGATTGTGGGAATAAATACATAAGGGAACTTGAATGTGCTAATTATAACCGAGATCTTGAATGCAATGCGTATGTTCCAGTATCTTTCTGTATTTCTCGAACGTTCTTTCTCTTTCTCACGAAACGTTGAGCGTTGAGCATCGTTTCGATATATTTGTCCCTGTTCTAGAGACATCGAGATTTCTGAGTCAATGGCAGCGCGCCATTGAATCACAGAGTCGCTGTGATTGGTCATACGCAGAAGCTTCTCGAAGCGCAAAATTCAGACTATTAAAAGACGCGCGGTGCGCCTCCGGCTCAGAGAGAATTTGACAAGCGAACGAAGAACATTAACTTCATTCAGTGGCGATACTACTTACAAAGTATTTTATCGACGCGAATAATTTATTAAACAATAAACGAACGAAACATTAGGTAAGTTTATCTGTGTATATTGTGCAAGTGTGAATCGGTAATGGTTTAATTTATTTGGTGAATTTATGTCGCGTTGAAGTTGCGTTTTATCGAAAGTGTATCGACAGTGCATTAACATTGAATTTCGATTGTTTTCATAATTCGAAAATGAATCGGTAAATTCGTGTTGTCAGATTTCGGTCACACGATTTCTATCGTGGAAGCTATATTCGTTGGTGTATTTTCTGTTTCGCGTAAATTGTGGTTAATTGTTAAAAATTGCAGCGTAGACATATGATTTTGCTATGCTCTAAATAAACAGGTGCTAATACTACATATAGCGTGCATATTATGTGTCTTACTGCGTCGTATTTCCAAATTGAAATTATTCTCGCACGTTCTACGTTGCAAACTTGAATGTTAAATCGGCGGAATTATTAAAATTGTTAAACATTATCGGAATATTTCCGGAAATTTATATAATTTTTTTCTTTTTTTTTTTTTCATTCTTATAATGATTTAACGGTTATTATATCGTAGAGTTTCGAGTATTCCATTTTACTTAGAGAATTTTACGATTCGGTACCATGTAACAAATTATCGATAAACGTAACCGTATTCGTTATCGTATGAAATTTCTTCGGTCTTTGTTATATTAGAAATTTTTCGAATGAAACGACGATAAATAGCCGCGAAGAAAATGACATTTGATTGATTTTATTTTTATTTTTCTGTTCGCAGCGAACAAACATGTCGAAAGCACCAGCAGTTGGAATCGATTTAGGAACAACCTACTCCTGCGTGGGTGTCTTCCAGCATGGAAAGGTTGAGATCATTGCAAATGATCAAGGAAATCGAACGACGCCGAGTTACGTTGCCTTTACAGACACCGAAAGGCTAATCGGCGATGCGGCGAAAAATCAGGTCGCCATGAATCCCACCAACACCATATTCGGTAAGTAAATTCAACTACATTTTAAATCTCTTTTTTCTCCGATTTCTTTTTCTTCTTCTACGTTACCGCTGGGTACACACGGTGAGAACTAGATTTTTTATGATTTTTTAGATTTATTTCATTGGTGCTCGAACGTATCCAAGTCTTTGCCAGTATTTTGTTTTCTGTGCTAAAAGCGTTCGCGCGTGTTACGTAATTAATTACACTATTCTACATTGGGCATGGTCAGATATTCGCTATATTTAAAAACATAACTCGTCGTTGACATTCGCGTATACGCAAATATTACGGTTAGTACAGCTCGCGGCATTTTTAACTGACCTTGCGCAACTCTGTACGTATAATTTACTCTCTGTGTTCGTTGATGAAACTAAAATCGTTATTACGTCTTTTTATCAAAAGGTTATTAAGGATTTCAACGATACGTTCTCCGATACGTTCGCGACGAGTATAAATTTCTCGATAATTTCTCCGAATGCAAATGACATTAATCTCGTTACCGTTGTTCGACAGATGCCAAAAGATTGATCGGGCGTCGCTTCGATGATCCAACGGTACAGAGTGATATGAAACATTGGCCGTTCACGGTGATAAACGAGGGAGGAAAGCCCAAGATCAGAGTGTCGTACAAAGGAGAAACGAAGACCTTCTTCCCAGAGGAAGTGTCTTCGATGGTTCTAACGAAGATGAAGGAAACGGCGGAAGCGTATTTGGGGAAGACAGTGACCAATGCCGTGATCACCGTGCCAGCGTACTTCAACGATTCGCAGAGACAAGCCACGAAAGACGCAGGAGCGATAGCTGGTCTGAATGTTTTGAGAATCATCAACGAACCGACCGCGGCAGCGATCGCTTATGGCTTAGATAAAAGGACATCGGGCGAAAAGAACGTTTTGATCTTTGACCTGGGAGGTGGTACCTTCGATGTGTCGATCCTGACCATCGAGGATGGTATCTTCGAGGTGAAATCGACGGCAGGAGACACTCACCTTGGAGGAGAGGACTTCGACAATCGTATGGTGAATCACTTCGAGCAGGAATTCAAGAGGAAATACAAGAAGGATCTGAGCGTGAACAAGAGAGCACTCAGACGACTGAGAACAGCCTGCGAGAGAGCGAAGAGAACCCTGAGCTCGTCCACGCAAGCGAGTATCGAAATCGATTCTCTGTTCGAGGGTATCGATTTCTATACTTCCATTACCAGGGCTCGATTCGAAGAACTTTGCTCGGATCTGTTCAGGAGTACCCTAGAACCCGTGGAGAAGGCTTTGAGGGACGCTAAGATGGATAAGTCTCAAGTTCACAGTATCGTACTAGTCGGTGGATCGACTAGAATACCAAAGATTCAAAAATTACTGCAAGACTTCTTCAACGGCAAAGAGTTGAACAAATCCATCAATCCGGACGAAGCTGTAGCCTATGGAGCCGCTGTGCAAGCTGCCATCTTGCACGGCGACAAGTCCGAGGCGGTTCAAGATTTGCTGTTACTGGATGTCACGCCATTGTCCCTGGGTATCGAAACAGCTGGCGGTGTAATGACTACTTTGATCAAGAGGAACACGACCATACCGACCAAACAAACGCAAACCTTCACCACCTATTCGGATAATCAACCCGGTGTCTTGATTCAAGTATACGAAGGAGAAAGAGCCATGACCAAAGACAATAATATTCTAGGAAAATTCGAGCTTACCGGTATTCCACCTGCGCCTAGAGGGGTTCCTCAGATCGAAGTTACTTTCGATATCGATTCGAACGGTACGTATTTATTTGATATCCATATTTGTTTTTTAAACCTACCAATTTGTCACGATCTAAATTCCAAAGTCCCGAAGAAAGCACGTCCGCGGTATATTCTCTCTTAAAAATTTGTTGAAAAAAAAAAAAAAAAAAAAAGAAAAAGAAAAAATTGTTTACTCGCTCGATTATCCGTTAGCGAATTGACTAGCTCGTTTAATTCGCGCGTGCCACGATCACTGTACTAAATGCGAATTGTCGCCTTTTATTTTTTTTTTAGGTATCTTAAACGTTTCTGCCGTTGAAAAGTCGACTGGAAAAGAGAACAAGATCACGATCACGAACGATAAGGGTAGATTATCGAAAGAAGATATCGAAAGGATGGTGAACGAAGCAGAGAGGTATCGCAACGAGGACGAACAACAACGGGAGAGAATATCCGCCAAGAACACTTTGGAATCTTACTGTTTCAACATGAAGAGTACAATGGAGGATGAGAAGGTGAAAGATAAGATCGATCCATCCGACAAAGACAAGGTTCTCAACAAATGCAACGAAGTGATTTCGTGGTTGGATAGGAATCAATTGGCCGAGAAGGAAGAGTTCGTGGATAAACAAAAGGAGTTAGAGTCCGTCTGCAATCCTATAGTGACGAAATTGTATCAGGGAGCTGGCGGTGGTGCACCGGGTGGATTTCCAGGATCTGCTCCTGGAGGAGGCGCAGGTGGCGGACCAACCATCGAAGAAGTAGATTAAATTGTCATCGTCGTCCATAGCACCGAAACCGTCATATTTCGTTTATCATTTATCATTTCTCGTTTTCGTTTAGTTGTTTAACACGCATATACATACACATATATTTTTGTACAGTCATGATCACCGATATTTCTACGCTTTCTTAAAATACGTGTAATATACAAAGGTTTTGAGAACAGACTTTTTTCTGTAATTCTGTAATAGTATTTTAATTTAATTAAATAGAATTTGTTACATAAAAGAAAAGTTGAGTAGTTTTTTCGTCGTTTTCCATGGCAGCATACTCGTATTCGTATTTTCGTATATTTTTGGTAATTCTTCAAAAATGCTCGGGTTTGTAGAACTGGACGAGAATAATCAAGTACGTAGTGATAACGCTGATAAACTGAAGAAATAATTTAGACGAAATTAATATCGCTCCCAAGTATATTCTTCGCGATAGAGCGAGCAACACTTACTCTTGTAAGCAACGAATTGTCCATTTCGAAGAAATCGGAAGCCGTAAATGCGATACGATATTGTTGTAATTGCAAGGAGAAGTCGTTGATTTCGTTCCTGACGCATTCGCGTTCAAAATTTGTTCTGAGCAAGTTCTCGATTCCGAAACCGTTTAAATTTAACACGGCGTTATCTCCACAGATTTCTAATTGTTCCGATTCTCTGTTCCGAAAATTATTATAAAACGTAAGTCTATCGAATTTCGCCGAGCGTCGAACATTCAAAGCAAATTGGCTTATAGATAAACTAATTTTATTTATCTCTCTGTGAGTCAATGTGCAGACCCAGCACATTATACTGAATTGGCCTCCGTAGATCATCCAGATGACGTTATTTATGAATATGAAGCCGTCCTTGTGTTCCGCGGCACTCATATAAATTCTAAATAACTTTGCGACGACCATTATGAAGGAATTAGTCGAACATATCAGCAGATCTATACCGTAAATCTCGTTTATGGACATTGTTATGGAACATAATTCTGGAAAAGTGGAGTAAACGTTTAAAAAATGTCGATTAATAGAAAATTGTCGTTCCGACGCGACGGGAGAAAAAGAAGCAGTAATTACGCGGAGGAAGTTATGTCGAAAGGAAGGCTAGGTCGTAGTCGAGTTAGAAACGGAAAAGATAGAAATTGTACGATTAGGTACGCACCGTTGTGCAGCCGTCTGATTCTTCTTATCTTGAACGCGGTCCAATGCGCGCCATCTCCTTCGTCCAATTTCTCGATCATTCGATTGATCGCTCTGAATCTCAAACAAATCATGTAGACGATAACGTCGAACACGAAACTATTGACCAGCGTCTGCGCGATCGTGTAATAAAGCAACAAATCCGATGCGAAAATCTGATCCGGTGCGGTGAAATAATAATAAAGGACATGAACGATCAGCGAGACAGGACCGAAAAGGCAGACCGTCAGAATAGCTAGAATTTGTCTGATCATCACTGATCCGTCATCGATCGATATTTCTTTACCGATATGCAGATCCAACGATTCGAGTTTCTTCATCAATTCGGGCCATTTATCGTAATGATGTATCACGTGACAGACGTAATAATACGACGCTACGTGACATACTGTCTCGTTTATCCAGTACATGATTTCGAACAGTTTGCTGGTGAACACTTTGCCAAAATTAACGAAATCCATCGCGCTGAAAGCGACGATCACCGAACATACACCAAAATGGATGAAACGAAGGATGATCGTAACCGATTTCGGAGAGTTTCGTGGTCGAGCTACTCCGACACCGAGCAACCAAGATACGTACGTTATCGGACTCAATTTCTGTTCAGGTTTCGACGCGTTCTCTTCTATTCGAACTGTTATTTCTTCTTCCATTTTCAGATACACGAGGTGTCGTCGAGACGTCTGGGGAAAACAGCTGGAATAATCTGTTTCTAGGTGGATCTTGATCGAGATCATATACGATAGTAGCTCATACAGAATGGATGGAAACGTTAGAAATTTATACCGTCGAAAGCAATTTTCATATTGCTCGATGTATTTGATAAGGATAGGATCGAGGTCATCGAAGCCTTTAATAGCTTCGACAATTCGCTTAAAAGATTTTTTCGAGATTTCGACAATTCCGAAAGTATTATTCGTGTGTAAAAAATGCAAAGCGTCCCTCGAGAATTACGCGTAGTGCCTGTGTATATATGTATATCGAAAAAGAGCTTTATTTGCCCAACGACTATATTACAATTTTATCATACAGTAAACATTTAAAATGGGATAAAACAATAACGTTTGAAACATCGAGCATCGTTATTTCATTGGCTTTTCCCTTTAGAAATCAGACGGCGCGGCGCGGCGTTACGAGTCGAACGTGGTATCGTTTCGATGTAATTCTTTGGTGGGCGGACAATATTTCATATCGATCTGTATCGTTATGGGATATTAATGGTAATTTAAGGTAAAAGAGTTAGAAGAGAACATTTACCGTTACCCTCATAGAATCGTTATGTACGCGTCGAGTTAAATATTCGAGAAAATTTCACTTTTTTACTGCCCGCGCACCAGAAAATCAATCGTGATTCATAATAACAATAATAAATGGTAACAACGATAACGATGAAGATGGCACGGTGACGATAATAACGATGAGGTGTTTGGCCGAGTTGGCCCGATATAATTGTTCGACGACGCGATTTCATTTCCGTCAACAACGAACGGAGGTCGTTCGAAAGTGAGCGATTCGTTAAATCGGACGTGCAATTTTTTATTAAACGTGCTTGACTTTTTTTTTTTCGTAGAATCGTAGAACGACGATCGCTCGAAGCCTCGTCCGCGTCTACATACGTAGTAGGTAGTTATCGTGCGAGCATATCGAAAGCTCTAGAGGTTAAACCTGCTCTTGTCTCTTCCTCGAAAATCTACAGTATAGAGATCCCATCGTGCGATCATCGCGAAAGATACAAGTTTTCTATATTATCGAAGAGATAGTAGAGATTCGCTAGCGTGTACAGAAACGTTTATCCGAAAAACCGTTCGAGAGCGAATGCGCTCGAATTCCATGTTCTAAGCTTATAAAAAAAATTAACGCTTTTCTTACCTTATCCTATTACGAATAATAAAAGTAATTTAATTTATTTCGTTAGTAATATTACTTTTTTATGTATGATACATCGTTCGGTAAAGACTAAACGGAGTATCGAACGAATATTTCGAAGAATATCCCGAGGCGAATTAACAAATTTTCCCACGGAAGTGCTCGATTTCTGTGTAGACACGGACTAGACTCGACTAGGCCTACGTAACGACGTAGAATCGGCTGAATTTTTCCTTTTTACTTTTTTCGTCGCCTTTGTTTGCTTGTCCCTTTTTCGCTCTGTTTGCCGTTTTATTGCGTGGCTTTAATTACGGAGGTGGTGGTAGTGGTGGTGATGGTGGTGGGATAGTGGGGTTTCTTTCAATTTATTTCGTTAATTATTATTTATTTGATCGGGAAAGGCAGCGTAATTATTCGAACACGAGACGTCGATACACGTTTTTTTTCCGTTTCGTTTCGTTTCGTTTCGTTTCGTTTGTTCGCCGCGAAACGCGACACAGCCCCTCGTGCATGATCGGCTTCTTACGTACATATGTATATACACGTATAATATTAGAATATGTATATATAGAATATATATAATTTGCTTTCAACGATTTCTCCTTCTCTTTTTCTTGTTCGTTACTACAATTTACATTTGGCGAGCCAAGCGACTCGAAGGGGGAATAAATCGTACCGAACAATTTCGATTCGCTTTTACGCGAAACGTGTCGCGAGATTTCGAGAAAATAATGTATATACCGTATTCCAGGCCGTTGACGCGTTAGTATGTTTTATCGTAACTTTAACCCCTTACCTTTTGTCATAGCGGTCGAATCCGAATTTTTTCCTGTTCCCTCGATTAACGAATAATCGTAGAAAGATATTCTACATACATGTATAGTAATAAAGAGACTGTTATCTATAAATTAGTAATTAAACTTTTGACAAAAGAAAAAAAAGATATTCCGTTAGATAAGATTTAATCGGTGATAGGCTCGACGTTGGAAGGCAAGGGGTTTAAATATATATGATTTCGACGAAACGTTTCGTTCCAGGACTTTCTATTATTAACGGATGTACTCGTTGTAATTGAGAATAATAGGTAATTCGAAGGTCGATTCGCGGCGTATCGTGACCGTACGGCATTAAATCAACGACGAAACGAAAAATAATTAATCGCGTAATTTAGTCGACGAATCTGAAACGAGAGTAGGTTTGCTTAAAAATTCAAGCCAACCGTTAATAAATAAATGAAAAGTCGTTAGCGTCCGCGTTTCGGTTGGATTCTATTGGTCGTAAATGTTCCGAGTTTCCAGTTAGAAGACAGTTTATCGGGAAAGGCGACGGAAAGGGCTGAAAGTCGGACTGGTATTCGACGCAATTTCGATCGGATCGCAGGTAAGCGAGTCAATGATAATTACTAAGATCTCACGATCTTCTCGACGTCCTGGTACCAGACGCTTCGCTCCGTTTCGTTTCGTTTCGTTTCGTTGCGACACGTGGCAAGCACCAGCTTCTCTATCTCTTTTCGTCCGTTTATTCTTTTTAACGATTTATCTAAGATTAGAGGTATATTTAGCCTCGACCCACTCGAGAATGCCCTGCCAATTGCTCTTTTTCTATCGCAAAAAGTTTCGCTCGAGCTAACAAAACGTACTTATTAAACGTACTTATGTACATATGTATCTTCGCGTAAGACAAACTCGACGTAAATCGATCGTTTCTTCTCCGTCGTTATCTCTATACGTTATAGTATACGTTCTCCGTTTGATCGTATTTAACTGTTTGATGACCGACGCGTTCGTAAAGTCGTTTCGTCCAACAGATGTTTACGATGTCGATGCATTTTTATCGCATCTTTCCGTGATTAGTCACCTTTCGATAGAATCGAATAAAGCGCGAACGTAAAACTTTCGAACGTAATCGTATCGGTAGATGATTCCTGTCAGTTTACCTTTGTCGATTTTGATAACCGTATCGAGTATCGAAGGTCTCCAGGAATTTTGCACCCGTCAAAGCGTTAAATAAGCGATATATTAATTTTGACATCGTGTCGCGTTCGATCGCTTCTCGATTCTTCTCTGAAGATTTCTCGGACAATTTCAACCGTTTCGATTGATATGTGATCACAATGTACGATAAAAAGTTGTCGATCGAGAAAGAGCTCGAGGAGAAAAACATGGTCGAAAAATTGGCGAGTTTAAAAAGTATACATAGCGTTAGAGGAGAGAACACCGTTTGAAGGAAGAAGAAGAAAAAATTGATATTTCTTCGATGTAAGTTGATATGTGTAATTAAAGGGTGAACGCGGAATCCTTGAACCGAGGGTCGTTCAATTTCGGAAAAACTCTTCCCTCTGTCTCTATCGTGTTAAATAAAAGAAACAAGTTGACTGATCGTCGAGTCCGAAATCGGTCCGAAACGCTTAAAAAGTTGAAGCCGTAAAAAATCCATTACCGTTCCTTTCCCTGTTCGTAAAGCGACTCGCAACGTACTTATTTGTTCGGCGAACGATCAAAATTCGAACGTATCGCATTCGAAAACGCGACTCGAAACGTCGCGACAAGGAATGTTTCGCTGGTGGCAATCCCTCGTGGAACGAACTTGCGGCAAGCATATTCAGGTACAACTTGGAATATCTGCACCTATACCTCGCGAGGTGTAGTACTCTTCAACGTAACGTATCGAACGAGCCAAACGTTCTTCGTTCGACCTATTATCGTTATTCTTGTCGCTGAAAGCTGACTAGGTAACAAAAACATATATTTTAGAATAAATTGTAGGCCATCGCGCGTGGCACAAGCAAACAACGATCTCTTCTCGTACCCGTTTTATCTATGGCTGTTGTTTTCAACATCGAAGCGCGTTCGCGTATTTATTCGAACGGTTCTCGGTTAGGCGAGACCGAGACCTTCTCCTTCTCAGCCATTTATTTCCCTACTAACCGTATCGTCTTCTTTGCTGGCGATATTTCGTTTCGCGACCAGTTCTTTTCCTATCGTTAGTTGTCAACTACACTTGAAAAATATCACCGGTCGCGCGCGGTGCGATGCTCGTATCGAAGATGGACGTTGTCGAGGTTGTAATCGGGACCATTTCACCGAATCTGTTCACGTTCGTGCTCGTTATCGCCGTCGCTTTCGTTTTTGCGGCTGTTTCTTCGCTCGTGTCCGATGTTGTCGGTACCTGCTAATTTGAACAAATATTTTTATTCGAATTCGTTTCGTTTACTTTGTCCGCGATTTATTTGGACCAATAGATTGGCGTTCAACAGATATCGACGAAATATTTTTCTAGCCCTGCTGGATTGCTACGTATACCTGTTCCACGCTAATTTTGATAAAAGAGTTAGATAAAAGATAAAAGAGTTTGTCGAAGGTACCTCGTTATAAAATACTTCTTTCCCTTCCTCCACGGAGGGCAACAGTTCATCGGTGGAATGAGGTGTCCTAGGACTAGGTGTAGGTGCAATTTGTTGCTGCTGCTGCTGTTGTTGCTCCCTTTGTTTCGCTAGCCTGAGTTCTTGAAGAGCTTGTCGCTGTTCCTTCTCGTTCCTTTCCTTCTCGAGCCTCCTCGCGCTGTAACTACGCGCCGAAGATGTCGAACTGTGAACCGAAGTTAAGCTAGGCCGACGAGAACCTAGAGTGGAAACAAGGATCGCTTTCAGTTCGGTCTGGTACAATAGATGCAACCGCTCCTCCCTTTACTCTCTTTCGCTATGCTACGGCTCGGTTAGCTAGCCTCCGAATTCGATCGAAAATACGGGATCTAATTGCGTCTGCTCGACTAATATCAGCGTGGATATTTTTCATCCGTCTATTACTCGTCGGCTATCGGTTAACGATAGGGTACTATGATTTATATACGGTTGTTTATACGCCAATTTCGAGCAGTTCAATCATTCGAATTTTTATCCTCTCGAACCAATTGGAATCTTTAGCTCGTTTCCAACTCGGATTATCCGAATAATTCGGATTATTCGAATAATTCAGTTACTCGAAATTGAAATCCGAATTCCAGCGGCATTCGAATATACAGCGAATAATTGGATTATCGTAAGAGGCCATGTTCGACTGTTCGTTGATAAGTAAAGCTCGACGATCGCAATTTGTTCGCATAGTTGGATAAAACGGGTCGTCGCGATCGACACCGATCGTGGAATATTCGAAACGCGAGACGAACGGAGTTCGAGTGGGTTGGAGAATCGAAGGGAATCGGGAGTGCAAAATAACGTGTTCGTAACAAACGAAGAAAAAGGAACGCTCGGCGTTCTTCGACGCTGTGTATCGTGTTCGAGTGATTGTGCAAATCGTTATCGTGTAAAGAATCTGTGTCGTGTCAAGTGCGCGTCGGATGCGATTTCTTCAGCGTGCAACAAGTGCACACACATACACACACAGACGAAAGCTTCGTTTTGTGTTTCGAACGAATATTATTTTCTTACCGGTTGATCGAAAATACTCTTATTAATCGAGTTAATCGTTTCGAGTTCGAGTCGGTGTAGAGAGGTTGATTCGAAGAAAAGTAATTATTCCGAATAAGCGGAATCTTGTATCTTGTGTCGGTGGTGCAAAGACTTGCGGGTGTACGCGTTCTCGGTCGATTCGACGAAAAGCGAACGTAAAACGCGGTCAGACAGAGACAGAGCGACGATAGACGCGCGTGCATCGTGGTTGCATACAGAGTACAGATAAAAGAGGATGATAGTTTACGCGAAAAGCAAAGAGAAGCATCGCTCGTGGCGTGTATCGTATATTTGTTGGTCGATTTTCAGCAAGCACATCTAGAGCGGATCGAGTCGGTGTGTCTCTTCGAGGTGTTTCGCATATGACTATTCTGTCCTCCTTATCTCGGTCTTTCGAACCTTCGAATATCGATGAAACGTCTCCTTTTTTCTCTGCCGAACATGGCTCACGTTCGTATGCCGCGCATACGATCAAATTCTCCAATTGTTATTTCGAAAGCAACGATAGTTCCTGGAACTCTACGTACATACATACATGTAAAGCGCATAGAATACGGAAAAATAAACGAAGGACAGGCAGATAATGTGAAGTAAGAAGGGCAGTATTGTCATTGGATCGTTGCACGTCGAATTATCGATTTCGAAATATGGAAAGTCTCGGGCGAATTTTCGTTAGAGAAGGCTCGGAAGCGTAATCGAAATTATTAAAATTCGTTAAGAATCGATTCGTGTCAGACTGGCGATATTTCGAAATCGTTTGTGCGACGCGCGAACAGACGAATTTTTTTCTAGAATCATTAGCCAGGCAAAGCGAGGTTCAAATAATCCCTTGGATCAAGCGTCGATTCTCGTAAGCTCTCCAGATGAGACGAAGCAACAACGATCAAGCAAAATTACTACGTATACGTATTTCGTGTAATCTTTTTATTCGCTGCTGTTTCGCGGAGCGATATTTAACCGAGCAGCTAGCGAATAAAGCCAGCTGAAAAGGAAGTAAGCTTAATTGGAAGTTTCAAGTGCCGGTTTAAGGCCTTCAAGCTGTCGCGTCTCATTAAAAATCGACATACAAAAACATATACATACATACGACATACGTTATTTAGCACCCGAAAAGCTTGCCGCTCTCGCATGCGAACTGACGCTTTCTTCTTAATCGGTTTCTCTTTTTTACTTGATTTTTCGTGCGTGTGCAGCGAGCTAGCTAGTGCGTAAAGATTTCGTGTCTCTCTACGTCTTACCAGAGAACGTTTGTTCGTTAACGAGCAACGAAATCGGCCGCTGCCATCTTGCTATCTCGTAACACACTCGTGCAGCACTTTATATATATATATTTATGTGGCTAATAATATATATATATATATATATATGTTGTTAGGTTACACATTAGAATCGTTTCACGTGACAATGTATAATAGCATTTTGTGTTTGATTATCGACAAGCCACACGTATGTGTACGTGTTCATTTTATTTTTATAGATATTTAAGATGAATGTGTGAGACATACGATCGACAGGCGTGATCGAGACATATACTTTTCTCTTCGACATTACTGGGATTGTTTTTGGGTAGCACCGTTTATGGCCGTCGTCGGAGGAAATGTTGAAAACTGTCGAAGAAAGGAACGACATGCTGTAACGATGTCTTCGCGGAGAGAAAAAAAGGAATTTGGACGCGTACATTTTCCTTTATCCGTTTCGCTCTCGAACGAATCGATTCGTTATCGATCGTGATCAGAGACGATGATCGGGTAAAGGACGAGTAAAGTAAAATCAAGAAACAAAAACTGCTCGAGCGTTTAGAACTGGCTATTGAAATTGTGATAAACAACAACTACGCAACAGCGACAGTATTCTTCTTCGTCACTGATGTCGGCCAGGAAGATAAATAATAGCCAAATAGGAAAGAGAATACGCGACAAGGAGCTTATAGAAACGAAAAAAAGAAAGTAAGAAAATTAATCATCGGGAGATTGTTTAATGAAACGCGTAGAGATTGAACAGTGCGATTACCCATGTGGGAATTCGGCGCATAGAATTACCTTCGTGTAGTGGATGAACGGCGAAAGAGGAGAAAAGATGGAACGCGATTATCTGGACAAATCATTCGAACGAGATTCGAAAGAAAAAGAAGAAGAAGAGAAAAGATTAGGAGTAGAGAAACGGACACGCAAGTTTTCATGTAAACGAAGTGTGCGTGTTCCTGTATGCGTGTAGACGAGGGAGAGAGAAGGAGAGGGAGAGACAAAGAGAGAGAAAAGGAGAGAGAAAAGAAGAGACACAGAGAGAGAGATGCAAAGAGAGTGATATAGAGAGAAAAGAAGACAGAGAAGGAAAGCTTTTTTTTTAGAAAGAGATCGTTGATCGTCTACCGAGGCCGTCGGACGATCCCTCAGCAACGTCGCTAAGGGTACGTCGATGCTTGTTCCCGCCTTTGGTTGCCTGCAGGTGACACGATATAAGCAAGATGGCGGCGGCACGTGCCGCACCTGCTCTCGACGCTGGTACCAGAGGACCACGGCTACCACCGCTGCTTGGCCTCCTGGTGAACGCGTACGTCAACGGTCCTCCGGTGCTGCTTCTTTGACTGGAACGCGAGGATGGTCGGCCGCCGTGAAGCGTCAACGGGATACCTGTTGGATCGTTTCGATTACGTCCCTTTTCTTCCAGCCGAATCACGCTGTTTACGCGGATAATTCGCTCTCTTCGGTCGTTTGTCTCTCTCAAAGTTCTTATTCTTTCTTCTACGAAGGTTCTTACACCTTCTTCGACATCTGGATCGAGTCTGGGTTATGGTAGACTCCCGTTATATTGCCACGGCCATCGCCGAGATCGTTGTAGCGAAAATTTAGCCGTTGCGCGGCTAACGAAGCGAGAAATTTCCATCTCTCTAGCATCTCGAAAATGCCATTTGGCATGACAGTATAATAGAAGTCTACCGCTTAATGGAACAGTTTTTATTAGCAATTCTTATGACAGTATCTTTCGAACCGATCGACGATCATTCGGTCGATGCAGTCGATAGAATTAATACCGTTAGTACCGATTTAACGACTGTATAATATCGCAGAACGAGAATCATTCAGGATCTTCGGTCGGGTGTGTTTAAATCAGAAACGAATAGATAACTATGCACGCAAAATATGGAATTCGGGATTCGGTTTAAAAGAGACAAAATAAGTGTCCGTGTAACGTAGGAGGTTCTGATCGGCAAACGGAAGATGTTGCGAACGACGAGACTAGACGAGGCGTATCGGGGTGCGGCTCGCCGCGTCGATCAGGGCCGTACAAGGTCCGAGATTCCCTTCAAGGTTCGTCCAAGCGAAATAGGGCGAAACGAAAATAGAAGTCTTCGAGGAGAACGTAGTCGTTCGTCGATACTTGTCGTTATTGATTTTACAACGAAGAGGGTGACTCCTTTAATGGGATATAACGCGAGCCAACTTTCTTCCGCGCGGCGATTACGAGCATCAGCCAGTGGATTATAACGATATCGAACGACGAACGCGTACAAGATTGTTTGTCGGTCGACTCGATGAATCCGTTGCACGACGTTACTCACCTGTGTCGCTGGAGAACAGCATGGGCGGTGCGTGATTAGCGTTGGCATAGTGTCGTGGCCTCGAATATCGCGCACGACTGAACAATTTCAGCACGAAACATATCATTGCCGTGAATACCGCTATTCCGGACGCTATGCAGAGTAACGTTGGAATATCCGTTGTTATCAGCACCAGATCTGTCAAGAAATTATCGCTTTAGAAACTTCGGATAAAACTGGTTATACCTAAAAATCTAATCGGGATAACGTCTACCGTTAACTCGACTAAAATGCGAGCTAACGTTCAAATCGATCGCGCAAGAAAATCAATCGAAATTAACGTCGCGTCGTCGAATGAAAATGTAAGATCCATCGTAAATCGTAAGGCGAATACGAGTTTCGTTTAGGTCAGTTTGACAAGGATTTGGCACGGTGTACCTTCGGCGCAGAACACCTTCTTGTTAGGCCTGGACAAAACGACCCTGTGATAACCCTCTTCGCAGTCGCACACTGCATTGTGTTGAACTTGGGTGCAGGTCGAGTGTTGATCCGCAAAAGTGCAAGTCGCGCGATAGAAGCATTGCTCTCCGAGTCTTTTAGCTGGAAAATTGAACGAGCAGTCACTCTTTCGCTGCCCTTTCGCCGTATCGTTGCTAAATGTTCGAAGAACGATTAGAATATTATGTTTTTACGGATTCGACAAGTTGGATTCGAACGGGGAAACAAGTTCGAAATAACGAACGAATCGAGTCTAATCGAGTCGAGACTCGTAAAGAATCGACAGACACGGATAAAACGCGAAACGTCCATTGACGAGGAAACAATTGGTGGCCGTCGACGTTTGTTTTCCTGCACCGGTCCGGCTCACGAGAGTTTTCATATCGGAATTAACCTAGTTAAAGGTAGTTAAAGGTAGAACGAGTATCGTGCATAATGCTTGTACGTACGTTTGGCACATCCTTTGCTAGGCCCAAGACGAACCGGATAGAATTTCTCGCACTCGCAGTGACCAGTGACCGTGTCGCAGAACACATGCTGCAGTTCCGGATTACACGAGACGTCGCACGGCGAGCCCAGGTACTGTCCTTTCGCTGAAACGAAAACCAGGATAAATCGATAGCTTTCGCTGGACTAGATTATGTAGGAACATCTAACGATACCGGGTCTCTTCCTTAAATAGCCGCTATTAGTTGTTCTATTCTATTCTATTCTATTCTATTCGGAAAAATATGCGTACCTCGTCGCGGATATTTTAACGCCTATAATTGTTTAAAATATACGCGTATACCGTCGATTCGATATACGATCGAAGGTGTAAATTTGAAGATTAGTTAAGTTTTAAGATTAGCCGATGGAAAAATCGATCGCGGCTGTATAGTTGGATAGAGGTGTGAGCCTCTTTCGAAGCATTATTCCGTGCCGCGATACGAGCCTTTGTTGCCGTTTCACGTGCAGCTACTGTCCGTTGTCGTAGGCGTTCGTTTGTCCTGCTATGAATGCGCGTACAGTCTGAACGATTAACGAGCGAAAGAACCTATTGTCGTGCATTCTATCCAGGCTTCGCTTCGAAGCGTCGAAAAGATATTTCTACTTAGGTTTTCTTTACTTAGGTCTCGTAGAAACGTTTCCTTGGCACTCGATCAACTTATTGTTTAAATTAATTGCGAGCGTTCCCGAATTAGGCACTGCGCCAGATATTCCTCTCGCTAATCGCGTCGTATCATTTATTAAATGTTCCGTGGCGCGAGCCTGTATTCAAGGAGGGTTCGTAACAACGATTAACTTTCTTGGCAAACGTTCAGAAGCGTATCGTTCTCGCGTGTAGCCCAATTAAGGCTACCCGCGAGGTTAAGCTTCGTACATTATCGTACAATAGTAATTTTGTCCGCGAATTGCCTTCTGCCATCGAGTCTCCGGCAGAATGGGTTGTTCGGATCGATCGATATCCGTGAAACTGCGGTATACGATCGCCGCGCCACGCCGGTTTATCCGATGCGAGAAACACGATATGCTCTGGTTAAATTGCCACGATCGGGGGTGTACGAACGGAAGATGCTTGGAATCGGTAGCTGCCGGTAGAAGAACGCGTATCGATTTAATTCGTAGCTCGGTTATGGATATTTCTACGGTGAATGAATCGGCACGAGAACCGGGATGAATGACGCACGAGATTCGCTCGTTTAACCTTGTTTCTCCTCTCGTTCTCGTTTTCCCTGCTGGTTTAGTAGCGCAGGGCCGAGGAGAGAGAAAGAGAAATCTCTTTGAATCTCACGCAGCTGCAGGCGGTGTGCAAACTCCCACATGCGGACTCCGAAGAGCTTGCAGCATCCATTAAAATCAATACCGGCAGCGTGGTTGGCGCGAAAATCGAGAAGGACCAGTTTCTCTTCCATGACTCGCTGGCGCAAGCGCACTCGTCAAACCTCGACGTGCAACATCCCTTCTCTCTCTTCTTTTTATTTCGCTTTCTTCGGTACGTTCAATTCCGATCTTGTTTCTTCCGTCTTTTTAATCGGAAATTAAACCTCCGAATCGTTTGTCTCGTAAAACGAGGCTTTTCGAAGGTTATCCATTCGGATACGTTAGCATGGATTTGAATCTGGGCGGAAACGTCGCATCGATAAATTAACGCGCAAAATTTCCGATCGACGAAGAATAAAACAGTTTATAGTTAAAGCGAAGCTTCTGGAGTAAGGTGTTTGCGCGTTCGCGTATCGAGCAGGCGCGAAAAAGGCAAGGCAAGTTGTTCGAGGTATAGACGCGCACGCGAACACGCGAATACTCGATCGTTCGATCGTCCCTGTTTCTCGAGAAAACGAGATAACGTACTTTCGTAAAGAGCCCCGATGTTTAATCTTCGCTCGAGTATCCTCGAACGATTCCTCGTAATCTTTGGAAAGCGTATCTCTATTTCTCCGTTGGTTCTCGGACGCTTTCATCGATTTCGAAATATTGAAATTACACGCGCGTCCTTGATCGCGAAAGCGCGTTAAACAATCGGCGAATAAGAATCTTCCGTAAAAATGATCGCGATCGTCGTAAATTGTTAAGGGGTGTCGCCGGCCAGCCACGAATTTAGGTCGGCGACTACCGGGTCCAGCCATTTCTTGGCCAGCCTCTTTTTCGACGCGTGTCGCGTTCAGGCGAAAACTCTCACCGATTTGTCCTACGATCGATCGATAGATGTTCGGACGGTATTCCTTTCCCTGGACACCATTCGAGCCGTGCATAATAGATAGTTGGACGATCTCTCCGGACGCGCGTAATAGTCGGCGTTAATCGATTCGATACCGAGAAGAATATTCGATGGAAGTTTCGCGTAAAGCGAAAGACGAAACGCGTACGACACTCACCCGCCGTGATATTCTCCTCGGGATAGTCCTCCTCGTCGTCATAGAGATCGACGTCGTCGTCGCTGAGGTAGTTGGCAGCGTGCAGGTCATCACCTGGCAGTAGTCCGCGGGTGAGGCGACCCGGTCGCGCGTCGCAGCTGCAGCCGGATACCAAGAAGAGCAGGTAGATCGGCAAGAGTAGCCAGGAACGGCAGCAGGTCAGTCTCAGGGCGGAGGGAAGTGCTCTCATCGCCCCCGCGGCGCGAGTCAACCCCCGAAACCGACCACCGGC